AATTGAATCCATGGCCGTAAGAATTGGCCTTGCTTGACATTGGCATTCCTTGCCTTGTGCTCGTGTTGCTCGTGTCTCCTCAAGGTGGGCAAGTCGTGCGTCACAAACTTTCAATAACCCGCAGCCATGCAAAGGCCTAGACGCGACTTGGACTTTTTAGCTATCGATGAGCAGAATCTTCTTATCTCTGACTTGATGTTTACTCTGTTTCTACAGAGACGAACACTAATAGCTGCAGCTGCAGCTGCACTACTTCGCTTCTGCGGCATGGCGAGGGTTCCACTGGACTGGACGCCAGAAAAGTGAGCTGCAGCTAACCTACATGTACCTAAAACTAATTTATCAGAAGGGACCAATCGCTGTCTTTAGTGGCCTGCTGTTCGTCAGCTCCAGCTTGTCTTAGACCATCCTAATGCGGGATGGACCACGAGTTGAGCTCCACCACGTCAGTCAGTCATTCACACCTCATTCACCCCTCCATCCCTTGACTCTCTCAAGGGCCAGGCTCTGTATCCGTTGCCCTGTACCGGTAATTCTCAGCGCGAAACGTCTCCTGACTGTCGAATGGGGGGTAATCATACTTGAGACTTTGCCCCAAAGAATGTGATGGTGTGATGTGATGCCATGCTTGTATGCGCAGGATTCTTGTTAGAGAATTGACCGGGGCAAAAGATAGAAACGAGAAGTCTTCCTAATTCGTGGGGTAATAAATTGGCACCCGCCCCAAAGTAAACAAATGGGTTAAGCGTGTCGCGACTGTCGTGCTTCTTATTCTGTGGATCTCTAACGCGGGCTCACGTGAACAGATCTCGCGTTTAATAGGTGGGTCTTCAATCCATGGCATTGAAGATATCAAATTGATATCGATGCATCAACCAATATTTTAGAAAGATCTTTCATGTCGTCACTTTCATTCTCACTTACCATGTGCTTTGTTCCCAGATTGACACTTACTCAGAGATAGCATTCCGGAATCGAAATTGGCTATGAGTTGTCAATCTTGAACTGATCGCAACGGCCGTTCGATTGCCGGTACTAGATGAAGATGAAGGCGAGATACTATTTTAAGAATGACGATTGACCATCGAACTCTCTTAAGATTGAATCAGATCTAAATAATCAATGCTTCTTTACATCATAACTTCCTGAGTTCTATCAGACCATAAACCTGCCAGCAGTTAATGTCATCAGACTCTAGTGGGTTGTTCTGGAAGGCTTCTGTGGATTAATTAATTATGGATATGCATCAAGCATAACGTCCATTCTTCAACTCAACTTAATTCATCCTTGACATAGCTTCTTTATTTTTTATTATTTTTATACAGAATCCACAATCGAAATGCACGCCCGTTATACTTTAGTATAACAATTTCTACATAACATGTCGTTCGTTATGCTGTATCACGTGCCCTCCTTCTCCTTACTTTAACTCTTGTCTTCAACTCCCTACTTACTCTTATTAGTTGGCCCACACTGCCGGGATTGCGGAGGGTCAAGAAAGAGGCTCTACTCTAATAAAGGCAAGTATCAAATCTACGATCCTTTTTCTTCTTTTCTTTGCCGGTGACGACGTGTCGGATGGAGTAAAAAAAAGTGGTTAAATCTTTTCTCAACGCCTCGTCTCCCTTTTGGTGTCACTTGGCGATAATACTATACCAACTTGGACATGTCTTTACTTTTTTAAAGAGGCAATTAACTCTTGTCTCTCTTCTCTTCCGGCTTTACCGACTCCATCTTCGTCTGGCCTGTCCTTGTCGCTTCTGAACCCAGCCCAGTCTCTAGGCTCTCCCCAGTCAATCCGATCCTAGAGCAAACTGTTGCTCTGGCGATCTACGCGTGAAGCAACTAACTTAGCACGCGCATCGGCCAATCTTCATTTTGGCAGTTCCCTATCAGTTCCCTAGCCTGGTTCTCTATAATACGTACTTGTGCATGTCAAGAAACTCATTTCCCGGAACTGGGTTGTTGGTTACGCTGGTCGAGTGAGGCTGTAATGGAACAAACCTTTTGACTTAGACTTACACTTAGACATAGCAGCATTAATTTATATGCCTTGCTATGACGGGATACCGCATACCACAGCTTCCAACTATCTGGTCATTTATCCAAGCTTTCTTTTACACGTCACTCGTGTTCAATTACGACATCGTCTTGCTTGTTTCTATTTAACTCTTAAATGGAATACGTAGCATAAGACGATATCTTAAACAGCCAGCATTCCATGTCACCAGCAGAGCCTCGAACATATGACAGCACAATGTTGCACATATGATCATATCATGGTCTGTCTTGTACACACGATATAATGTTATGCTTGACATGCTGACCGCACGTTTGGATCATCTATATCGATTGTTTCTGCTAACTCTCCTAGGGTCTGTGTTTCCCTTCCCTTCCCTCCCTTGAGGCTTGAGCACAAACATGGTCCCCGGGGTCGTACCAACGGATGAACACGTCGAATAGTGTGTTACGCACTGAGCTTGCAGCTCGCCCTTCCCATCAGCACGGCCGTGACGGAAAGGCGGAAATGAGATGTGAAAAAGACCACAAAGTCCAAGCTCCCGCCCGACTTGGACTGAGACTCCAAGCCTCAGGTAAGGGAGCAACTGACAAGGTCTGAATCCTGGGACGAGGCGACAACGACTATAGCGGCTCATGAGAAATCGATGCCCCGTGACTGGGACTATCAAAGTCACGAGATTTTCTGTTTCTACGGCAAAAAGAGATCCAAGCTCCTTGGTTGTCTGGTGAGATGAGAGTCGAGATGCGCACCTCGTGAGCGGGTTTCATACTAAATCCAGGGTAGCTGGGGTAGTCTCCTACTAAAAGAGTCCATACTCAATTCAGGGTCCAGTCGAAACCAAACGTTAGCTTCGTCGCGGATAACGACAAGCGCAAAGAATTTTTCCAGACGATGTGGGCATCGCAATATTTCTGAGTGGGCGTGATCGTCAACTATTCGACGCAGCTATTCGCAACACAGGATAGACTGTATTCAATGCGTTGTGGTGGCGAGTAAGAGAAGTCGTTAGTTGGGTGGTGCTATTACTACAGTATGGAGCATGGATCTTGGTCTTGGTGTGTTACACTCCTTTCTGTCTGACTGACTCTGACTCTCCATCATTTGAGCCTCATGCTGTGCTGTACTGTGCTGTGCAAGCACAAGTGTTACATAGTACATCCATGGAAGCAACGATAATGGATAGATGGAAATTCACGATTTCGTCTCCACAACAACCATCAACTCTCTGGTCAAAAGTAAACATTTCCATTGACCGCCCAGCATCACGACATCTCTCGGTAGTCATGATCAAATTTAGCTTATTCGCCCTAGGGTCCTACAGCTTCCGTAAACGTTCTGTGTTCTGTAATAAGCGAAACTCTAGCCCGATAAAAGCAATCTCTGTTCGAAACAACGTCTCGAATTGAACAGGGTTGGATACGCAATGATGGGGATTGGACGACGATATCTGATTCTGGCTAGAGCTTATATCTATCAACCTTGCGCAATCACAATCACTGTAGTAACTCACCTCAACTCAGTAACCTGTCAGTGAAACTTGCAGGGCCTCCACAGCCGCGGATGTAACATCCATACAAGCCATCACTCAGCCCTCAGCGTTCATGCGTCAACTTCCATGCTAGATCTGGTTGACCATCTCCTGACTGGACTGGAAAAAGACCCCAAGTTAGTCAAGGCGTCTTGTCCTTGAGGGTATCGGTATCGGGTATACTGTACAGTACCCAAGACCCCAGAGGCTCCGCAGCGAAGGACCGAACAACGGAAATTATATGTCAAAACTTTTTATCGGGAAAACGTTAAAGCAGAGCGGTTGCTGGTTAACAGCGTATTAGTGACTTTTTTGCGACTCAAGTACAACGTCAAAACTCAGGGACAGGACAGAAACGCACATGCCAAACTCCGCAATAGGAGCTCATCCCAGCACGGGGTAATACTAATACTAAGTAGCAAAGCCAAGAGCGACGATACAAGGCGTGACTTGAAAAAACTGACATTTGATAATTATCACCATGTACGAATGCTGATACTTGTCATGACTCCTATGATGGATCTTAAGGGGGGTTTCGTTGTTGGTTGATACAAGTGCACTGTCGTGACTTTTCTTTTGCAACTTTGCCATGTAATTAAGGGGAACAAGACACCTATAATCAATGGAATTAACATCCTCCTGAACGTGGCAAAACTCCTATTGATAAGTAACCATCAATTATCCCAACCAAGTAGTCATATCTGGCTTGAACAATGCTTCGCTATTGCTTCTCATAGACAACCTCATGCCGTCTCCTAAATCAAGATCATGTTCACTATCGGGCATTCCGCTCAGGCACTATCTGCTGATAGTGGTTTATTACTATTGAATAATTATTGAAGTCAAATTTGAGGCTCCGGATTGACATGTTGGTCTTGGTTGTGCCCATTGCCCTGTTCACGAACTGCATCAAGTCGTGATACAGGCATAGGGTAGTCCAAAATATCGAAGCTTAGTATCTAACTCACCGAGAGGATTGAGGCCACAACCTTTCCTTGAGATTATCCATTACTCTCCAATTGACTCATGAACTTCAAGTGACTCATAATGGGCTTGGAAGAACAATCATCACATATGGATTTTGGTATCGTGGTAGGGTGTTGTCAACTTTAAAATTGACCTCTCCAGGCAAGACACAGCTTGTACTCATCTCAGTTGAAGTTGCTCACATCCATTGAACCGTGACTATCGCCAACACAGCTGTGACTCACTCTCACAAAGAGTTTTCAATTATACATATCTCCTCGTGTAGAATTATTCGTCTCGTAGATCTTCAAGGTTGACAGATACCTACGTCAGTTGGTGGGGTTCAGCAACTTTTTGGCGGTCAAACTCGGCAGAACCTCAAATCCCAGTAATTTTTCTGCAAAAGAGTGTAGCTATCGCAAAAAGACTGAAGAACCAAGTAAATTTGCGCCTCAATCAACCATCACACCCACACATCCGAAAATGGGTAGTAAACGAAAGCGCGGTGCCAAGGAAGGCGCCAACAGCCTACAGAATCCCCAGAAGCGCACAAAGAACGAGTCCGAACCCTCAACGAAGAAGAACAAGACAAAGACCCCAGGCGCGACTAAGACCAAGGCCGACCCGACCCAAGTGAAGGCTCTCTTCGTCGAGTCACCAATTGGCGAAGACCGAAAGAGAGAGGCCGATCTCTATGAGCTTCTGGGTAGCGAAGACCCCGAAGACCGTCTGAAGGCTGGCGAGTGCGTTGTCCATAGCTTGTTAGGTCCCGACGGCGGAGAGGGCGTTTCCAGTGCTATTCTGCGACGACACCTCGATCGCCGTCTGTTTCGTGGACTCGCAAGTGGCCGCAATGCCTCCCGCGTTGGGTTCAGCCTAGTTCTCTCGGACATTCTCGGGCAATTGTTTGGAGAGAAAGCGCTCGCCGAGTCGACATACGAGGACCTCGACTTCGATACTGTCCTCCAGATCTTGACCGAGAAGATTCAGATCATTGGAAATATCCCTGGACAGGAGGAACGAGACCACTACTGGGGTCAGTACTTCGGTCTTTGTGCTTTCGTGAAAGCTGGAATCCTCTTCCGCGACATCTCGAGATGGAACACAGTTCTGGATCTTCTTCTGAAGCTTGCGGCTAAGAAGGTTTGGCTTCGCTCGCACTGCGGTTGGGCCATCGTTGAAGCTATCGATCAGATGAACCAGAAGCAGGCCAAGGCTACCCTTGAGAGGATCGCGGAAGCCAACCTGGCCAAGACTCCCGAAGGTGTGGCTATCTGGCTTGTTGCTCTCGCTCGATTCCCTGATCTCAAGGTGAAGCCTTGGAGTGATCCTCTTGCCAAGAAGTCGTTTGGCGATCTTGCTGCAGTTCTTCGAGAGAGCTTTCAGGACTTTGACAAGGACCAGCCCGAGCGTGGTCAGAAGAACAAGCAGGCCAGCTGGACTGCTCAATCGCACTTTGTCTGGGATATCCTTTTGGCACATTACCTCAAGGAGGGAGAGGCCAAGGCTGAAGAATTCCAACAGTTCTGGGCTCGTGTAGTTGATGGTAAGTTTGAATGTGTTTTCTCCAGTATATCAGTAGCTAACATCAACAAGACTCCCTATTTGCCAAGAGCGCCACCGACGGACAGAAGTTCAAGGGATTCCAGGTTTTCCAGAAGATGTTGGAGGGACTTGCCACTCTTCCTTTGCACCTCGAGGCACTTTTCAGCAAGAACCTTTCTCTCTGCCTCATGAACCAAGCCGCGAAGGAGGACCGATACCTGCACCGAGCAGCCACCAAGGCACTGAAGACAATCGAGTCAACCGTTTCCGCCAACCCTTCGACACTTGTACCCATCCTCAAGAGCCTGCTCGGCCAGAACGGCGCCTATAACTTCGATCAGCGAACAAACACCAAGACTATCGACCGCCTCCTACAGAACATATCCGAGGAGACTGGCCAAGAGGTAATCAAGATTATCCAAAAACCTATCAGCACGCTCGGCCAGCAAGAGACTGCACAAGCCACATCCACACTCCGAGTCTACGTCGACTATCTATCCAAGACCCTCAACGCTTCAGCTTCAGCTACCTCTGGCAAGATCCAACAAAAGGCCTTCTCCTCCGCCCTACAAGAACTTTCTCAACTTGCCTACTCTCAACCTAAGCACATCCCCGCAGATGCTTTGACAGAGGGCATTCGGGAGCTTTGCCGAACCCGCCTCGAGTCTTCATTTGCCAAGGTCAGCCGAAGAACAGAAGACTATGGCACACTATGCCTTGCAGTGTCTTCTATTGACCCTGACTCGGTGGCTATGTCAGAGGAGATTGGCGAGGCTGTTCAAAATGCTCTAGCAAGAATGCAGAAACTACTTAAGCGTAAGGCTTCAGATGATAATGAGAAGAGTCTGTACCAGGCCCTGGCTATGCTTCACGCTGTTTCCGTCTTCCAACTATACAACGAGGACCCTGACGCTATGGAGGTTCTCAACGATCTTGCACAATACTCTGACCGCCTCAAGAAGGGCAAGTCCGCTGAGAGTGAGGCTGGAACATCGGAGTTTCTTGTTGAGATCCTACTATCCTTTGTTGCACGACCCTCATCTCTCATGCGTGAGGTCTCCAAGCAGGTCTTCGATGCCTTCACTCCTCAGATCTCAGCCGGTGGCCTTGAGCTTCTGACTGGACCCCTTTCATCTAACGAGAGCACCAAGGGCCAAAAGGAGCTATTCAGCACTGGAGAGGACGAGATGGAGGTTGACGAGGATGAAGAGGACGAAGAAGGAACAGACGGGGACGAAGAGGATAACTCAGATATCGAGATTGACTCTGATGTTGAGTTTATCGACATCAACGAGGCAAACGATGAGAGCGGGGACGACGACGAGGATGATGACGAAGAAGAGGAGGATGATGATAAGAACAAGGGCGAGTTCGATAAGCCTGAAGACCTGGACAACGCTCTCGAGAAGATTCTCAACAGTCATCGTTTAGACAAGGACGTCGAGGCCAACTCTTCAGAGGACGAGGGCGACATGTCCGACTCTGAGATGTTCGCCATCGATGAGCAGCTTGCTGCGGCCATCAAGCCTCGTATCCAAGACCGAACCAATGATTCCAAAAAGCAGAAGAAGGAGGCCAAGCAATCTGTCGTCAACTTCAAACACCGCATCCTCGATCTTCTCGACATCTACGTTAACAACGAGCCCCTCAGCCCCCTCGCCTTCCCTCTCCTGCCACCCCTGCTCAATCTCATGCGCACCACCAGCACAAAGGCTCTGGCTACCCGTGCTTGCGATATCGTCCTCAAATACCAGAAGGCCTTGAAGAAGGCACGCAGCAACCGCGAGAAGATCGAGATCGCCGACCGGGATGGTCTGCTAGGCGTGTTGCTCGAGATTCACGAGGCTGTTGGACAGGACAATGCACACGCATACGCAAAGGCGTGCAGTGCGGCTAGTCTTATCGTTGTGTCGGCTCTCTTTGCCGCCGACAAGGACAACATCAAAGATGTTATTGGCGTATATGCCAAAACATGGGAGAGCTGGGTGCTTCGCGAAAGCAAGCCCCAGTCATCTTTCTTCCTTGACTGGTACAATTGGTCTCAGAACACAGCTTCCCAGGCTTAATAGATATGAATGTTCAGATAGTATCAATGGCGTATGTGTCGATGGGCAACAAAACGATAGACATTTTTTTTTGAGTTGGAAATGAATTTGCTTCAAGTCGTCTACAATTTAGAATTGGTAACTTTCTCTCCATAAAATCGGTGACATCAACAGCACCAGGTTTCTGTGAAACGACGGGCGATGACCTTTTGTTAAGTGTAAGTGGAATTATAAAAGAGCACCTCGAACTTTGTACAAAGATCAAAAGATCTCTGGGCCTACTGGATCTATGAGCACATCTCCCTCTTCCCCTGACAGACATGTCTCGCACGTATATAGCACATTTCAGAATCAGGCATCCCGTGAGTACTTCGGAAGCCTGCAGATGAACCATTAAATTCTATGAACTCGTCATCATGATAGTACAAGTGCCTTAATTTTTGTTCTTGACACAATCGCTCTCTAATCCTCCATCTTATCGTCGTCCTTGGCGTCCTCGTCATCATCATCGTCGTCGTCGTCCTCATCCTCGGCCTTTGCTAATCGCTCAGCCTCTTCCCGCAGCTCCTTTGGTACCTCGACATGCCGTCCCTTGGTGGGACCATCAGGCCCGCTGATCCAGGTCATCTCGAGCTCAAAGTCCTTGTCCTTGTTATCCTTCTGTGCGATGTAGATGATGCGTGCGGCCTGCTTCACAGCGTCCTCTAGAGACATGTTGCCAGCGGGCAAGTCGAGCTTCTCGAGCTCAGCCTTGGCGGCCTGTCGGCCCTTGCCTGTGGCAGCTCCGTAGTAACCCCAGTACATTCCACTGGGCTCAATCATGTAAAGGAAAGGTCCGCCGCGCTTGCCCTCAACCTTGCCGCCAGCTCCAACCTTGGGTCCTGATCCCACCTCACCGTCAACAGGGAACTCCTCGGGGGTGTCGTAGCCGCCCAAGATAGCGGTGATACCGAATGGTCGGACTGATCCGTACATGGTGTAAGCTTGGAGGTAGCCACCCATGCGGCTGGCGAGATCGGATGTGGGAATGGGGGTCTTAAAGTTCTGTCGCCAGCTCTGGGCCTCGTCGCGGGCTCGGTCGACGAAGTGACGTCCATCGGGAACCATACCAGAAGATACCTGGCGAGGTTAGTACGGTCTGAGCATAGTAGCTGTAGAGGAGAGTTGACGTACAGCACCGACGTGGCTATCGATTGTAGCAATGCGCTTGTTGGCACCCGGTTTTAGGAGCTTGGATGAGACGACCTTCTCGATAGCTAGAACGACACCGTCCTTGGCTCGAATGCCGATAGAAGTGCCGCCACTCTCTACTGCCTTGACTGCATATTCGACCTGGAAGTTTCGTCCATCAGGGGAGAAGATGGAGTTGAGCAGATCGTAACCCGTGCCTATCGACGTCTATATAAAGAGACAAGCTAGGTCAGCACTTGAAGCTATCCCTCGATGACGACAAGCATGCTTGTTTGGATATGTAATTGATTAGCTTACCATGATGAATGATTTGTCTGGTTAAGTTGATAAAGTGTAAGCCGACAGTGGAGAGGATATCGGGCGGGAATGGGTGACGGAGGGGAGCTGTGTTGTCGAGATGCTTGCGATGGCGTTGGCTTGGAGCTTCCTTCACCTAGGCAGCCTGGAGCTGCGTGTTGCACTTGACCCGGCGGTACACTGCAAGGCTGGGGTATGTGTGCCTGAGGTGTAAAGATATGCGCCACATCTAGAGACAGCCTTGAGAAATGTGGCACGTGGCTGTGAAGACGGGAGTGGCGTGGGAGGATCCGGTGGACCCTTCCAGGTAAATGGATCGCCAGCTCCCCTGCAGCGAAAGCTAAAGGAATTGAAGGTCTAGAACTGCACATCCTTGGAGAGTTTAGCCTCAAGTCTCGGTATCGAACCGACGCAACATGTCATGTGTTTGGAGATGGTTTCAGCTTGGAGTTATGCTTAGCTATAAACTGCTCATTTATTCATGCCATGACCTCAATGAAATATTGACATTGACAATTTAGACTGTCATAATGCCGCCAACATGAGATGAACATGGACCTAACGTTAGCATCGAGACCCAATTCTAGAGCACGCCGTTCAGTTCGCATGCTTCTTGTTAGGCAGGTAACAAATCTTGATAGTGTCGACCCTTGGATGAGGAGCCACTTTAACCACTCACTCACTACACGAACATTTCGCTGTCTACCTGGCGGTGAGTTTGAGGTTCGTTGAGGCCTAATGTGAGTATTGATATATCCATATGGCACTAGAGTTTCTTTTCATTTGCCCAAGACAACAAATCTTGAGACAGGCAGAACAGCACAGTTCACATAAAATGAACCACGTCAAAGCAGATGATTCGGAAACGGAATGCGACAAACCATGTCGGTGCTGAACTAAAGCATAGCAGAGCAATTAGTGTGTGACGGTCGCCGTGTGGCACAGGCTTATTGGGTCACACCAGGTCAATAAGACCAGGGTTTTGGATGAAGCTGTTTGGAGTCGAATCCTTTCTTTGCGTGAAGAAGTGAATGAGGCGAGTGATTTAGTTTCGATGGTTTCTTGATATGGCAGAGACTCACTGATATGATGTTGAGGAAGATCATATACAAAGACATTGAATCATATCCAATATAAAAAAGTGTTGAGATGAGGTATTGCAGAAAGTGGATGTTGTCATAAGAGCCATCATGTGCCTCTGTCAGTTGGTTCCGTGTGTCTTCACTGCGTCATGACCTGGAAAGGTGCCTGAATGCACTGGAGAGTGGGCTACCTAGCGGCTAGATTGTAGTGGGAGGGGTGCCCACTGTCACTGTCACTGTCACTCCTCACTGTCCCTGCCTGTCCCACGTTCCATCTCATCCATCATTGCCCCTCCATCAAATATCCCCCCACGATTCACTCCCAAGAATCCATGGATGGATATTCTTGATTCTTCACGTCAACAACTACAAACCGCTTATTATCTTGATCTCATCGAAACTGACGCAAAGAAACCCCTTTCATCTCTCATTTCGCCTTGTCTTTCACTAATCATCGCATTATCCGCCTCACAAAGAGATCGTCTCAGACCTCCCCCACTAACGTTAACCATTTCACCCCGTGCACTCCCTGCAAGCAACTCGACCCAACGGTCCACCGCTCTTAAGCCCCTCCAGGCCTGGTCCGTCAAGGCCCAACTCAAGGGAAGGGTCCTTTGAGCCACGAACAAGAGACAAACTCCCGTCCCTTTCTTTTTTTATATACCTCCTGTCTCTTCTTCATTGACTTGACTTTTCTTTGACTATCCGTCAAAAAGCTTAGCTTAGCTTTCAAATAAAAAAACAAAGAACCAGAACGTCTTCAGTTCCTTTCCTCGCCTGCGCATGATCCCGAGTCACCTCCGTATCCAACATCGCACCCCTCCGCATTCATTGCCACTTCGAACAAGCATTGTGTCAGTCACATCGATCTGATATTCACAAAACTCCACGGAATCATCGGACTTGAATTCCATCGCTTCTGTGCTCTAATCATTCCATCTACAACAACCGACAGCTGTGCCGCTTCTAACTGAATACTACCTTGACACTCCTTCTGATATCAACCAAACTTGGTATTTATCCTGTCCTTTTTAGCTCGATATCATGCGAAACATGCTAACAAACTTCCAGATACCACAAAATAGCAATCATGTCCTTCATGCAATCACAAGATGAGCTTGCTGCTCTCCTGGCTCGCAACCTGACCTTCAACCCGATCCCGGAGCCTGCCCCTGTACCTCAACAGGAACCCAAAGCAGACAATTCTGAGCCTATCATCTACACTTCCGTCCATTATACACACTCCGCCCATATCACACAAGCAGCTCAGCACCAGGAAATTCCTCGACGATCTTCAGAGCCACCTCAGACTCAAGCGCCAAGTGTCGAGGCCGTCTTGCAATACCATGGTGTTAACCCAGCTACACTCACTCCTTCACAACTCCAGCTTTTCAAGGTCGCCGAGCCTGCTCAGCAGGAGAGACTTATCGAGCTCTGGAACATCTGCCCCCCTGGAAATGGTGGCGATATCCCTGCTCTTGCATGGAGCAGCACTACTGTTGAGAACGAGGAGCAGCTTGCCCGTATCCGTTACGACAGAATCAACCAACAACAGCAAATCATGAGCCTGGATGGCACACAAGTTCAATCAAACGATGGCAGATGGGTTAACCAGCAAGAGCCCGAGACAGAGCCATACATGGCTTCCGGCTATGAGGAGCTCATGCGAAGAGAGCGAGAGCGAGAGGCCCGTGATTCTCAGCCTAGAAGCACTTATGGGCTCTACTCTCACGCCACAGACCCCGTCTACATGGGCCCCGACTACGCTCGTGAGCAGCAACTACTCGAAATGGCGTCCCAATACGGCGCCTGTCAGGGGTTCCGGGCACCTGAGATGGACACCATGGATGTTATGTAAATGATCACCAACATCGGGAAACAGAACAATGTTGTATTTGATTCGACGATCACTCAGTGAGAGTAAAAGAACCTCGAATCGGGTTTCTTTTTTGGCGGTTGAATGAGCTATGCACGCCACTGAGCGCACCGGAAAGGAAATAGGAATGAAGCCATGAGTAACCAGATATTGTATGAGATTTTATAGCTTATTTGTATGGTCATCAGGATGGATGAGAATTATGAGAAACTAGTTTTAAAGGAAAGGAATCGGATGGCGCTGGAGGAGCCTTAGCTTTCAATTTGCAAACTACTTGCTACCTGTTCATTTTCCAATCCTTATTGAATTCCTTCAGTTCGTATAACCGTGATAAGAGCCGTCCAGGTGGGTATTGAAAAGAAATATCCTCTAAGACTTAGGCTACAGAAATAAAGTAGCCTAAATGATAGCCTAAGCTGGCATAAGATCAAATTATTTCATCTCTTGTGCCCTTGGGGCCAATTCTTATGACACCCTGAGGCCGTCCTGTTTATCAGAGGCTGACGACCCCTTGATACTTGTCCAAGAGTGCTGTTATTCAAAGTATGCTGTATGGATGTCACTCGACCTGACCTTGGTGTGTTTCCTATCTATATGTTCATATATAATCCTCAACTTCCTCCGATTGCCGATTCTTGTTCGCTGTTCGCTGTTCGCTGTTCCCCATGCCTGTTGTCTACTTCATTTTGTGTCCGGCTCGAGCAAATCATCCATGTTGTAAAGGGGGTATCAAATTCCATTTAAGCCTTATGAAGTGAATTTTCATCATCGTGCAGTTCAGTATATCCATGTCTAAATCTCAGTCTTCTCGAGCTTCTTTGCCAACTCATCCACCTCCTTGTCCTTGACGGGGATGACAGGCTCCTCCTGAGCCTCCTCGGCCTCCTTGATCAGCTTCTCGGCACGCTCCTTAGGCTCGACGTCTTCCTCCTCTTCCTCCTCTTCCTCAGCATCGCTGTCGGGCTCCTCAAGCTCATCGAGCTCGTCGACACCCCACTCGTCTTCGTTGACGATGTCGCCACCAAACTTCTCCTTGCGCTCTTCGAGAAGCTCCTGGAGGACTGTGATAGACTCGTCATCCTCGGTGAGGATATTGCCGTTGATCTCGATGCGCTTCAGGGCGGGTAGACCGTCCTTGGCAGCAGTGGCGAAGGCCTTGATGCCCTTGGCAGGGATTTCGTTGTACTGTAGTCGCAGTATCTCGAGCTTGTTGTTATTTCCCTTAGCCAGAGCGTTGGCAACGAGAACACCACCCTTGGAACCCAGAAGAGAGTCACCGACACCAAGCTCTTGAATGGTAGCCCAGTTTGAAACGACCTTGGACAAAGCCCTGGCGCCGGTAACAGTGAAAGTGTTGTCCTGCAAGTCGAGAACCTTGAGCTCAGAAGCGTGGCTGAGACCCTCGGTCAGAAGGTGAGAGACACCCTCCTGTCGGATGCCGTTTTGAACCATCTTTACGGTCTTGATCTTGTTGTGGAGCTTGTAAGCCTTGGCCCAGGCGGTCATACTTCCGTTCTCCAATCGGTTGCGACCGCAAATAACAGTCTCAAGATCGGGAACCTCCTTTCCTTCCTTTCGAGCGGCCTCCTTCTTGCCGTGAAGCTCCGAGAGAGCGTCGGCGATGAGGATACCAGCATGAGGACCCATGCCGTTGTTGTTCAGGTAGAGGTGCTGAAGAGGGACGTGGGCGGAGAGGAAAGCCACGAGAGGCGCTTGAACGTTCAAGCCGAAAGCATTGTCGTTAAGGTTGACAGTGTTGAGTTTGGGGAGGTTGAGGACAGAGGTCAGGAGAGAGGAGATGGCGTCGGGAATCTCGCTCAGGAGTCGACCGGTGAAGATGTCGGCGAAGTTGGCGACCTGTAGTAAAATGCATTAGCAGACGTAAGACATAGAACAGGAAGATATCAACATACTCGGAGGTTCTTCTTGGTCGCAAGGACCTCACCAAGGCGCTGGCAAGCGCCAACACCTAGAGTGTTGCCCAGAATGCGAACCTCCTCGACATCTTGAGATCGAAGAGGGGCAATGTGAGCCTCGATATCCTCAGCAGTGTCGAGCTTGAGGCCCTTTCCCTCGAGGGAAAACACCTTGTTTGAAGAAGCCATTCTATAATAAAGAGAGAGCAAGGAGCGGATCGCTATGAAGGAAAGAAAAAAGCTGTATTGATTTCCAAACCCAAAGGAAAAGTCGTAGTTTAAGTCAAAAGAGTGTCGAAGTTTGGTGTGAGTCTGAATTCAGTCCAAGGTGGGGGTGGGGCAAGAAGCAGGTAGGCAGAATCAGGCAGTAGGTGAATAACCCAATTAGGCTTGAACATGGTCCCTGATTTGTTTTTGCAATTCCCCATCGCTATGGGCAGCCGAGCGAGTTCAGGCAGCTGGATCCAGCTGGGACAAGCCCCTAGTACTACTGGAGTGCTGGCTGCTGGGTCTTACAGAGTGTCGAACCCGACTTTATCCCGGAGATCGGAAAAATTTGGAAGGCTCACGGCGGAGGTCACCTGCCCGTTCAGCCGAGCAAGGCGAGAGCGGTCGAGCACGTGACCTAGATCCGACCCGCATCCAATCAGCGTCGGCTTATTGGAACGCTCGATAGGATTTTGTCTGATGCTGCTAATGATCTCTGCTTGAGCCCTTTTGTCCTCCGACTCCGAGAACGACCTCCCCATCTCGCCGCCTCACATTCGATCGCAGCAGTGACGGTCTAGCTCGCCCATAATGTTTGCTAGGTCGTGTTTGCGCTCGACGCGCACCTTCAATGGCCTCCGCAACGGCCCTTCCAATGTCGCCAAGGTATGGCACGATTCTATCACCTCTGCCAACGAGCTTCCCGTTTGCCGAGATATCATCATCACGAACCTCGACACGCCACAACCACGCCAATCGCATCACAATGCGCCTCAATTGCATGTACAAGATTGCTGACGGTCTTTTCTTTCCAGCGTGCCGCTTCCTCGAGCTCCAACGCCGCCGGTGATGCCACTGCCACTCGACTGAACTTGGCCGCCGCCGCCTCGACTACTCTCGCCCTCGGCTCCATGGCCTGGTACTACCATCTCTATGGACCTGTGGCCTTTGCCATGACTCCCGCTGAGGAGGGGTACGTTCTGTCCCCGGCTATCGATTTTTGAAGTTCGATGTTGTCACCATTCCGGTGATGAGGCATAAATTCAGCCCATCGATGATTCGCACGGCTATTGCATCAACAGTCACTAACAGTATCAATATAGTCTTCACCCTACCAAGTACCCTTGGGTTCACAACCAGTGGTTCAAGACCTTCGACCACCAGGCGTAAGATGCCACCGATTCCGTTGAATACGCCATATCGAATTACTGACACCCTTAACAGTCTCCGCCGTGGTTTCCAGGTCTACCAGGAGGTCTGCCAATCCTGCCACTCCCTTAGCCGAATCCCCTACCGAACTCTCGTCGGTTCCATCTTGACCGTTGACGAGGCCAAGGCCCTTGCCGAGGAGAACGAGTACCCCGGTGAGCCCGATGAGCAGGGCGAGATCCAGATGCGTCCCGGAAAGCTGGCCGACTACATGCTTCCCCCTTACAAGAACGAGGAGGCTGCCCGATTCGCCAACAACGGTGCTCTTCCCCCGGATCTGTCTCTCATCATCAAGGCCCGTCACGGTGGCTGTGATTACATCTTCAGCTTGCTTACTGGCTACCCCGAGGAGCCCCCTGCTGGTACTCAGGTTGCCCCTGGCATGAACTTCAATCCTTACTTCCCCGGTACCGGTATCGCCATGGCTCGTGTCCTCTACGAAGGTCTCGTCGAGTACGAGGATGGAACCCCCGCCACCACCTCTCAGATGGCCAAGGATGTTGTCGAGTTCCTCAACTGGGCTGCTGAGCCTGAGATGGACGACCGAAAGCGCATGGGTATGAAGGTTCTGGTTGTCTCTGCCTCTCTGTGGGCTGTCAGTGTCTGGGTTAAGCGATACAAGTGGGCCTGGCTCAAGTCCCGAAAGATCGCCTACGACCCTCCTAAGGAGGTCAAGGTCCGCCGCTAAACGGGCAAGATCTCAAAATCTCATTTGTATACTAGTCGCCCCCTAGAGCAGCTCCTTTGTCGGCGGTGGCGGGTAGAAAAGAAGTCTGGTCGTGGAAGGGAATGAAGTTTGGAGGTGGATGTTAGAGTGTAAATCAGATGAATCGTTTTCAATACCTTATTCGACAGTACTACGATTGGGGTCTTGCATGGGTGACTGGTAGCAATATGTGAAGCTCCATATACTGGATGGACATAATGATTTCTCACTATATAATACCAAATTTGAATCGCCCGAGTCTCACGAGTAGACTTGCATGATATTGGAGCAAAGAATTGTTTAAGGGATCTTTATTTTTACGATTCGATTTTGATCCGAGGAGATTTAGTGACCGTTCAGACGGCTCATACCAAGAAAAAGATTGAGCAAGTGGTTGTTAAAGTGATGTGATATGTGTGCAGGGTGACGGCGGCTGTCCATGGCTTGTAAATAGTAGCATGGATGCTGTCCTAGGCTATTCAATAGATTCTTGGATTCATAAAACCCCGCCTCCACCCATTGGCCATGTGATGTAGGCATCGGATACCACGATGACATTTTGACTCTTACGTGAAGCTATAGTGGCTTGAGAATTGACTTTTTCCAAGAGTTAGAACTGTTTCCCATGCAAACAACTCCAGCTATATTCAATTACATTAATGCTGAATCAATCTTTACGACTTCATACTGTACCAATAATCCGCTGTGAATTGCTGGGTCTTAAGAGGTTCACACCACTATCATCCAGGTTGCACCAGGCCTCCTCCACTGTCATTGGCTACTACTCGGCTAGCGCCACAATGTCAACGTCCACACCCGAAGCAGGAGCCACTTTTCTCGATGTTGCAGCAGCAGGTGCCTTCCTTAGTGACCAGTTACCGTCGCTCCTCTCAACCACTCTCCTTCAATCCTGCTCAGCTCTTAACTTGCTCCTCTCACCTCCTTACTTCTCAACCTTGCTTACCACCTAAATCTTCCTTTCTTACAGTACAAGAAATCTTTACCGGTATATACATACCTTCATTGCTGGACCTTCTTCTTCCCTTACCACAAATTTACTTTGCCACGCCGTGCGTGCCCAATAAGCAGCACTGGCAAAAAACCACCTCACGATGCCTTTTGTTGGAGAAGACGTCCATTCAGGACGCAAACGAAGATACAGCGACGACGATGATCGACTTGCATTTCCAACATACCACCCAGAAGGCTCCAGGGACATTTATGTTGTCAAACAGAAGCCGGAATTCGCATTTCGAAAGGTCCTTCCAGTGTCCAAGCGAATCCGCACCACCAGCGACGATATTGATACAGACGACTCGAACACGAACACCCGAGGCCGGCGTCTATCGCAGATCAAGGCGCTTCAGTTCCAGCCTGCTACCAAGACCATTCTTGCTGCCTGCCACATCTGCCACCGCAAACCAACCAAAAAAACACATCTCGACTCTTTTGCCGACTGCCAAGGCTGTGGGGAGCGTACTTGCTTCGTATGCATCCGCGAATGTCATGGATGGAACATGGATGGAGACTCTGGAGTCTCGGAGCAAGAAGCACTTTCAAGATCGTTCCACATGCATGATGTGGACGACGAACAACAACACAATACCAACATGAAGGAAAGACAGCAAACGAACCAAGGATGGAACGCTGTTGGGCATCAGGCTGTAGTATGCAGTCGTTGCTGTATCGAACGAGGTACAGAAGGCGAGGTTACGTGCCTGGGTTGCTTTTCTAAAATGGAGGGCTCATGATTTAGAACGGGGTACGGCATGCATGGCGTTTGTTTACGAATAATGATGGTTTATCGGGCATTCGCTGGGTGCATTTATTTACACTGCCTTAAGAAGACTCAAGACTATGACAGCAATTTTGGCTGGGAGGGCATGGATGCAAAGGAATTATTGGTACAGCTTGTTGCGCTGTTGGGTGGGTAATGAATGGTGTTTGGAGCAAAGGGCCTCGATGGCCTTGTTTTTAAAGCATCTGAACTGCAACTGGGAATATTTGTTTTAGCGTTAGATAGATTCTGTAGATATCAATGATTAGGACACTACGGCTTGCAACATTGCGATAATTCACGTTTGAGTAGAAATGATATTCATCAGAAGCAATTTGTTCATTGTGACGTCCAAAGTTCCGCCATCTAATTGCCCTCTAATCATACACCGCATTAAATTACACCTCTCGCTATGGTAAGTATGTCTAGTTGTACTGCATGTACGTTGCCGTAGAGTTGAACTTCAGGTTGCCCTTGATAACCTTGTCTACCGCACTGAGGAAATCCTTCTCTGAAGCAACCTTTCTTCTCGCACGAATGGCGTACATGCCGGCCTCAGTGCAGACACTGCGCAGCTCAGCACCTGTAGCGTTGGGGCAGAGACGAGAGATGAGCTCCCATCGAATATCTCGCTCGACAGACATGGACTTGGCGTGAATGCGAAGAATGTTGGCACGGCCCTCAAGATCAGGCAATGAGAACTCAATCTTTCGGTCGATACGTCCAGGTCGCATCAGAGCAGGATCCAATGTCGAGGGTCTGTTGGTGGCGAACATAACCTTGATGTTTCCTCGAGCATCGAATCCATCAAGCTGGGTAATAAGCTCCAGCATAGTACGTTGGACTTCGTTATCTCCACCAGCACCGTCATCAAATCGAGCACCACCAATAGCATCGATTTCATCAAAGAAGATAATGCAAGCCTTCTTAGTTCGTGCCATCTCGAACAATTCTCTGACCATCCTTGCGCCTTCACCAACGTATTTCTGGACCAACTCACTACCGATAACTCGAATGAAGGTAGCGTCTGTTCGGTTGGCGACAGCTCGGGCACAAAGAGTCTTTCCGGTTCCGGGAGGGCCGTAAAGCAGCGCACCCTTGGGGGGATCGATACCCAGGTTCACGAAACGTTCGGGAGAAAGCAGGGGCATCTCAACGACTTCTCGCAGCTTCTCGACCTGCTCCTTGCAACCACCAACATCACCATAGGTGACGTCAGGCTTCTCCTCCACAGTCATCATCGTTACGCTCGCATCGATCTTGGGCGGTAGCGGAAGCATGATCTGGTACTTGTTGCGGTCGACACCGACACGCATACCTTCCTCGATATCTGTAGGACTGACTCGTTCTCCAAGCTGGACAACAAACTTGGCAATTTGTTTGACGTTGATCACGTACTTGCTTTTGGATTCGTCGCCCTTCTCGTCTGCGATAATCTTCGTGCATCGTGCTACCTGAAATGGCTGCTCTTCAGACATTCGTTGACGGTCAGCAGCGACATCCCATAGATGAGGTGGCGCAAGTCCTGTGTCGGATTCCTGCGGCGGTTAGTATGAGATGCTGTTTGGCGCATGATGAGTCCAACCTTGACACCAATCTTCTCGTCGACACTTTGTTGCTTCTCCTTGATTTGCTTTTCGAGCTTCTTGATAGATGTTCCATAAGGCGCGGCACCGTAGGTCTTGAGGACCTGGATATCCCTGGCAGTGGGTTAGCTGACCGTCGCATTGTTATCGTAGAGAATGCGGTCCATACTCGTCTGTTAGAGGTGTGATCTTCTTCTCTTCTATCTCATCGTCGGCATAGTTCTTCTGGTACTTCTCCCAGTTCGAGCCGGTTGCGGAAGGCTAAAGTAGGCTGTTAGAACGGTACATAATCGAGCTTCCATGGATACACGTCAACTAACCATGATGAAATCCGCAAGTCTCCAGTAGTGTAATAAAGTCGTGTAGTGTGAATTCGCTCCTCTTTAGGCGTTGAGTTGATGGGATATCTATGTTGGAGAACGAGAGTCGAATTGTCGTTGCTGGAGCCGTGGTTGTTTGGGGTTGGAGGTGTCACCGAAGGCCTTCCGTAATCTGTGAGTTGCCTTGAGCGAGCTTGGAGCACGGACCCACGCAATAGGTAGTGGCTGCTGGTTGCTCGAGAAGTGCACTAGACCCATGAGGGGCTAGCTCAAGGAACCCCTCGGAGCTGGATGATCTGTACCCCCGATCCAAAATTTCTAGGTTGACATTTCTATGGCGGAGTAGGGCAGCCTAGGGGAGGTGGGACATCTCCAAAGAAGTCCAGCCGTGTTTCCTTCAAAGCCCCGCCATCAACATCACTTCTTTACTTTGAGGATACCAGCGACCGCTAATTCATTCTCAAAAAATGTCTGCACCGGCTACAGCTTCAGCCCCTGCAGCGGGTGGCTCTAGCAATGCTACTTTCCGGGTACGGACAGCTTATATAAAGCTTGTGAGCTTCACCCCGCTAACTATATGGATAGGATAAGGAGAAGCCCATGGCGGTTCGCTCTTCCAACATCGTCGCCGCTCGAGGTATGGCGCTTTCGATCCAACCACAACCTTCAACTAGGCTAACGATTATATAGCCGTCGCCGATGCTATCAGAACTTCCCTCGGTCCTCGAGGAATGGACAAGATGATTCGAGGTGGAAAGGGCGAGACTATCATCACCAACGATGGAAACACTATGCTCAAGAGCATGTCGGTCATGCACCCTACAGCGAAGATGCTTGTCAACCTTTCCGGTGCTCAGGATGTCGAGGCTGGTGACGGAACAACCTCCGTTGTCGTCATTTGCGGTAGTCTGCTCGGTGCTGCTGACCGACTTCTCTCTAAGGGTATTCACCCTTCCGTTATCTCGGAGTCTTTCCAACGAGCTGCCGCCGCCGCCGTCGAGGTCCTCCACGATATGTCACTGCCGATTACTCTTAGCGATACCTCCTCGCTTCTCCAAGCCGCCAACACATCTCTGTCATCCAAGATCGTGTCACAATATTCGAACCTGCTGGGACCTATGGCGGTGAACTCTGTCACCAAGACTATCGACCTCAAGACCGCCGACAACGTCGATCTTAAGAACATTCGAATTGTCAAGCGAGTTGGTGGAACGATCGAGGACAGTGAGCTTGTTGATGGTCTGGTTCTTACTCAGCCTGTCCTCAAGAACGCTGGTGGTCCTGCCCGCATGGAGAAGGCTCGCATTGGTCTCATTCAATTCCAATTGAGCCCTCCTAAGCCTGATGTATGTTGTAACATATCTATACATAGACTCACGATCTTTCACTAACAGTCCACAGATGGAGAACACTATTCAGGTCAACGACTACCGACAGATGGACAAGATCGTTAAGGAGGAACGACTATACCTTCTCAACATGGCCAAGAAGATTAAGAAGGCCAAGTGCAACGTTCTATTTATCCAGAAGTCCATTCTACGAGATGCCGTTAACGATCTATCGCTACACTTTTTGGCCAAGCTCGGCATCCTTGCAGTCAAGGATATCGAGCGTGACGAGGTCGAGTTTATCTGCAAGTCTACTGGCTGCAAGCCCATTGCCGATATCGACTCATTCACCGAGGACAAGCTGGGATATGCTGATCTGGTTGAGGAGGTTCAGTCTTCAGGATCGCGCATGGTCAAGGTTACCGGTACCAAGTCTGTTGGCAAGACCGTTTCCGTTGTTGTTCGAGGTGCCAACTCTCTGATCTTGGAGGAGGCCGAACGAAGTCTGCACGATGCCCTTTGCGTTGTGCGATGTCTGGTTAAGAAGAAGGCTCTTATCGCTGGTGGTGGTGCCCCTGAGATTGAGATTGCCGCACAGCTGTCCAAGCAGGCGCGCAGCTTGACAGGCACTGAGGCCATTTGCTGGAAGGCTTTCGCTGATGCTCTTGAGGTTATCCCCACCACGCTGGCTGAGAACGCCGGTTTGAACAGTATCAAGGTTGTTACAGAACTTCGACACCGTCACGAGATGGGCGAGAAGAACGCTGGAGTCAGTATCAAGTCGGGAGGTGTCAACACCAACATTTCCAAGGAGAATGTGTTGCAGCCTCTCCTCGTGAGCACAAGCGCAATCGAGCTGGCGGCTGAGACTGTCAAGATGATTCTGAGGATAGACGACATTGCTTTGACCCGATAGAGTGAGATATCCCCTCAGCAGGATCTGCCTTGAGTTGTATGAAAATATCAAAATGGGTTATGAATCTGCTAAAAGTATTGAACTGTATAGACTGGGTTATAACGCCCATAATTGACACATGTGATGATAAAATCCTTTTGCGACTGGTGATTTGTGCATTCATAAATGGTCGGGCAGGCAGGCCATCCAGAATTTGAGCATTTGGTGTAAGGGGAGGAGGCCGCTCCTTCCTTCCCTCCAAGTATGCGTTGTCTACCTCGAACAAACCACTCCTTCAACACAACACCGCAAGATTCTAGCGACAGTTCACAGCAGAATATTCAAAATATTCATTCGTTCATTTAATTTCATTCCAATTTATCGATCATGCCACACCGAAATTCAGGCAATGGTTCTGGAGGAGAAGATAGCGATCCCGGCGCAATTACTATGCAAGCACAGCAGCGGTTGGAAAAGGTGAGACTGGACAATTCTAATCTTTGCCTCTAGTTAACGGCTTCCCTTCCAGCTGAAAAATGAACGGAGCGAAAGCATGAACGAGGTCGTTAAAGAGACAGCTGTGGAAATGGCAGACCTGCGCTCTCGTGTTATGGCTTTCCAACAAAACCGACGGTCTACAGAGTGCGTTTCCCCTCTTCGCTTGCCGTTTGTGGTTCTATCTGAAGCTTACTTTTACTAGGAAGGAAGTCGTTGCTTCTGCTGTTACCAAGCTCGTCGAGGCCGCCGAGCGCAGGAGAGAGATCGAACAGCAGATGGAGACACTCATCAATCAAGTCACTGCTACCACCGAGGCGCTTGAAGAGATGATGAGAATAGGCATCAAGGGCAGGATAGATGATGTCAAGAAACAAAATAACTGAAAGATACGGCGGGGCTATCATATTGTCATTTCAGAGTCAGCATCTGCAAGTCGGCAGCATCGGAGAGCCAAGGCATGTTCGACGGAGCCATTTTTGAGCCACAGAAACTGTCAATTCCGAACTACAGATCCCAGGATGCAGTATGAACTGCGAGTAACGTTTTCCCCCGCATGCGCAACTCTACGTACACTCAAAATATCACGCCACTGCTGTCAGCGACAGCAGCAAAAGTTGTCCAGAGAGGAAAATGGATGGATTGCCCGTAATTCTACATTGTATCGTATAATAGTGTACACGGCCCGTAGTCTATGACCAAAAGAATCGTTTCATCGTCTGCAGTCGTCGTTTTCCCCTTCAAACCTGGAACCCAAAGCCAGACATACAAGAACGGTACTGGTCGATCATGGACTTGCAGTCGGCGGCGGGGTCCTTTGCGTTGGAGAAGAGCATGCACTCATCACGCTTGGCCTTTTCGTCCTTGCACACGCAACAGGGCTTTAAAGAGTGTTAGTAACGCAATTGGGAGAATTGGTAGGTAAGGCTCACCTTTGGCTTGTTGGTGGCCGTTGTGGAGGAAGACGCAACGTTTGCGGCGGCGCTCACGGGCGAGGCTTTAGACTGTTAGCAATGATTGAAGAGGATCAACATCAGAGTGAGGCATACAGATTGTTGTTTGAGCAGCGTCCATTGTGTCTGTAAGATAATAATTCGGGGGGTTGCGAATTAACGATTTTGGTAAGAAAAAGAATCACCGGCTAAGTTGACGTTGGAGCTACCGAATCTACGGGCCGCAAATACATCACTCACTGCAGGGCAGGCCCAGGCCGTTCTTCAATTTCTAAGCTGCGTTAATGAAGCTGACCAATCATTGTTTACTTCTCACGTGGCGTCGCGATGACTTCGCGCATTGAATTTTGACGTCATTCTCAACTTGGAGAATTGACTTTAAAGGAAAGAGCCAGGTAGGTAGGTATACGGTCTCTATGAGATACCCAACTCAAAAGACAACAATAAGAATGTTGAGTTTGTTGGTTAACATTGCCATTTTAAACATTCCCAACATCCTCTTATTACCTCTTTGGGATAATGGTCCCTGTGGTATACATGCAGCCGGCGTCTCCCGGTGATAATTAGTGAAGGGTCCCACTGTTGGTGAACGGCTTTTACGGATCTATGCCGGCGACAAGGCCATATTCTCACCCGCTTGGTGATGTTTCTGCGGTGTCAAAGTTCAAGATGTAATCACATCCAATCATTTTCTAACCTAACTTAGACCTCACCTCAACAGTCGCCATATGAATTCCTAGACTGATCCTTTCGTATTTGGAGAGCCAATAATCGATTGAGGGGACTGTCAGGGCACAGGAGTAAACCGGGCTTCTGGGAACGGTGACTATCATTTGGCTCAACATATGTTCCATTGACTAAGAGTATAAAGACGGTTCCTTATTCTCTCAACTTGCATTTTCATCATACCAATCCTTTCAAGACCATCATCACTCATTGTTCAAGTAACTTGAAACTGCAACTTCATCATGCTCACCGTCGATGAAATCCGGGCTCTTGCAGATGTGCACCCTGAATTCGAGCCAGTGAGTCACCATCTGGTCTTAACACTCGCGTTATTAACAAGAACCAGATCGTCAGGGCTCATAACCCAATGCTCAATGGGTGGGACATGAATACCGAGCTCGAGGCCTTCAGAGAGATGATGGCACAGCTCAGACAGTCCCAGCCCAAGCCTGACCCCGAGACTCTCCTCTATCAGATGCAAGACTTCAAGATTCCTCTTCGAGATGGCTTTGAAGTCAATGCACGATCGTACACTCCAAAGGGTGATACTCCCTTTGATGGACGCCCTGGACTGGTCGTCTTTCACGGCGGTGGCTTCGTCACGGGTGATTTCGAAACTGAGGCTGGCCTTTGTGCAGAGTTCACAAAGCTTGGAGGTATTGCTGTTAATGTCGACTACAGGCATGCACCTGAGCATGTCTTTCCTCAGGCTATCAATGATGCTTTTGATGCAACTGTTTGGGTAAGTACATAATTAGGGTTTCGTTCCCGAGATGAAGACGATGATATACTAAAGCAAAGTAGGCCTCTCAGAACGTAGAGAAGCTTGGTATCAATCCTTCTAAGGGCTTCATCATTGGAGGTACCAGTTCAGGGGCAGATATTTCCCTGGCTGTTTCGAACTTATACCACGATGCTAAGAACGAACCTCATCTCACGGGCGTCTATGCCCCAATCACTTCTGGTGTAAATGATCAGACAGTCCCTGAGAAATACAAGAATCACTTCATCAGTATGGAGCAGTGTGCCAAGGCTCCTGTTTTCAGCGCAGAGTCGATGAAGTTTGTCCACTGTGAGTCGTTTCGCTCATGCTGTACAGAATCACACTAACCAAAATTTAAAGCCAAGTACAAACCCGACATGAAGAGCCCTTTGGCATCTCCGGTTGCATTTCCCAGCCACACGGGACTGCCCAAGACTTACTTCCAAGCTTGTGGTTTGGACCCCGTTCGAGACTGCAGCATTGTACTTGAGCAGGTCTACAGAGATGCAGGAGTCCCTACCAAGATGGATATTTACCCTGGTCTACCCCATGCGTTCTGGGCTATGTTTCCCGAACTTGAGATTTCGCAGAAGCGTGAGAGGGATGCTGTCGAAGGTCTGAAGTGGCTGCTTGAGTGATGTGATTTCTATCATTTATCCAAATAAATAGATGAAGGTGGTTAAAGACTTCAAGAGTCAGAAATATATTATTCGAGTTATTTGCCGCATATACTGAGTGACAAGTGATGGGGTGACGTAGACCAGCCGTGTAAGTGGTAAGTGGGCAGACTGAAATCGGGAGACCGTCAATCACAAGCTAAGGCTGAGATATGAAGACGTAAGATAGAGTCGCGTCTTGGAGCCTGAAGTTAATGGCAGAAGATCAACTACGATATGACGAATTAAATTATAACAACGACATTACAGTATGTGTCGCCTACGCGGCTGTTGTTGACTGAGACTGATCGATCTAATCTGATGTGGCGACCCAAGCAGACTAACAATAAGTGAGTCAGCATTTTAGGCGCCTGATCCTTAGCTTTTTTCTTTTCCCAACTAAAACATGCTAATGGATTCTTTTAGCTGCCATTCTCTTCCAGGTCGGACAGATTATTATTTGCTGCTGTCCGAAACAGAAGCACCCTCGCACATTAGAAGAGTGCGAAAAAGGTCACAAACAGACTCGGCACCGAATCAACAGACGGTTCTGAATCTAGAGTGTGGTCCAATTTATTCGCCCCCGGACATGTCATTGGATCTTCGGGGCCGCTTATACCCTTTTCAACCCCAGACTCGGGAACTTGCTCTATTGTTTTGGAGGCGAAAGTGACCAGACGCGCGGCGAGATCATGTCCCGAATAGAGGATGCCTCTTCAATTTCTCCGCATGTCTAAATGGTCCGATTGATTGTTTCTGAATACGTGCCTTCTTTTTGCCTAGTCAAGGTTACGATGCGGGTTACGCATGTGTCTAGATCTCGCCTCTAGCGGACGAGATGCCCCATCTAGTTAATATGGAGAATTTTTTATATAAATCGCATGCTGTCTCTGTCTCCATGATACGATATTTACCACCAGCTTCACTCACTTACACAAACACTCTAACTCTACCTACTGAATACTTTTATCATGAGTCCACACCAGAACCCATACAACAACATGAACTTCTGGGACTTTGTCCAGAACTTCGATCCCAACCAGGCAACCGGCCGTGGCGTTGACCACCAATCCGACACTCCTTTCCCTTCTTTCATGGCCGGTTTCCCTTTTGGAGGTCCAGGAGTTGGCGCTCCCGGTCCTAACCACGGCCGTCCTCATGGACCCCCAGGTCCTCCCCCACCTCCTGAGGCCGATGGCTTCGTCTGGGGTCCTTGGTTCGCCGGCGAGAACGCTCCCGAGCCTCGCACTCGCCAGCAGCAAACCGAGACCCAGGACACAACTACCAAAAGCGAAAGCCGCCCTTCTGAAGAGACTCTGAACGTCTCTGACCCTGAAGAAGTTGCTCCTGAGGAGAACCAGTGCGGTGCTGGTCCTGAGTGGCCTGGACGAGGTCGTGGCCGTGGCCGCGGAGGTCCCCGATGTGGTCGTGGAGGACGAGGTCGTGGACCTTTCCCTCATCATGGACCTCACCATGGCCCTCACCACGGTCCTCACCCTCCTCCTCCTCCCTACGCCGCTCCTTTTGACTTCTCTTCTATGTTCCGCGGCTGGGCCAGCCACCCTTTCTTCCGCAACATGCGCGACCAATTCCAGGAGTCTCAGAACCAAAACCCCACCACCACCAACGAATCCTCAGACTCCTCCTTCAGCCCACCCATTGACGTCTTCAACACCGAGAAGTCGTACGTCATCCACGTTGCCCTTCCAGGCGCAAAGAAGGAGGACATCGGTGTCAACTGGGACGCCGCCCGCAAGCTTCTCAAGATCGCTGGTGTCGTCCACCGTCCCGGCGACGAGGCCTTCCTCAACTCCCTCGCCTCTGGTGAGCGCAAGGTCGGCATGTTCGAGCGCAGTGTGACGCTTCCTCCTGCTGGAGCTGATGAGCGCGACGAGGTTGACGGTCTGGGCATCACGGCTAAGATGGAGGATGGTGTTTTGATCATCACTGTTCCCAAGGCCGAGAAGGAGTGGACTGAGATCCACAAGATCGACATTGAGTAAGGATAGGGTAGGAAACTTATGAGCACGGGAACGAAAAGGAACGGGAACGATATGGTATGCTATGATATGATATCCACACTTTTGACGGAGTTCTAGTAGATAGCCTTTGATCATCTTGGTATACGCTAGTTTGGACTTTTATTTGCTTTTGTTTTTGCACGAATACCTTTATCTAGATAATCGGAGGATAAAAATGGAAAATAACTTTAAAATCATCAATGTCTCACATTTTGACGTGACCTGCATAACCAGTCTGTTGTGACACTATCTATGTCTCTTGCCTAATCACATAGGTACCCCCATACGTCTGTCCATTTTAATTATTTTTATTTTTACTTCATTTGGTATATATATTCAGTCTATCAGCCTAAAGCTGAAACATGTCTTCATCTCCATAAAGCCTATGCAATGGGTATATGCTAGAATGTAGGGGTGTTCTATCTAAAGAAAAAGGGGTTCAAGGACTCTCCAAGCCCAAAACGTCGAAAAAAGGGGGTGAATACAAATGCTCTAAAGCGCTTCCATCATGTTGGTGAAAGAGAAAAAGATGTTCGCGTGCTCTCTTCGCAATATGCAATTTCATATGATATCCTTCCAGGGTGAGAAGAGAAAAATGGTGAAGACAAAGGAAAATGATATAAAAACCAGCAAAACTCCATGGGGAATCCTCAACGTCCAATCATTAGAAAGATCCAGTATATCGAGCTAAGCATATCCCTCGATCACTGTGAAAAAGAATGTGTGAAGCCTTTTGCTATAGCTCCAGTTCGCGGGTGACCTCCTCGCGTACGTGGCGAGACCACTTGAGGATGGCTTCCTCAAAGTCCACCCAGACCTGGGGGGATGTGTTGTACTGGACACCCAAAGCATCGACCTTGAGCATGATCTCAAATCGCAGTTCAGCTGCCTTGACCCAGTAGCGTAGGTTGTCGGCGCAGCGGTAGGGTTTCTGGGTGTCCGTGTGGTATGATCCGATAGCGCCGAATCGTCTTCGTGATTTGTACACAACAGCGTTGTGAAGCTTGACGAGTCGGACACCGTCTTGCATAGCTTCGAGGAAAGGCGTGGGCTTCTCGTCTGTGGCCGACATTGGCTTCCACTCGGGCAGAGGCTCGGATGTGTCCATGGACATGAGGAATTGTCGCTCTCGCTCCATCTCGCGGCCAGTCCAGTCACCCTTGAGCCAGGACCATCCGTCCCTCTCAGCAATCTCAGCATCCTCAATCTCTTGCTCCTGCTTCAAGATATCAAACACACTGTCGACCCAGTTGATCATTGTCTTGATCTCATCCTCCTTCATACCATCCTTGAAATTTCTAGTGGCCATCTGCCTTAAAGTTTCCATCACAGCCAGCAAATCCGCCCTGACCTGCTTCTCGGGTTTAATAGAGTCAAGGCGGTCGGGCAGCTCATGTGCTGTGTAATAGATCTTTGCTGAGCGGATAGCCAGGGTCACAACATCGAGAATGTGCATTCCCTGGAGCTCAAACCATCCCTGGCTGTTTTCCTCTGGCATGTTGGGATATTTGGGGGCTTCGGCCGGTGCCTTATAAGTTCCGACTCGTCGCGCCTCCACCTCGTCCAACGCGATCTTTGCCTCACCTAGCGTCTGCTCAAGTTCCGACTTGAGCTCCATAATGGTAGGGGGTTTCGGGACTACCTTTTCTCGGTGATGATATGTGCTCACAGTTGGTGGCAGCATATCTCCAACATCGCTGAAGTTGTCTTCGTAGAACTCCTCAATCTCTTCAGTAGGAGATTCGACGAGGTCGGTACCGAACTCCTGCGAGTTGAAGTCGGGGCTGCTGCTGGTGGAAGCATAGGAAGAGTCGACATCCGAACCAACAATTTTGGGTAACGAGCCGGGGTTGGTATCCAGAGACGAGAGATCGAGGGTCGCGCGTTGCTGCTTCTTTCTAGCCAACTGTCCGCCCTTGCCGTCAAGTAGACCTGTCCTGGCGAAGTAGTACTGCAGATGTGCGATGCTGCCAAGGCTCATAACACTTTCACGAGATCGTGCACTCTCGGCGAAATCGGTTCCTTGTGGTCTCATGTAACCACGACGGCGGCTCCTGCCATCAAAGTTGTAGCTGGAATGCCTGGAAGTGGATACATCACGGCGCTGCTTCATGCTGTTGACGTCGAGGCTGCCGGTGGAGTGGCGGTTGTAGTTTTCGATGCCGAGTGAATCCCGGGAGTTGGCATCGTTACTACCGTGAGACCATGAGGATGTTGTCGACAAGCAGCGGGAGAGCTCTGGGCATGCGCCGAGGGCCGGAGTTGGCAGGGCATCTGGAGGCGGCGATTCGCAGCGGAGTGACGGTGTTTGATTGTTGGCGGTGGCCATCATGTCGGTGCGTTGCGGTACTAAGGAATGAACGGTCTAGTGCTGTGATGATGCAGCTGGAAATGTCGATGTGCAGTCTTGTATGAGACAAGCCGCGAAGGATCGGCCTTGTGAGTGTCCGGACAGTAGTTTGTGCGTGACGTGATGTGTGATATGATGTGAATAATGATCTGCACTTATACAGATGCACAAACACACGAGATGAGGTCGGTCCCACTCGACACGATAGCTCGCTCAGGATAGCTCGGTTGGTACAGTAGCCTAACGGAAATGGAGACTCCCGCGGTATGGGACAAGGTAGGGCTACGCTGTGGCCAAGATAGATAGAGAGCGCAAAGTAGAAATTGAGAGAGCGAATAGAAGAGACAACGATGGTCAGTCAAGTATAACTGACAGCAACTATCGAGGGGTACCGTAGCAAAGAAGAGGACAGAACAGGCAGGACAAGTCAATGCCGGGCAAGAGAATGAATGACAGAACGTGACAAGACAAGGAGGGGGAAGGGATTAGATTAATTAAAAAGAGCCGAAAGATGAGAGTGAAGGGGCAATTGGATGGATGGATGAATGATTTCCTTTTCCAGCGGGGTCTGCAATGGATAAGTACCTAAAAGTAAGGTGGTGATCCAATGTTATGGGGCGACCTATAATAACTAATGGATGGGGATGCCGGGCTTGACTTTCAGTGGTTGGCGGGACAGGCACGGGCGAAATTACACCTGCAGCTCCAAGCTCCAGTTCATCCGTTTTCGCTGATACCGACTGGACAGGAACCCGACAAAACTTGGACAGGGGTAAAGTTATTAACGGCGATGGAGATGGAGAGACTCCGTTTTCTGTGGTAAACAGAGCAAGGGTTTGACTTTCCCTTTCTTCCAGAAGCCGTTTGATGTCAGGGTTTATCGGTACCAAGTGGACAGACCAAGAATCGATCGATATCAGACAAACGTGGTCTCCTGAATGTGTCGGTTATCGTGAGGTGATGTGATGGGGATGCTTATCCAGACATTTGTTGATAAAGTCAATAAAAGGGATGCTAAATATTCATGGCTTGTGCTGAAAGAGGATAAAGATCTGCATTGGGGGGACACCCAAAGGCAGGGAAAGGAGCTGCAATATTCAGGAACAGGAACAAGAAGATGGACCCTGCAGCAGTAAGCTTCTTTCTGTGCCGTATAAGACAAATGCAGTAATTAGTTATCAAGTGGACAGATTGAATGATGACGACTTTAGCTTAGCTTGCACAGAAATTGTACAGCACAGAGAACTGCAAGATGCACGGGCAATAGTCAGGGATAAAAGATGGGGTTGTGATATTAAAGAGATCAACATAAACGGCGGCAAAGGCTCTCTTTATTATCACGATGAATGACAACCGCCGGCAAGTACAGTATCATATCCCCAGGCAACCTCTGACTGAATGTACATAAACGGATCTTGAGTTTGAACTTGATCAGATGCAAGTCACGTTCTAACGCCAAACGTCTGCTTCCCAATCTCCTCAGATTGATTGGAATTGCGTTGCCATGGGTATCACCAGATACGTACGTTTCAGACTCGATCCATGATCCTGATGACTGACTGACTGACCCAAGAAGGAAGACACTCCAGCCCGAACACAACCCCGAGACTGACTAATACTTTTGTTATATTGGTTTCATGCAGTGAAAACAAATACCTCTGGTGTCAATCATCTGTCAGACTCGTGTGATTTAGTTATGCAATTATACGCCTACATGAATGACGGGTCCTGTATGTTTCATGATGACTTCTTCCCTTGCTATCCTCTGTGATACCTCTTGTGTCTGTGTTACAACATATGACTTCATATCTCTCCAGGCTTATTTAAAGCGGCCTTTCCTGGGATATCCATCATATTCCATACACTTGGGTCCGATATTGTATTATTCATGGTTCCTGACGATCTTTGGGTCCGATCTTTTATGACATATTATTATACCTGCATATCTATATCGACAAGCCTTGAATAAAATGATGCTCCAACAAATAAACAGAGTCAACTAGATTTCCTCCCATCTTTGTCTTTTTAATCATCTTCTAAGCTGCCAAGATACCTGCCGCCTCTCTCATTATCAACTCTCTGTCTTTACAAGCTCATCTCTACTTAGACTGGCAGCATCATCAAGTCGACGACATTAACACATCCATGAACTTATTAGAAGGCGCTAATTGACCGGATAGCCGGGCAATTGCTAGGCGAGATCAGTTATCAGGGATTCAGCCGGTAGAGTGTCATTCAGTCAAATCAGAAGTTGTCTTGAGGGACGGCAATACCCATCTAGTCCAATGCCCCGGTAGGCGAACCCCCGTCTTTTGTCCGTCAATCTATTGTTCCATCTGTAACAATTTCGTCCAGTATTGCGTGGTAGTTTTAGATTGGATGCAACCTTTCATTTGTACCCGTGTTCTTTTTCTCTTTCTGTCTTTGAGGATGCTTTCGAGTTGCGTTGCGTTGCTTTCTTCACGGTGCCTTGCAAACTCTCTTTTTCCTCATGCAGACTCTTTGACCTCTTGTCAGTTCTTTGCCTGATTTGGGTAGCCTTTCAATGTAGACAATTCTCAAGATTGCCCAGGTTGACGCCAAGCTCAAGTGCATGGTTATTTGTTTGTCTTGTAATACCCGTCTTGTTGGTTTCCGTTATTGAGTAGGTAGGTAGGTACCTTACCTACTGCTGTGTAATAGAGTTAATTATTAAGTGCCCCATCTCTAGCCCTTTCCTTGGTCGCTCCTGCTTGTAAATCGGCCGTTTAACTTCTTTTGCTGTGCTGTGCTGTGATTGCCGCAAGTTGACCCATTGTCTTTGATCCTTCCATTTTGGGCATCTCATCTGAGAAGCTTCTCTTGCAACTATTCGCCAGCAAGATTTTCTTCCACCTTAACCTCACTCTCGTCGCTCACTTACTATTGCAAAGCCTTACAATTAGGCTCTTTTTCTGACTTCAATCACTTCTATTTGGACACGTTCCATTTGTTCTCAATACGACCAATCCGAAACACTTTAACTGGCCCCCTTTCGTCCCCGCCAGGCACTTTCATCTCTCGAACCCCATCGGACGATACCTATTCGTATTGCTCGTCATTGATCAGTGTACGACGCGGTACTTGGAGCTCACGAGTGATTGGTTTCTTCCTTTCCTTTCCTTTCTACCAAGAAACTTTTTTGTACTCATCGCAAACATATCTTATCTTGTCGCCTGTTCTTTTTATTTGTCTGCCTGAACTACAAGCGGCTCTAGCTTGAAGCTATTCAACTTTTAGTCAATACGACTGGCTGTGGAGGACATCCGTAGGTATTTGCCTATTCATCACTGATCCACAGCCTGTTAGAGAATCAGCTCAGTGGTTGGCGTTGGTTCTCTCCTGCAGGAGCTTCTTGCATTTGCAGGGCGTTCAATTGACCTCCAATCGCAGCAGCAGCTTGCTGCCACCCAAAGACCCTCAGATACAGTACATCATCATACCTGGGCTCCACCCAAGCTTCCGTCCCATTGAGACACTAGGTACAGAGTACTCCTTGATGTACTGTACATTTACATGTGCATGTGAGTGAGGAAGCATTCATTCATCCCGTCACTCTCCAACCACCTTCCGCTCTGATACTGGCCATTGAGACGGATTAACTTTCAGCTATCAAGGCTTCGCAGTATCCGTATCATGATAGTGAGTGGATCGCGCACGGTTTGGTTAGAGTGATCTGTGGCACTGAAGGGCAAGACATCTATCTGAGTACCTATCCGTCTTAGGGAGACAAAGCCCAGAGGGAGAGACATGAGGACACCCTTTGACCATTGCTCAACGCGCTTCTTTCGATCTGTCCTATCCTCTTATTTTCTATTTTCGATTTGAACATTGACCTGACGAAAACCGGAAAGCATTTCGCTTACGGATTTCGAGTGTCCGAACGCATCCAGCAGATCCCGGCTTTTATGAATTGGATCTGCGCTTCATACTTAGGCTTCAGCCAATTCTAACTAAAATAGGTTGTCAGTTGTCCCTCGCTCTTTTTTCGAGGGACCAACTCCAACCATTAGATGAACACCAAAGATATGGACGCGACGACTCCTGCCGTCCAAGACGACTCAAAACAAGACCATTTTCTAGCGACTCCTGTTGCGAGCCCTGAAGCTAACCGATCTATCGACGTGGGCCAGTTGGCCAGCGATGACTGCCACAGTGACCGGGACCATGATGCACCCGCGGGCGGCCTACTGAATTTCGCTGACGTCCCTGGCCAACTATCTCACCTGCCATTGAACCCTGGTTCATCCAATCCCTCCTCCACCTACGCCCCGGATCCTAATTCCAGTTCGCTCACGTCCTCACTCTCTGCTATCGACACGACGACAACTGATTTTGCCTCGCCCAAAAGCACTACTTCCGCGACCAACACGACTCCTGGCGCTTCTGCCGCGGTTACCCCTGCCACCACCACAAGGACAACATCAACATCAACAAACGCTCTTCAACCATTCCCTACTCCAACGTCACCCCTACCATCTTCCAGTCTTCGCAAAACCTCTCCCGGATTGGCTGCCCGACTAAAAGCTCTCGGCTTCGGCTCTCAAAAATTATCAACGCCCTCGAGTACACCCCAAATCGATCATATCGGTCGTCTAGACGAGGATCAACTTCGACAGCTCGACGAGAAGCACCAAGCGGGTTCGATCAAGTCGGTTATCGCTCGGCGCGGTCGCCCGTGGAAGGGCGCCGGCGCTTCTTCTTCACCAAAGGCCGTCGCCCTCGAACCCTCTCTTATGCTCTCGTCGTCAAAGCTCGAGGACGACGAATCTGCAGCAGCCCTATTGCCCGAGTTCAAACCTCACGAGCCCTTGGATATGGATACTCAGAAGTATCGTCTTCCGGACCATACCAATGGAAATGGAACAAAGGTCACCCTCGACACCCGTCGAGAGCACATCGAACGCACCACACGTCCCCCATCCCCCGACAGTGCAGACCTTCCTCCACCACCGCCCCCAAAGGATACACCACCTGAGCCGACACCTACCGATTACGTCCCCAACTTAAACTCATACTTCACACCTGGTCACAATCGACCAGGCTCTATATACACACTATCCCGTGCCTCATTCGCCTCTCAACTAGGCCAGTTGACGTCACTACAACTTCCGGATGCTGAGTCACTAGCAAGCCAAGTGAATGCTATTCCAACTGCCCAAGTTGCTGCGAAAGCGTTGATCAACGCCGCCGAGCAAATCAGAAGCTGGATATCGAAAGCATCGGAGGTGGTTGAGGGTCTCGATAGCGAAGATGACGTCGAATGGGCTGCTGCAGGTGGTCGCGAAGGTCTCTCCGAGGTTGAAACGGCCATCGCGCGTTTCGAAGGGCTTGTCAAAGCTTATGTGGGGGCTATTGAACAGCTCCAGAACAGAAGAGATATTGTCAATGTATCTGCAGAAGATCTTACCCGTGCTGTTTGTCAGATGGAATCCGTCATTCAAGAATGGAGCAAGATTCGCAGAACACTGCATAATGTGAGAAACCAGGTGGAGATCGCGATGGAGTGGGAGGAGCTTTGGAATAACGTTCTTGGGGACGTGCAAGGGGAGATGGACGAATTGAGCAGATTGGTGTTCGAGATGGAGGAACGACGCCATAAGAGTCTGATGGCCGCTGCCAGTGGGGATAGCGTCGACATTGGAGACCTTGAGACGATCGTGGAAGAGAATCCTTCTCATGCATCTCGATTACAAGCACCAAGTCGTTTCAGCCTTCCAACTTTCCCGGTGTCACCCACCTCACCTGGTACACCTACTCTATCACAAGACGATTCGAGTTTACTGGCGCTGTTTGCTCGAATGCAGCCTCTCAGAGCTTCCCTTGACTTCCTACCGATGCGACTCTCCATGTTCGAAGCAAGAGCCAAAGCAGCTTTTCCCACGGCTTGCGAGGAGCTGAACATGCGACGTGAAGGACTTGATGCAAGCTACAGAAAACTAGAGAAGGATGCGGAATCATTGCGCAAAGAGCTGGGCGAGGACCGTTGGGTAATTGTCTTCCGAGGCGCTGGAAGACAGGCCCAGAAGATGCAAGAATCTGTTGAACGCTCATTGTTCAAACTCAAAGAAGCGGCTGATGCCGGTTTACATTTGACTAACCAGCCCGCTATGATGAAGAAGTTGGAAAGTTACGAGGCCAAGAGGATGCATTATGGCCCGGCTATCGAGCGCGTTCTTTCGATTATCGACAAAGGTGTCAGCGAACGATTGACCGTTAATGGGGAGATTCTACGCTTACACACGGATTTGCAAAATCGATGGCACAGTCTCAAGCAAGAGATGAAGGATGCGGAGTCGATAGTTGACGATATCCATGCAGACAAGAGCCAGCAATTGCGTGACTCCATCTCCAGTATGCTATCGAACGATCGGTCGACTCTGGGTAGTGGACATGAAACCCCCGGCAGCTCACCACCATCCTCGGTCATCATGTCTAGTCTTGGAATGGATCCTCAAACGCCGATGTCAAAGCCTCCTAAAGTGCGGGCCACCCCAGGAGCTACCAATCGTGCAATCCCCCCAAATCGCCGGCACTCGTCGTTGCCAGCGCCAACTTCACAAACTGGTCGAAAAGCAGCCTCGTCTCGTCTGTCTACCATCTCTACTTCTTCATCTGCCACAAATCTATCTGCAAGCCAGATCAAACGTCCGGACTCGAAACTAGCGCATCGGCCACGTTGGAATGGCTCGACGAACACATCGGACGTCGATACTGGCCACAATTTCAAACCACTCTCGCTCACAACACCCAGCCCATATGCCAAGACGAGCCCTTACATGCAAAGATCAGTTGGCTCAACTACACCCGGGTCTAGTACTTCAAAGCTGCCAACATTACGCAGCCCTAACGCTCGTGCCTCTTCAGCATCTCCCAGAGTGGAAACGCCCACTAGAACTGCGCATTCCAGCCTCTCTTTCAGAGAAAGACTTGCTTCTCCTGGTGCAAATACCCAACCTTTGCCTAAGCCGCGTCTGGCTTCTCATTTATCGACCACTGCCCTGTCCGGCAGGCGTTCGTCTCTGCAGACTTCTAGATCCATCGGAGACGACGACCGCCATAGCAGACCTGCCAGCTCTCTTGCCACCATGTCGAGGAGAATCAGTCTTCTCCCTCAGCCTAGAGCAGATACAGGACGAGCGAGTCCCGCCGCTGTTGCGGGTGCTCGATCTGCAATGCGGAAGCCTTCCCCTGCCGAGCCAAAGGATTCAAAGCCAAGGTGGAGGCACTAAAAGCCACATGTATCATGGCTCAACAATACATTCACTTTACGAAACAGGGCGAGCCTTTTTCCTGTTTCACTGTAACATATGTCTTAACAATTCGATTTCGTTGAAATTACCAGGGGCCTATATGCGAGGCCTCGAGGTTGATAAGGGGGCCTGGCGCGCCATTTACGGAAAAGCAATAAACACGTCTTTTGAGCAGCATGGCGTACTGGGTTAAGACCAAGATGGTTGATGGAGTTTGGGACATAGCACAAGGGATAACGACGTCGAATCCTGTTTTCTTTGTGAGGACTACCCTGTCCTTGGTTACGAATTATCGCTCTCGTTGAACTTTTTTTCCTTTTTTATCCCTGTGCCAACTCGTGCACAGTAGGCATTTGATGAGGGCACATAGAAAGGAAAGGGAATCGTCAGACAGCAAGACGGTTGGCACAAGAGGATCAGTTCTTGCTTAATCATATCCAGATCTCCTCGGCTATACCCTTGCTCTTGCTTAATCTTGTCTGTTCATATAGAGAATACTCGTCAAAGAAGAAAGAGATCGTTAATACAAACAATCCCTGGGATTCAATAAGTGGTCAAGCCCATCGTTCAAAAATTGTCCTCATTTTCGTGATGCATCTATGTAACAGTTGGGCCTTGTTCCTTCAGTACCAGCATGACACTGCTATACGACTGGTCTAGTTCGATGCAAAGCTTCTTGCATCAGTGAAACGTCCTATACGCCGTGAGAAAGTTGTGTCTCAGAACAAAAGCAAATCAAATAGAAACCTCCTATCGCCGCCCATGCAGAAGAAAACCCCAATCAACTCCCGCCCGCTCATAAACAGTTTTAGTAATCCCTGATTTCGTGTGCTTTCAGTTCATGCTCTGTCCTGCTGCAAAAGGGTATGATCTTAAAAACGAAAAAAAACAAAAACAAGCGCCCATGTCGTTGAAAAGCTCGTGATCCATCCTCCGCCACCTGTATGTATCCCGTGTCCTTAGCCCTCCTTTCTAGTCGTGTCGATTCGTAAACCAAAAGACCAAAAGATCTCTGCTTCTACATGGGCATCAGCCCAATACCGCTCTTCTTCAGCGTCCTTGAAGCGCTGCTGGAAGCTCGGGCTGTTGTCGATGAGCTGCTAGCTTTACGACTAGAGCTGCCACCAGTGCTCCTGCGCTTCGTCACACCACCTGTAGATTTTTTGCTGGCATACTTCTTGCCACCAGAGTATCTTTTGGTGCCCCCACTGCTCCTGCTGGACGCCCTTGGCTTGCTTTGGGTTTGTGTACTACCAAGGGTCTGCAGTCTGTTGTGAAATGCCTGAACGTCTGATCGCGAGCCTCCGTTGAAGTAATGAGAGTCTTCGCCGTCTTCGTCCTCGTAGGCTTCTTCGTCATCCATCTCAACCTCTGAGCTAATCAGATCTACAACATCCTGGCCTCCGCCGCCACTCCTAGGGTCCATCGCGTCTTGGTAGTGGTTGTAGTGTTTCTGCAAGATGCGAATGATCCTGGGACCGTACTCTTTGACTTTGTCAGGGTCGATGCCAGGGATCCTACGCATCTTGTCAAGTGAGGTGGTCCATTGAATAGCCATAATCCGAAAGTCCTTCTCCGTGAATAATGGTTTCCTGAGGCTCTTCTGGTTGCGAATCTTTTCCTCCGCCTGCTTTGCTTCGTAGACAAAACCTTCAACCATGTCTCGGTGTATCTCATCAAGGTCTTCCATACCGGTGTCGGCCGGTATTGGAGGCCCTGGTGTGCGCGAGGATGGTCTTGCTGGCCGATGCTGGGGGAGCTCATCGAACGCTTCATCGTCAAATTCATCATCTACCACAAAACCTGCGTCTTCCCAAGAGTAAGAGGTGGAGGCATTGTTTCCACGGTCACTTGCCGTCGCCCGTGATTTCTTCTGACGGCCGACAGGCGATGAGACGTATGTCGAGGGCATGTTCGAGACTTCCTCCTCAGCTGTCGCCTTGCTTCCCTTCTTCGCTCGAGATTTGGTTGCCTTCTTCGGCGCGCCTGGCTCTGGTACTTGGATGGAAAGCATCAGTTTGCGTTGCCCCGAAAGAAATAACCGGTGTGTTGGTCCGAGACGTAGGTATTGGATGGCCATGCCATGCCGACCAACTTGATTGTCCTCATTGAAAGCCTTCTCAGCTGATAGTTTGTCGATCACACGAATAAGCTCGTGCTTCTTCAAACCCTTCGCCATGCCATGCCACTCCCCCGATAGTTCTGCTTCACTTTGAGGATACTTTTTCCCCAAAAGGATGTCAGAGCACTGAACCGCTGTGATACGGTTCTGGGCCTGTATAACCTTGATAGCAGCGATGGCATACTCAGAAAAGTCTTGTTGCTCGAAAGTCAAACCAGCCTTGCAGTTATCGCAACTCTTGTTGCATTCGGCAGGCGAGAAATCTTCACCAAAATAACGAAGAATCTCAGTTCGCCGGCAGTCAGACTTATTGTCACAAAATGCGGTGACTCTGTTCAGCATAGACATCTGGCGCTCCTTCTGCTCATGACTGCCATCTCCATCAGCAATGAGTTTCTTCAGGACTCTTATGTCCGCCTTTCCATAGAAAAGAATGCAGTCAGAAGGGTTTCCATCTCTACCCGCACGACCCGTCTCCTGGTAGTAACCTTCCAAACTCTTTGGAAGTCCATGATGGATGACAAATCTTACATCAGGCTTGTCAATACCCATTCCAAAGGCAATTGTTGCAACAACAACCTTGACTTGGCCTCTTTGCCAGGCGTTTTGCACGTCAACCTTTTCTTGAGGGTCGCAACCTGCGTGATAATGCCTGGCCGTAATTCCGCTATTCGAGAGACTCTCGGCAACTTTTTCAGAACTCTTCCGTGAGATTGTATAGACGATTCCACTTTTGTTGGCGTAGTTGGAATGGATAAGTGATGCAATGCTTTCAAGAGTCTTTTCGCCGGTTGATTTCGGACGGACCTCGTAGTACAGATTCGGACGATTGAAGCTTTGCGAAAAGGTTTGGCAGTCATCCATTCCAAGATTGTGTCTGATGTCAACAATCACATTCTTTGTCGCAGTGGCTGTCAAAGCCATTACAGGCACGCCAGGGTACTTTTGACGTACTTGGCCAAGTATCTTGTAGTCTGGTCGAAAATCGTGGCCCCATTGACTGACGCAGTGTGCTTCGTCAATCACCAGACGAGCAAATTTGCCTTTGCGATGGAGCGTCTGCAGGCCGTTGTTGAAATTGGCGTTCTTGCTCACCATTTCCGGGGTAACGTATAGAAGTTCGAGGAAATGCTCGGGACTTCGTTCGTTAAAAGCACTCATCACTTGTCTCTTGTATTCAGCTGAGCATTCTCCGTTGAATGCAACAGCCTGAATCCCCAGAGCCTTCATATGATCAACCTGATCCTGCATCAAGCTGAGCAAGGGTGATACAACAATAGTGACACCACGGGTCTTGCCAGTTTTAACAACAGCAGGCAGTTGGTAGCACAGCGATTTTCCGCCACCGGTAGGCATCAGAACAAAAGCATCTTTACCTGCCAGCGTGGCATTAATAGCCTCGAGCTGATTGCAGCGAAAGCCTTTCATTCTGAACCTGTCCTTGAGCATTCTTTGGACTTCAGGAGACCATGGGTGCTTCATCAACTGGGGAGGGATTATATCCGATGTCCCTGAAGATAATGGCTTTTTGGACAACGATCTTGGCTTTGCAGCGAGAAGTGCATTGCCCGATGTCTCCGAAAAGATTTGTCTAAAGTCTTGTGAATTGGGGGCCAGCGACTGGCGGGTCTCGTAGTCCTGCGCAAAAGCAAGCATCTCCTCATCGTCGCTAAAGTCACTAAATTCTTCGCCCGTTCGATGACGCGTCGCTTGAGGCGTTCTGCGACTGCTGCTAGCATGAGCCGTATTGTTGTAAGGTTTGAACCGTGGTGGGGGCTGTATATCATCCAGGTCAGATAGGCCTCCGTCGCCGACATCAAATTCCGCCTCTATGGGAATGTGATCCATTGCCATTGAATTTGTTGCTCTTGGTTGGTAGGATGTTCCAGAGGCTCTTGCAAGATCCCTTGGGTAAGGAGCAGAAATATCATCATCCTCTTGTGAGAGGACGCTCATGCCCTGTGACGCTTCGATCCTCGAAGCTGGAGGGTTCCAAGTAGATGTCCTGGGTAGTTGAGTCTGATGCACCACTTGTGTGCCCATTTGACTGGCCGAGATTGTTTCTCGTGGAGGCATAGACATGTTGACACTGCTCTGGAAGACGGGTTGAGTGCCCAGTACAACACCTGGCGCAGGGGCGGTGACAGGGGGTGGCTTTTGAATCGTTTCAAGAAACCTATCGATACCTAGCCTGGCATCCTGGATGATCTTCAGCAGACCATCCTCGGTCTCTTGAACCTCATCAGTGAGATCGTCAAGTCGAACTTCATCCTCATCAGTATCAAGACCTTCTTCGTATGCTTTTTCAATTTGCTTGGCCAGCTGGTTTCTTTTATCGCCCAGTATGCGGTATTCCTCAACCGGACCGGTAAGTTCGGCAATAGCTGCCTGTTGTCGTTTCAAGCGTTCCTTCTCGGCCTTGACCTCTGCACGCTGCGGCTTAGACCAACGTTCATTTATGGCTTGACTGAACTTCTTGCCATTTTCTTGAATAAGCTTATCGATGAACCGTCCCCATTTCTCCAGGGCAGATGGGTCGGAGGCTAACTGCTTGAGAAGAGTCGGCCCCTGTGTTGAGTGGGATGGGGCTTCGCTGAGTGGATCGAGAACAGAGTCGTCAGTCACTAACCTAGTAGACTGTGAACTGCTGGTTGTGTCTGCTGGGTCGCCAAGGACAGTTGAGCCAGAAGAGATTTGGCGCTGCGAGTTTGATTGAAGATTTGCCCTAACACTGGATGTGGGCGCCGCCTGCGTTTGAGGCTCGATGCGCTCCGTGGTGCTGGCTGAAATCTTCAGGGCGGAAAGAGTCTTATTATAGGATGGTGGTGTGAGAAACTCTTCGTCGGAGTCAGGGATAACCAGCTCATCTTCAACGGGTTCCGTCTTTTGCGGAGGAGACGTGGCCCTTCGAGCTGGCTTGGTATCTCCGGAACTTGCAGGTGCTTTCAAGGGAGTTGTTGCTCTCCTAGGGCTCTGGCTGGCACTGATAATTGGCAGACTTTTTTGGGGCGATGGCTCAAGAATCAGTTGGCTGCGGACTCGTCTTGAAGGTGACAGTAGAACATCGCTATTCTCCTCGCTGATCGGTGGAATGACCGTTGGTGGAGGGTTGGCGAACCCATCTCGTGTTCGTCGACTTCGAGTACTTAGTGATCCGTTCTTTCGTCGGGCGGATCGAGTCGGACTGGGAGGTGGAGGTTCGGTACCGAGGAGTTCGTAGACATCGGGGATATCGCCTAGATCACTAAATTCCTCCTTGGTGATTTCATTGCTCTTCCTTTTCCTGCCACTCGAAACGGCTGGCTCTGGTTCTGGTCGGGTTGCATAGTCTTCGCGCCACAGCTTCACTTCGTCACCAAAAGACAACGAGTCGGAAGAAGCAAAAGTATCGTCCGTCAGGTCCATATAATCGACACCGCCGGTCTTGAGTTTTGGGAACTCTGGGCTACTAGTCCGTAGGCGGGTTGGGGCCGGAGCTGGAGCTGGGGCAGGTGTTTTCTTGGGTGGCGACTCATTAGACTGTTTGATGGGAGTGTCTTGTCGGCTCGTAATATTCGGAGTAATGGAAGTTGGGGTCAGAAGTTGCTGTGGCCTCGAGACAAGACTGGGCTTCTTGGCTTTTGAACTCAGGACCAGGCGTCCCATTGTGTCTTCGTCGTCTTCGTCGTCCAGTACCACCGGGTCCGTCTGCCTTCGATCCAGTCCACCCTGTCCATTGGACGCGTCCCTTCTCGACTGGAGATCGTCCCCAGAACTAACAGATGTGACGGGCTGTAAGTTTTGTCGTGTCTGTGAGTCTGAGCGCTGAGATTGGGAAAGACCGGCCTGAGACGAGTCGTTACACAGTGGGAAAGACGGCGTTACAGGCTTGGATCGGGCTTGGTCGTTCAACAGCCAGGACAAATGCTCAGCAAGGTTGTTACGAGTCATGAAGCCGACGCAATTGTATAGGAGCGTCTTTCAGCTGCCTTTGCTAGAAACATCGAGGTGTTGATGTTTTGCTGTTATCTCGAAGTGGACGGATTGAATTTGAAAAGGCCTTTCTTGTTATCGTTCCCTAGGCGGGAGGCGGCTGTCCCGCTCTGGCGCGTCACGCGTTCGGAAATAAATTGGAAGGTACGAGAGCACGTGATTCACTCCCGCCATGAAGATGATTCAGTGGACTTGGTATTCCTACTAACTCACCTACCCTAGTAGCGATAGCTGCCCATATTTGATCCAAGAACTGTTCATATCTTCGAGGAAGGGAATCTTTCGGGCTGCGTATTCATAAAGAAAGGTCGTTGTTTTGGTTGATCTATAGGTACCTAGGCATCCAACTTCTGCTGGCGTACACCTAACTTTACGATATTTGTAAATATCATTTCATTGTGTGATATTTATTCGTTCTAACATCTAATATAATCTACTTTTTTGTCAAGGCATGTCCCATAGATAGAAAAGAATATGAGCCCGAAATCATAATGTTATGTATCTGTCTGCACTGTCAAGATTTGTTCTCAAAGTATTTGTTCATATCCTCTTTGATTCGTCTGCTTCTACAACGTCGAGTCCCGAGTACTCAATTGTTCTTATCCAAACAATTGAGAGTTTTCTGCCTAGATCTTTCCCAAATAGTGCATCACCGAATTTCACGATATCATAGAAGCAAAGAATTTGCGTTCACGGTACTTCACTAGACCCAGGTCATCAAACGTGATGATACTTGCTTCGACAGGGAGATGCTGCCATCTGAGCCAGGCATCAGCGGGTCAGTGCGGAATTAAGATGTAGTTCTAATTGAGAAATCACGAGCTTTCGCGTATTGCATCCTCTTTATTTCTAGGCAGCATAGACCCTTGTAGCTTCAATACACGCTACTGGACGCGACCTAGCCTGCCCCTCCAAGTAGCTTAAGAAAGCTGGACTGCTGAAGCGTGGGAGACGAAATTGCCACTTCGTTTCGACGCATTTTACGCTAGTTAGTAGACTCTTTATTTTTGTAGCCTTAGTCCTATAGGTATACTTTTCTGACACCCCAAGCCCCGTCGCTTGCTAGCTTGACGATCTACTTCGGGGTAGTGGGGGTAAGCTCTCAATGGAGTTGGGATGGCTTCGTCTGGCAGACCCTGTACAAGTGTTGCAGATAATGTATCCAATGTTATTGTATAAAGCTCCTAGAGGATCTCCTAGAATGTTGTTCTTTTAGTACCATCTATCAATTGCAGAATTATAGATATACACTGCTGTTTCCAACCTATATCGACGGCAATTATAAGTGTCTTTCTTAGTACCTACTTTACCCCCCCCCTACGCTATCAACATCTCAGCTCACTCTTTCCTTTACAACTCCCAAACATCGCAACCATGGCCAATCTTCCCAAGCTTCCATCGCCTCATTCCCAGCTACCCAAGTACATATCTGATCACAAAGAAAAACCCATCACTGAAATACTTGACCCCTATCGCAAGTATGAAGCCGAATTACGATCCGTCTACGCCCAGGACCGCCAGAATCCTATTCTCGATGACCCGTACCTCAATGTGGTCCCTCTTTTCACAGAAGACACCAAGTTCATCACCACTCGTGCCAGAGACCTTGAGACTGAGTCTGAAGAAGAGAAGTCAAAGTACATCATGGCTCTCCCTGATGACAAACGACGTCCTCATGACTCTCCCGCTACTGTCGCCAACCTGGTCGAGTTCCAAAAGAACTTCAACATCTTTTCAGAGTCGTCGTTGTCTGACCTGGACTGGTCAAATGTCGTAGCTGCTGGCTCTTCAGTCGTCAACTGCCTTCTCCCTGTTCCTAAGGGGTTCGACACTACCAAGCGTAAGCTTCGCGAGTATTACCACGAGAAGTTCTGTCCCGCTTCTGATGTTGACCTCTTTCTTTATGGCCTCAACCATGACCAAGCCATCGAGAAGATCAAACAGATTGAACGGGCCGTCAAGGATGCCCTGCTCAACGAAGTCACTGTGGTGAGAACCAAGTATGCAATTACTATTGCTAGTCAATACCCTGTCAGACACATCCAGGTTAGTTGCTCTTAAATTCCGATAGTAGTTTCTTCTGCTAAGATTGTTCTGAGATTGTTCTACGTGTGTACAAATCAGTCAGCGAAATCCTCACTGGGTTTGATATCGATGCCGCCGGCGCAGCCTATGATGGAACACAGGTTTTCGTTACCCCTCGAGCTCTCGGTAGCTTCATCACTCAGATCAACCATATTGACCTCACTCGTCGTTCACCAAGTTACGAAAACAGGTCAGCGGCGCAAAGACACCCCCGTTTGCTCATTGCTCACTCTGAATAGGTTGTCTAAGTATGCCAAGCGCAATTTCGAGATCTACTACGGAGATTTCCAGAAGCAAAAGGTCGACCCAACCATATACGAACGCAGCTTCCGAAGAACTCTAGGTCTCGCACGTCTACTTGTTCTCGAAAGACTTCCTACCACCACAGCTAGAGAGACTTACCTCGACAAGAGACGCGAGGAGCGAGGCCGTCCTCGAGTCTACAGGACACGTCAAGTTCTTCATGGCAACATCAAAGACTACCATGAGGATGAAGTTGCTGACTGGTTGTCTGATGAGGATGTCAGTAACTACCATACTTTCACTGTTCCCTACGGACAGCACTTCAACGCTAAGCGGATCGAGAAACTCTGTTACACGAGAGATCTTCTTCTTAATGCAGAGTGGAATCAGCCTGACGAGCGGGAAGTGTACTTGCATCGCCACCCTGCATTCTTTGGACGTGTTCAAGATGTTATCGAAGATTGTTGTGGCTGTTGTCCTGAGCCTGTCACTGATGAGGAAAAGGAAATCGCCGAGAAGGAGGCTGAGATTTACATCAAAGGCAAGGTATCCTTCCTTATTGATGACCCTGGTCGACAACAAATTGGTTCTTTCAATCCTTTGACCGAGAATGATTGGACAGACATGGCATACGTTGGCAATGTCACCCGACTTTGTCAGTCGATCGTCGATGGTGATGCCGAAGACGTGTCGAACTGGCTCAGTCAGGAAGGGTCGGACCCAAACAAGAGAGACTACACAGGCAGATCACCACTCCACCTTGCCGTCATGACATCCACTCCTGAGGTCGTCAAGTGCCTCGTGGACCACGGTGCTCGTCTCACTGCTCGTCTAGCGGACGGTAGGAATGCTCTCCACTTGGCTGCTTCACGAGGAGACTCGTCAATCATCAAGATCCTCATGGAGAAATCAATCGAGAATGAAGAAGCTGAAGAGGAGCGCCAGGACAAGAAGCGTAAGGCAGCGAAGAAGGCTGGGTCTGCCGCCGGAGACGGTGACTCGGAGGGCGACGAAGAGTCTGATGGTGAGATTGTTGACGGCGAAGCAACAGACGTGGATTCTGCTTCTATGACTACGGGGTCTTTTGTCAAAGTCAAGCAAGATGAAGGCGATAGTGCTGACGCTGATGATCTGGTTCCCGAAGAATCGCAAGATGAACCTGATTTCTTCAACATTGACGCTTTGGCGTGGGATCTCCAATGTTCCCCTCTGCATCTTGCCATCGCAGAAGGCAATGAGGATGCTGTCAAAACACTTTGCGATGTAAGTTCTACTTCCATGCCCGGGCCTGTAGCGTACGGATCTCTTACTAAACATTACGCAGTATGGGTCAGACTCGATCATGCCTGTTAAGTCTCTCAGGGACAGCGACGCCCGAGCAATTCTAACATTGGTACTGGCCTTGTCGCTCCCCAACGACAAGGCCAAGTCAATGGCTGATCTTCTTCTGAAACTGGGCGCCACGTCTGCTCAGGCGGACGCCAGGGGGTGCAGTGCATTCCACCGCTACGTCGAGGCTGGAGAAGAAGAACTCATCGACACACTCCTGGATACCGACAAAACAGGTATCAAGGTCGCTATCAACCATATGGTCTGCGGTGGAAGCTACTGGAACTCAGAATGCACCGCACCTATCAATACCGCTATCGAGAACGGCAATGTCGCTTTGGTACTGAAGCTCCTCACTACTGGCGCGAAAGCGGATATCGATTTCGATACTTGGCTCAAGTCTGCAAAGGTTTCCAGTTTAAGTAGCAACTTGGGAGACCTGGAGAAAAATCAGAAAATGTACAAGGAGAGCGTGGAGCAGCCATTAATCACCGCTATCCGATCGGGCAACACGGATATCGCCATCAAGCTACTCGAAAACGGCGCTGATCCCAACTCGCTCGACACCAAAACTCAGCAGTTGATCTTCAATGAATACCAAAGAAGCTGGAATAAAGGACAATCAGCTCTTGACATGGTTCGGTCATCATTGAAGGGCCTTCGAGGTTATACTTATGAGAAGACTACGCCAGTGAAACCAAGGGAGACACCCGGCTTGGATGAGTTTCTGCAAGGTCTCACTGAAGGAACCTATGCTCATACTATCGTTTCATCCGATGTTGAAAGCCACAAATACAATTACATCCACGCGAAAGAGCGATACGAGAAGGACATCAAGAAGATGAAGGAGCCCAAGGGGGTGCCCGAGAAGAATGAGACTATCAAGGAGCTCCTCGCAGGCTTCGAAGTTGTCGAAAACACTTTGCTCAGCAAGGGTGCCAAGCCATTCGCGGAACTGTATCCTGACATCAAGACGTACGGGGGGGATGACAGGTCGAGCCGAAACAGTCGCAAGTCTGAGGATGAGGCCCCGAAACCCTACGAATTCCGTTTCTCCTTCAACAACGACCGCGACATGACTGAAAAGAGAAGGGATGGTTATATCGAACTGTGAGTGTATATGTCTGAGACTCTATCAAGGACCATTTACTAACTTGTATCAGGATGGAAGCTGCCTGGGCTGGAGATGTAGAGAAGGTCAAGAAACTCTCACTCCAAGCATGGGGCCCGGAACAGGACCAAGCGCCATTGAAGATTGCTGTTTCTGACAACTATGGAAACACTCCCTTTTCTATTGCTGTCCTTCGTGGACACCACGAACTGGCCAAAGCCTTACTCGAGATTGTGAAGGCACAATGGTCTCCGCCCAAGAAGGATAAGGTCCGATTCCGAATGGACACTGGCGGTGATGAAGACGAAGAATACAGCGAGGATTCTGACGAGTCTGATGACTCTCAAGACGGCGAGCCGCGAATTGTGTCCGAAAAGGTGCAGCAGCAGTTCACCATTGACGATATCGGGCATGTTGACTTGAATGTTGAGTCCCACACCAAGCCTCTGGAAGTCATATGCCAATCGGTTCCAACGCAGTGGTCGATCCCAAATGAAAAACGCTTCTATCACTGGATTAATGAGAGCTTGTTCAACCATATGTTGGCCATTGATGATACAAATGGGCTCAAGTTCCTCTTGGACATGGCACAGCAGTACTCGAGTCAGAAGTTCGAAGGAGACAACGAAGGAGAGGATGAAGACTCTTCCACAGGCTTTGTGTTTCCACGAAGTGGTTTCAGCTATTGTGTGGAGTCCGGCAAGACAAAACTGCTCGCCCTGATTATCAAGCGAACAGGTGCAGGCATTCCACTCAATCATCTTGTCAAGAAGAGCGGCGTGGAGCTGAAGCGAAAGCCACGCTTTTATCAGGGACTGACTGTGTACGGAAGAAAGAGGTAGGAATCAGTGTTGTTCTTCTACTTGACAACCTGACGCTAACTTGTTCTATAGGAAGGATTGGGCGACCGCTGGACGTGGTATGGTAGTCAGGAGCAGTGGCCCAATGACGCCACCTCTTCTCGACGCTGCTCTTGCGGGCAACCTAGACAGTGTCGAGTTTTTCCTCGGAGATACCCCACACAGGTTGTACAGCGAATTCTCTAAATCAAAAGCTTCTAGGGATGACATTCGATTCAAGCACTTGAAGGAAAGTCCTGGCGGGTTTGACCGTGCAATCTCAAAATGGCTCGGGGCGGATAGTAAGTATTTTGGCAAAGTATTTTGAGCACAATGCTGACATTCACTCCAGATGATCTCGTGATCCATTGCGCAGTCCTCGCGCATCCGGGTGAGAGTGCCAACGAGGTACTCGAGTTCCTCGTTGAAACTTTCCCTGCTGCAGTTGAGAAGAAGAATACTGAAGGTGACACTCCTCTTATGGTAGCCTGCCGCCTTGGCCGAATCGATGCTGTCAAAATTTTGTTATCTGCCAACGCAGACCAATCTACCCGCAACCAGAAGGGTGAGAACATTCTGCATGCAGCGCTTGCCTGCCTTCCCAAGGATCACCAGCTCCGCGAACTCCTGGATCTTCTTGACCCCGATCTGCGAAGCCATCTTTTCCTTCAAAAGAAGAACCTGTCCGAGAACGGAACCACGCCTTTCCATACATGGGTTTCTCAAGCTTCGGGAGTACAGCCTGACAACATCAACTACTACCACAGGCGTTACAAGCCCTATGATGGCAAGGAGAAGGAGATGATTCAGATGCTAAATCTTCTTCTCGAATACTCCAAAGGTGATGAGCTGGAGATGCTTAACGGAGCCGGAGATACGTGTCTTCATACTGCAATCATGATGAACATGATCGCTCTTGTTCAAGCCTTGATTCGATACAGGCCAAGTCTGGTGTACAGAGAAAACGCCGTCGGTCGAACGCCCGCTGAGCTAGCTCATGATCGTCTTACGAGCCAAAAGTTTGAGATGCTCAATAATGTCGAGCGAGGCCGGAATGATACAGTCGGAGACACTCTAAGAAGAAGACCTGAGGAATTTGCCTCTAAGACTGACATTCAGACCCAGGCACCGGGGCAAAGGAAGGAGTTCCTTGAAACACTTGGACTTAGCGACACTTACAAGACGGAAGATGTCTCTTTGATCCAGGCCGAGATGGGCGTCAAGAAGCAGCACTCAAACCAATCTCTCGATATCAAGACGATTCGTAGAGTTTTGTGGGATTTCTGTCACACAGCGATGCAGAAATACCCTGGCAACCGCCGATTGGTGACTTTGAATGAGGCCAACGATGTCGCCAAAAGACTGGGCGAGAAGTACTCAGCATCGAGATATTTCAGCGTCCAGGCTCGAGTTGAGGATGGGGAGGATGATTCCGAAGAGAAAGAGAACAACACAACCGTCGACTATGCAGTCAAGGTGATGAATTCTCGTTTGTCACGGGCTTGGCACATCGAGGAGGAGGAGAAGGAGGAGGAGGAGGTCGCAGAGAGCAGCGCTTCATCGAGTTCCGAAAGTTATGCTTCTTAGCTTCGCAATTGATGTCACCATGTTTAGAAAGACAGTAACGCATATAGCTTTGTTATAAAATGAGAGTGTACTTTCCAGCTTATGAATACATGGTGGCAAGTCACTCGCTTCTACTTTAAATCAAAATTGTTTTATTAACTAGTTATGATCGGAGATTTTCCTAGACAACTGAACGCCCTTGCATTTGAAATATTCGTCAATTTATGTAAATAGAAATAAACTCGCAGTTTAGAAATGTTGGTCCTCCTTATGAGACGTAGACAACAGATTGAGGTGCACCATCACCCCAGATTCCAACGACTGCCATAGCAAAACCCAGAGCAGAGATGGCTGTTCGAGCAATGTAGCTTCGTGCAAGGCCCTCGACCTCCGTTCGTACCTCCTCGCCATTGACGTCGTCAGTATCCTCATCGCTAGCGGGCTCGCTCTGGGCATCACCTAGGACTTCGTAGCTGGCCTCCATCTTGGCACGAGAAGACTTTCGGGGCGCGGATGAGGCAGCACGTCGGGGAGCAGGAGCAGGAATCAGCATAGGGGTGACGGAGGATAGAGTTGCAAGGAGAGCTGTGTAAAGCAGATAGGGATGGCGAGATGAGCGAGGAGCGATAAAGAAGCTGATGAGGAAGGGCGCAGAGGCGAGAGATGTGAGGGCGAGAATGGGAGTCTTGAGAGCTGCACTGAGGGTTGAGAGGCCGTGAGAGGCGGAAGCTGAAGAAGGAAGTCGGAGAAGGACAGGAAGAGCGAGAGAAGAGATGGAGTATGAGACACCCTATAGGCCAAGCATTAGCGATACTGATATGAATACATGCGTGCAGGATATGATAGATATGTTTCTTAACGATATGCTTTATAAAATCGAGTAGAAAACTTCATGATTGATGTTTCCACAAACACGTTTTTGATAAAGCCCAGTAATATCACTTGATATCCGAGTTGTAAAAGTCGAAGATGGAGCTTTGACGTACCGTCAGCAAGCCGAGTGAGACAGTGCCGACAAACTTGAGGAGCGAAACGCTCGTTCCTGTCGCAGTCATGGCTGTTGATTTCCGTATCAAGAATAATTTATGATGATATTAGTCTCTTGATGATGGTACAAGAAGAAGAATAGATATCCCAAGGCGGGGGGAAAGGGCGAGAATTGAGTGACGAGTTGGGATGCGGACGAAGATCGGGTAGTGACGTTGAGATATGAAGTGGGTTCGAGTCGAGCTTGCTAGTTGTGGCTTGAAAGATGAGGGGCTATTGTGGCTGTTGATGTTTGAGTGTTTGAGCAGCGCGTCAGGCGCTTCAGCGTCTAAAGGCCTAAAAGTGGATCGCCACGTCGCTTAAAGTATATGCGATCCACCCCAGTGCAGAAAACTGCAGTTCGTGATTTTCTGCACTTTTTCTTCTCTCTTTCTTCCCTCTTCAACAAGACGCGATACTGAACAACAACAACCAATCACCCACTCTGATTCCCTTTCCCGTAAGTTCCGCAATCTCTTTTTTATCTGCCTTGCAAATCTCATATGATGAGTTCATTGTTTTCAAACCCTCCATAATCTTATAGGAAGAGCCGTCTGAGACTGCCTCTGAAATATGTATCCGCCAGTTAAGCTCCTGACAAGACGCTCTACCTTTGTCCCTGCTGTGCACCGCTTTCGGGTGTGTTTGCACGCGGGGACAATACTGAGCTGGCGGTCGGTGAGCCTGGCGGGTGCGTCGGAGGCGGTGGTGCTTATAAAATGGGTTTCTGATATTTCGAGATGCTTCCACTTTGTTTTTGTCTGAATCATCTTCCATGGCAAATAGCTGACCAACAATAATAGGAATCTACACAATCAATGTTTAGTATTCAGGCCAGGATTCAAGAGCTGTAACCAGTGGTGTCTTTGTCATGATTCGTTCATTTATAAATATTCCTTAGTCTAGATAATTAATGTCCCGTTTTGTCCTTGCGCCTTGCTGTTACACCCGTCGTTACTTGACTCGTGATGAATTGACCATCAATCATATCTTCCATCTTTTTCCTACATGTCGCTGTCACTGTCGTCAACGACGTTTCGCCGCCCGCGCGCTGTTCGGTTTGTCTGAACGTCGTCATCCGATAGCTCGTTTGCTGTTTGGGCTGGCTTATTAAGCATGCGGCCCAGGTCTGGCAAGTCTTCACTCTCTTGCGTTGCTGAGAATGCAGTAGGCACAAAGAATGGTTTTGTGCCGTCATCCTCTGCGCCCCTAACAGTTGGCGATGAAGCAAATGGGGATGTGGCTGTTAGAGACATAGGATCCTTCATGCTTGACACCGGATGGTTGTCAGAAACAACAAAGTCAAGAAGATCTTCGCCTTCGTCAGAACCATCTGTCTCTAACAAATCACTATCACGATCACAATCGTCGCCGACTTCGTCACTATTAAAACCCCCAGTCTTCTGCTTCGTCTTGCGTTTGCCTTTGGCTTTGCTGCCAGACTTAGGTCGCCCACGGCCTTGGGGTAGAGACTCCTCCTCCTCCTCTTCTTCATCCTCTTCATCTTCGTCATCATCTGAGAAGCCTACATCCACCATTGAGCCAAGGGCAAACGTCTGGGGTACCGCACCTGGCGACAACTTCCTTCTCTTTGTTTGAGGTTGCGCCTTTGATGGTGCTTTTCTTGCTTGCTTCTTTTTGCCAGCCGCCGGTGCTTTCACCGATTTCGTTCGTGGCGCTGGTGCATCGCCATCTGGCCCTGATTCTGATTCGGATTCGGATCCAGCAAATGCACGAACGGGTATCTCTAGGTATCTGCTCGTATCTTCGTCTCGGCACGGTAAGACAAGGCTTTCTTGGTCGTTGGCCATCCTATTCCATAGCTTGACAAAGCGCTTGGTACGGGTCCCATGCTTGAGCTTTGCAACCGGTCGCAACTGTCTTTGTAACTCCGGATGCGCTGTCATATCAGGCATGTCCGTTTCCTCAATGATGCTATGATTGAAAGGCAAGTCACGATATGCCCTGTTGAGCTCTTTAAGCTCTTCATCGTCTAGCAGCACCTTGGTGAGGTCGGGTATTATGGCGATATCATCGAGTTCGGGATTGCGCTTGGACTTGGTTGTTTTTACTTTGCCGCCAATTTTCAGCATGCTGGCTACACTCCGGAAACCCGTTTCAACGCCATCGGGCATGTGGAATTTCTTGGGTGGTTTTTTCTTCGTTGCCCGCCGTTTCTTTGGCTCTGGTAACGACTGGTCTTGTGTGTTCTCGATGGGAATGTCGATGTGTCGCATGTCTACTTCGGGGCGAAACTCCCTAGGAACAATTCGTGTGGATAAATCGAATCGAAAGTTGAAACGGCTCCCTTCGCAGATCAAGGCTTGCATCTTCTCGTAGCTGTCTTTAGATCTCGCGAACTGGTCTTCTTCTTTGCCTCGCATGAGAAGCAACACAATCTTTCCCTCTTGCTTTCGGCCAGTTCGTCCCATCCGCTGTAACATTCGGATTGGTGATGCTGAAGAGTCGTAGCATACGATAAGATCAACCTGTCCAATATCCAATCCTTCTTCGCCGATGGAAGTTGCAACAAGCACGTTGAATTCTCCTTCTTTGAATCTGTCAATTGCCTGGATCTGCTGTGCTTGTTTCATGCCTTCTCCCCGCTTGCTGTCAGCTTGTCCAACAAAGACACTAGCTTTGATGAGAGGCTTGTGCTTGTTAAGCATGCGTACGATATCCTCTGCAGAATCTCGATATTCACTGAACACGATCACTCGTGTCGCAGGGTTCGCAGCATTGTCCATAAAGTGATTTAATACGGTATCCGCGAGAGCTGTAAGCTTGGGGTGGCCCACGAAACCGTCCGTGCGAAGCCATTTAGAGATTCTGTCCATCATTTCCTGAAAGTTGGAGTCTTGGACGAGCTGGCGCTTGTATTTAGATCCCTTTTCTCCTTTTCCTTCTTGCTCGCTACGCAAGTCGACAAGGTTGTCATAAAAAGGCCTGATGCCATGGAAGTTGAGCAGTTTAATCGAATGGGCAATGCTTGTGAGAACGCTGAAAACAGCTCGCATCATGTGCTGCACACCCTGGTTGGCGGACCGGCCTCGGGACGCAAACCACTCTTTTTGAGATTGCATCAACCCATATGCTGTAATAGCCATAGGGCTTCGTCCGAACCAAATATTTTGCGAGCTCAACTTGTCCGTCATTGGTTTCAGGGCTTTCGTGAAAAGCTCGCCGATCAGTACCATCTCATCCGATGGGTCAAGCACGACCTGCTCAATGTTCCTTCCGTGGACATATTGACGGATGTCTATGGAGTCTTCTGTACGGATTTCGCAATGTGAAATGCCCAGGTTGTCGATAACTTCTTGCACGGTTTCGATCTTAGATCCAGGCGTAGCGGTTAGTGCCAGTACTCGGAAGCTTTTGGAGAATCTTCGGATGAGTTTTGTAACCTTGGCGTATGCATACTCTCCCACAGCACGGTGTGCCTCGTCAATAACAAGTAACGTTATGGATTTGGGGTCGGCATAGCCATGAGAGATATCGTTCAACAAAGTCTGAGGGGTCATGAAGAAGACTCGACGAGATGCCCACTCGTCAACACGAAGTGCTGGTGCGATTTCGCCTGTTAATAACGTCGTTTCCGACCGAGGAATACCAGCGATGCCATAGCAAGCAGTGACCTGCTGTGCTACAAGAGGCTTCGTTGGGGCGACAAATACAATCTTTGCATTTTTGGTCCACCGGTAAAAGTTGAGCATGACAGTTGCGGCAATGAAGGTTTTTCCAAGACCAGTTGGCAATGCTACCAAGGTGTTGTTGAACAAACTGTTCTTGACGATGCTGAACTGGTAGTCTCGAATCTTGCCTAAATTCGTCGGAAACACCCAAGTCTTCATAGCCTCGTGGTCAACTTCATGGTGAGTTGGTTCTTCCCGAGGAAGGTCTGCACGAAACACTCTTGCAGAGGCAGGTTGCGATGGTCGTGGGCCATCCCCTGACAGAGATCCGCCGAAAAGAGTCGTCTGACGCCAATTACCAGAACTTGTTCTATTAAGCCCTGTCCCCGATCTTGGCCCTGCTGAGGTTACTGCGGGCGCTTTTGAACGCGATTGGTGTTGTTCGGGTGATGAAAATGCATCCGACGGAAGATCTTCCAGTTCTAGAGCCGCCACAGCCGCAGAAGTGTGTTGATTACTGGGTTGTCTCCTGACTGACTGCAAAGGGTTTGCGGTGTTTTTGCCAGTCATGGAAGAAGACACTTGATCTAAAGCTGTCAAGAAATCCTCGTCTGCAATGTCGTCGTCGAACTCGTCGCTGTCCATGACGGCTGTGATGCGGTATTACACCAGCTATTTTCTGTAATTTTATTGCGCGCTGAATCAAAATCTCATATTCTTTGTGACCAGCTGCTCATGGTTAGTTGAGAGACCATTCAAATGGATGTTTGTGAGACTCCTTCCGTGGCGAAGAAAAGCCAGGCACAAGCCGATAGGTAGCGAGGGAAGGCACCCCACGCGTTACCTATCATCTTCAGACCGCGCCCGTAGTACGCGTTATCACGTGATAGAATATCAAGCTTGAGGATGAAAGCTACTGTACGGATACTTCAGGTGACACAAACTCTAGGTACCCTTAGGTTGTCAAGGGACCTAATGTGATTTACTGTGTTTTCTTGGCTCTGTCTGGTCCTACGCCATGTGCTAATAATCCCTTTGCAGGTAGCAAGCTTCTCCTCGAAGCTGAAGTTTATCACGAAGCCATTGTGTAAGTTTGGTATTGTGATTGGGATGATTATCACTCTTAAAGTTACAACAACTTAATTCATTACGAAACAACAAACTGTCCTTGTCGATGTGGCGCCCCAGGCACATATTAGTATAAGGTTTATAAGAAGGAAATATGTAAAGAGGCATCCAAACTCGCATTTTTGTTCAAGTTCTACTTGCCTTTCTCCCACTTCTCTCTGCCACCTCGATCAGACACTAGTCCAGATTGGGTACCGGCTGGCTGCTGCCTTTGTGTCCGTGTTTCATTAACTGGTGGGGCCTTTAGCAAAACGTCACAGCTGCTTTGCGCAGAACTTCTTTACCTTCCTGCATCATCTGCTATTGCCTGTCTGCAACGCAAACTCGTCTGCGCATCGCAACAGGAGGGGATTTCCCAATACTGCCTGCACATTTCAACTCCTACACGCAACTCTTGACACCACCGCCGAATTTACGAAACTGCACCTTCTTTCAGTCGCGGAAATCTCGACCGACCGACCATCGCTCACCTGCTTTGCGGCAGTGTCACAGCAGTGTCAACAACCGTCAAGGCTTGATCGCGCCTACTGCTTTCTCCTCCTTCTATCTATTTGAGAGCAGTCAGTTTCCTCGTTCAAAACAAACCACCACCCACCACCCACCGGTCGAACCTTTGGGCAACTACGAGATCGCTGCACAACCTGCAAAAAACTACTTGCGCTTCTTCTACCATTAAAAAAAAACTACCACAAAAAAACTACCACAAAAAAACACCACTACTCCTCGCTTTCCCCTACCACTGCGATGGCACCTCGAGGTCGTCAGAACACCAGTGGGCGCGAGGCGCGGAATGCCCGTAAGCCTGCCACCACGACCCGGGGCGGAATCCAGAAGCGCAAGGCTGGCCGTGTCGATGGCGATGGTGATATGGACATGGACAGTGCCGGTCGACGTGCTAAGAAGCCTGCCGCTGCCGAGCCTACCACCACTCGGTCTAGCACCCGCACTTCAGCGCGTGGAGGTCCTTCTAAGAATGCTCAAAACGTTCTGAAGCATCTGAGCAATGGCACTGCTGCATCTCTCGCCTCTCGCATTTCGAATGCTTCTTCAGGCAGAACTCCTAAGACTCGATCTCGAGATATGACAGGCTTGACGCTGCTGCGAGTTGGCGGTTTGAAGGACAGTAAAGCAGCCAACAACCCCGATGGAGGTGTCAACGATCTTCTTGCTTTCATGGAGAGAAAAGCCGCATCATTCCGACCAGGTCCAAAGCGCAAAGCCGCAATTAATATTAAGAAGGTATGTTTTGTCATTGACAGGGCTCCAGGTGCGGAATATTCGACTCGACTATGCGAGACTCGGAGAGTTATGTACCGATCAACAAATGATACTTGCTATATAATTATACACCCCCGCACCTCAGCTAACCATAACCGACAACGCCTGCTAACTCGGTGTAGCACCATCCCGTTGGTGACTACGTCTACGTAGGTGCGAGTGAGGAGGACGCCGAGGAGCTGCTTAAGCTCAACACTTTCGTATTTGCTAGCGCACCTTTGGAGGTAATCAAGGTGGACGAAATTCCGGAAAGGGGTAGGGCGATAGAGTCCAAGGAGACTCAAGAGCTTCGCGAAAAACTCCGGGAAATTCTCAGTTCAAGATATATCGGCGATAACAAGCTACTCAACTTGGACGCTCTGGCTTCAGACGCAAACCTCGTCACTCTTGGTATGTTCGAGAGTCGTGAGCGTGCTCTCAAGACATTCAAGGGTTTAATGGCTGTATGCGATAGTCTCTTCAAAACGGCCAAGGAGAAGCAAGATGCGATCGAGAGCATCAGTCTGGCAAACAACAACATTGACGATGTTGCCCAAGTCGAAGTCATTGCCACGACTTTCCCCCATCTCAAGAACCTCGACATGAGTGGCAACCAAGTGGCTTCCATGCAAGCACTGCAGCCTTGGAAGGGAAAGTTCAAGCATCTCGAAACACTGTACATGACAGGCAATCCCATCGAAGCGGCTGATCCAAACTATCCAGCTGCCCTTCTGGAATGGTTCCCTAAATTGCAGAACATCAATGGCAGACAACTTCGCACGCCTCAGCAGATCGCTGAGCAGCAGGCTGCATTGTTGCCTAAGCCTATCCCCCAGAACGGTCCCGATTTCCGAGACGTTGCCGGGATTGGTGAAAAGTTCCTCTTGGGGTTCTTTACTTCTTACGACAATAACCGAGCCGGCCTGGCATCTGAGCTGTACGACGAGGATAGCCGCTTTTCTATTTCTGTCGATACCCGAGCCGCTCCGGATCCCGACGCGGCCCCTCCCATGACCTGGGCAACTTACATCAAGATCTCTCGAAATCTCACTATAATCACACATGACAACGCCCGCATTCAGCGACTCTTCAGGGGTGCCGCCAGCATCCAGGATGTCTGGAAAACGCTCCCTCAGACACGTCACCCCGACATCAAACAAGAACTCAGCAAATACATCATGGATTGCCATCCCTTGCAGGGACTGGTTGATCCCACTGGTCAGAGCACTGGCGGCGTTGATGGCTTGATCATCGCAGTTCATGGTGAATTTGACGAACAAGATCCCGCTACCGGCGTCGCAGGGAAACGCAGTTTCTCACGTACGTTCGTCCTTGGGCCTGGAAGGCCGGGTCAGGAGTTTCGGGTTGTCAGCGACATGCTCTCGCTACGAACATTCAGTCCGCTCCCAAACGTATTCGCGCCTGCCGACCAACACCAGGCTGTCGACCAGCATCAGGCAATGATCGCTGAGCTCTGCAAGCAAACAAACATGACACCTGAATTTTCCAAGATGTGTCTGGAGGGAGTGAACTGGGATTTTGACAAGGCTCTGGTGACGTTTAACGAGAAGAAGGTATGTAGTTTGCCCTCTCGAATGGAAAGCGCAGGTAAACTAACGGTACTCCAGTCAGAACTCCCAGCCAATGCTTTCGCTACAGCAGGTGGACCATAGGTTGGCTACCCCTGTGTGGAGACTCTGAGCTCGGCGATACAAAGCCAGTACGGAAACATGACATACGTTTAACGCATGCATGAGATTCAAGGGATGGCCCAGTCTATCGAAGGATATAGACATCGAGATTCGTTGGCAGCGATGATTTGGAACATTGGAGTTTATGGTTCAAACGTGTACTTGCATTATAGAGGGCCGGACTAAAATCGGGGCCAGTATGTGGCAGCGGGGGGAGTTTGTATATGTTATGATGAAGTGCTATCAAGAATGAAGCAATTGCACTACTAGTACTGTTCAAAATTCGTATATCTTCTTAATGAAGCGATATCTGGCATCAGATTTTCAGGAATATGGCCGCTAGGAGTCCAACAGGTGAAATGACCCAAAAACCATATGCCAGTTCAGACATCTAGTCTATCTTGCCCTGTCGTTCTAACCTTCGAAAACAATTCTTCTGTTATCCACTAACCTAGTACGCAGAGTACATCGCCAATACTCGCCTCGTATGTGCAACGTGACACTACATACGCCGAGAAGTACTAAGATTGCAACGGTTGATGCAAGCATGTGCTTTCTGGATGTATTTCAGATGCTACTTTAAACATTCGAACGCTTATAGAATACAAGCTCCTGTTGATACAGTACACAATACTGGCATCGACTATATGTGATGTGGTCTAGGGTAGGATTGGTGCATCGAAATGTACGCTTCGGGCGCTTATGTGTCTTGGCTACTGGTGACAGTGTTTGGTGAGGTCATATGTAATTAGACTACAGTATCCGTACAGATTCTAACGGTCCTTCTCCTGGATGGTTAATCAGTTGTCGCATGTGGTTGGAGGTTTTGGTAGTGTCGTTGCTCTGATTCCCATTTCTGGATCACGCTCCACTTCGAAGATAGCCGGCGCGTGGTGGAGAACGACGATCTGCTATTTGGTGCAAAGAGTAACCAAAACTAGAATGCCCGCTCAGATACTCTCGAGTCACTCATAACTTCTAGCGCGCGAGAAAATTGTCCGGTCATGGTGCTAAGAGCTGCAGATATCAGCACCAGTTTCATTACATTAGTTGATGTCCGCCATCGAGATGTCAAATCGAGGATGAGGCGGTTACAGCAATTAACGAGCATGCCTCAGAAATAGAAGACACCTCACAAGGATACAAGATACGTAGTATGCTCAAGCGACAACACGAGTTCGCACAGACTTAGACGAACAGCCCGATGGTCTGGGTAGGAGCGGGCCTGTCATCTGGTCTGTTCTGTTGGTTCATTTCAAGACTATCAAGTATAGTGCGTAGTGACCAATGATGCCAGGTACTGGCTGTTAGCGAGCACAACAGACGTAATTGGGTCTGAGACTTATTTAAGATGGATACTCGCCTAGTGACATGCAGTTCCATCCCTTCAGGGTGAGCGAGTGAGGCGAGATCACGATATCACATGGGTTGGCACGAGGCGGGAGAAATGCATCGTCATCGCCGTTGGAAGACGATGAGAATCGACAAGGGACACCAGGAGAGTTTCCCCGCCGAGTCTTCAGCATCCCGCGATAACAATCAACTCGACACAGGAGGCGAGGTGTTCCTAGACTCGTACGCGGCTCATACAAGGTTTTGTTGGAAGCGAATCTCACAGGCGAGAGATCCATGATCCATCTCGTAAATGCTACGGACGGGAAGAGAGTCAAGAAGGGCAGGTAAATCCCCGAGAACACAGCCCAGAGGTCTTGGTTGATTGATAGTGACCGGGGGGTCTTCAGGTATGGCGCGCAACGGTGCGTTTCAAGTCGTAGCTGGTGGATTTAACCACGGACCCCAGTGATTAGTTGCTTCCATGGTTGGTGGGAAAGTGACTCGTGGTTTGTCTGTCTTATTCATGGACGGTGTCCAATCACTGGGCGAATTTCATAATTCAACGTGTACTTTGGGAGTTGGGAGTTGCATTGGGCAGGGAGCGCACTCGAGTTTGCTACTCTCAATTTCACTTCCCTGGCCGAATGGACATGTTATTGACCATTGGATGGACGGTAATAGACAAGAAAAATAAAATAAAATAAAAGCAACGACGGTAATACCCGATTTTGGCACGACGAGACTTCTATTGCATGAGAACCGTAGCAACTATCTATTGTGTTGCGGAGGATATGTATCAAGGAGAAGCAAAGCGAGTTTGGCGACAAGACTACAGACCAGCATCCTGGAAGATCAAGAGTTAATGGCTGTTCTATAGGAACAACTGAGTCTAATGCTACTATGTTGGCCAGTCTAGTCTTGATCTATGTAATTCTACCGATTATTATTCAAACAGTCGTTTATACTGCGTATTATTATGCCTCTTGGTATTTTGCTTTTTTGTTTCTTAATAGCCCCTCGTATCGTGATGAGGGTCCTGTCGCTTGGTATAATCCTTGGAAATAGTCGGGTCCATTGTCAAAACGAGAACTCATGCGTAAAAACTGGACTCTCGTATTTTCTTCTTTTTCATGTCTTCCAAATTACTGTCGTATGCAGGGCGGAGAGCGATATGATAGAATATTGCAAAGTGAGCGGTCTGAGGTATTCCATGCATTGCTGGTAACGTGTTATATGCATGTCTTATGCAAATGATGGAGAATACCATGGCAAAATACCCCATGCCGGTACTGCTAATACACGTTGATTAACATGAAATCCAGATCATGGATTGGAGTAATTGACATCCATTATCCGAGCCGAAACTGACAGTTTCTTACAGCATGAGATTTCCATCGTACTGGGAAAAGCGAGAATTTTCTAGGGAGGATTTAAGCGGTTGCCCCCTATAATATCGGCCGGATCTGTGGGTTCATGGGCCGTGTACCGCTTTTAGAACACCCATGGAGAGTTGACGTCCGAACCCGTCGGGTCCAGCTGCAGCTCCAATCCACCACTGCACTGCGTGCGCCCCTGATTCGAACGCTGGAGTCGCGTTTGCTGCGCTGCAATAATAATTCGCCATTTTTTGTGCCTCAGGGCCCTGGAAAGGACGCTTCATGCCACCAATGGTAAGGTTCCATTGCACTGGTCACCAGGACCCCTGCAGCTGGGCGTCACAAAGCGTTTGGCAAAAGTGCGGTATCTGGCCAATCAGAGACGATAGCCCCTGGACGGGAAGCCCAGCCTTTGGCCGAGTGAAGGGGAGACCCGCCGTACCTGCGTTTGCTGGATTTCGTATGGATCGTCGCTGGCTGCTAGGCACTGCTAGGCTGTCCATTCTGCTCTGGTCTCAACTCCGCCACAGTCAAAGCTCACGATAATCATTGAGAGGGCCATCACTCATCACACTCATCACAGTAAGCTACTGCAGACTGTCGACTCATACACAAATCAGCAGGGTCGAAAAGTGCTCCTAGCTCCTGCCATAATAAATCACTATTGAGCCCTGGCCATATTGTATATGGGCTCGTGTGCTGCGGTGCGGCGTACTCAGTGGTCGCTTGCAGGACCAAGAGTATCAAACCCCTGCTTTTTTTCCTGTCGCGGAGACCTAGACCCTGTCCATTTGGTGGTCTCTGAGACTCCGCCTTTGACCAGGATCCCCCAGTCTTAATCACCCCCTACCAGTTCATGTCATACGTCTCGTCTCCCCAATACTGTCTCGTATCTCTTTTCTCTTGGGTCATCCGCTCTATCATCAATCTCTGCTCTGTTTTGCTTTTACCGCGCTTGTTTCTGCCACACCCATTCCAGGCCTCACAAAACCGTCTGGCACGAGAACGTCGAGGCTCATTGCCAATCGTTGGTTTTTCTCTCCCTTTTACTTATCGCGCGAAAGTACACGCTTGGCTTGCATTCCCTCTGCCTCCCTAGGCTCATATCGAACAAGCCGCACGACAAACACATCGACCCCTCTCGACCCGAACTTCGTCTTTCGCCTCTCTTCGACGACATCGATTTTCACTTCGCGAGGAAAGCCAAAGCAATTTGCTTTACGTCGGTAGCTTTCTTTTTATCACCACTCGCACCCGTGGTGCTGAGCTTTCAGCCACCGTTCCACTCCTTTCGACTCAATTCACTCGTCTTGCTGCATCCGGCCAGCTCCCCAGATCTCGGATTCATCAGATCGTCGCCACACCCGCTAGCCTCAACTCTGTCTGCTTGCGACTAACCTGGCTCGTTCTATATTCGAGACGGCTTCTATTCGATCAACCACGCGTACTCTTTGCTGGACGTGGCTTAGTTCCCTTGGTTTCCATCATCCAAGTTGGAATTCGACTTTCTTTTAGACCACTCACTCTTGGATCTGCGACGCGAAACCACTTCTAACGACTTCATCGAACCCGCCATGCCATCGGAAGCCTATTGATTTATTGATATTGATTTCGTTTCGGACTTTTCGCCACGATGAGTTTGCCTGAGCCGCCGTCCTCCGTGGACAATGGCTGCTCTGTTGTTCATGACAACACCCTCTATGTTTTTACACCCACAGCCTTTATGTCTTTGTCCCTGGAAGAGGATGCAGAATGGAAGGAAATGGAAATGGGACAGCAGGTCACCGGAGGTGTATGTGTTGGTACCGATGCTGAGATGTTTGTTGTTGGAGGCAATGGTGGTCCTGCTGATTACAACGGTCTGCAAAAATTCATCTTTGCAGACAAGAAGTGGGAAACCATTTCCACTGAGAATCAGGCGTTTCGAAACCTCCAGTTCCACGGCGCCGCCTTTATCAAGAACGCGAACCGAATCGTCGTGGCTGGTGGTAACTCAGAAGGCAGAGACACGCCTTCACAGAACACATATTACTTCGACCTTGCTAACCCCGTAAATATCCTGTCAGCCGCTGGCGCACCTCCCGTTGTCAGCCCTGCTGTTATACCATGGTCTGATGATGCTGCCTGCATTCTATGGGACAAGGAAGTCAGAACATTCGCTTCTGACGGCTGGATGAACAATGGTGTCACTCTTATGGAGGCCATCCCTCCTTCCAGCAAAGCTCTTGTTCTAGCGGGAGAGGACGGTTCCAAGAGCCTTTACGTTTTCGACCTTGCAGCAAGCCCCAACAAGGTCCATCGCTATGCTGTTTGGGGAGACAACAACCAAGGTATTCAAGGCGCTGTGGACCAGAACGCCAAGCGTGCCCTTTCCCTGAACGACTGGCCCGAGTATAACTCAACACTGGCCCCTGCGATATCGCGAGCACAAGGACAGTACTCGGTTGCTCAGGATGCCAACGGTAGAGTTGTCTTTGTTGGCGGCAACAACGATGAACCTCTCGCATTCTTCGACATGAAGGAAAACTCCTGGCTTAATGCTGTTGATATTGTGGGTGAGTCCCAGAAGATTCTTTCAGCCGAGTCTTCCACAGCCACAACCAAGACCAAGACCAGCTCCACCAAGACATCCTCATCTGAGTCATCCACAAAGACCAAGACGGCTACCTCAGACGCTTCGTCCACCTTTGCGACATCCACTGCTTCAGCATCAGAAACCGAGAGCCTTCTTGCCTCGGAGACAATCTCCGAGTCCAGCTCTGCTACTGCTACTGATGCTTCGGCCATCGCTGGTGGAAGTAGCGATAGTGACTCTGGCCTCAGCTCCAACGCTATCTTGGGTATTACTCTTGGTACGATCCTTGGTTTCCTTGCCCTGCTTGTTGTCATTCTCCTACTCTTGCGTCGCCACAAGAAGGCTCAGCAACAACCATCCCCTGAGAAGGCCCAGCCTCGAAATGAATTCCCTCCTGACCAAAAGGACCCTATGGGTCTTGGCGGTGCCCCTGTATCACCTTTCCGTAACCACCACTCCAACATGTCACAGGAATCGTTCTCATCTATGACAATCTTGATGGGACATACTGGCAAGAACAACAGCAATGCTACTGCTGCTCCCAGGGAAATGAACAACTTCGCTGATGAGAAGGAAATGGGATTCGGTGCCGCCCCCGCCGCGCCTCGCTTCCCCAACCACATGTCAACCAATTCTCAAGATTCTCGATCTTCCATGGCCATCTTGATGGGCCGTGCTGGCAAGAGCAATGGCAACAACCGTAACTCTGTTGTTGGTGATAACACGCAGTTCAAGTCGACAATCGGCAAGCCAATCTTGCAAGAGGCGCAATATCCAACCGTGCAAGGACAGGATGCCAAGGGAGTTGCTTTTGACCCGACAGTCGCCGAGCCTCGAGCGCGTAACGGGCCTCTCGAAACCCAGGACGGACTCCGAAGAAGCTCAGGCTGGAACCGATACTGGTCTGGCGGCAGTGCTCTTCAGATTCTCGGTTTTGGCGGACCTCCTAAGAGGAACACCGTCAGCTCCGACACTGATTCGCACTACTCAGAGCAACCAGGCTTCCGAAACCCCCGTGTTACACAGGACTCTGCTACCGTGCCCCCTCTTAATTTTGAATTCCGACCTGAGATGAACCGGGTTAACTCCGGAAGCCCCGTCGTCTCAGAGTACAGCAAGAACATTCCTTTCAGGGATGGAGTTGCTGGCAAGATCGAACGACCCATCTCCAAGGCGTCTTCTGGCTACTCTAGCGGCATTCCCGAGAGCGTCAACGAGACCTGGGATCCCGATCGTAAGGATAAGCCATGGGGTACCGACCGAGCGACCAGCAGCATCTATAACCCCAGCTTCTACTTCGGTCAGCCACTCTCACCCAGAGTCCCTCCTCCCCAAACACCCCCAACTGGCGTGAGCAGTCAGCCTCAACTCGCAATGTCGGCACAGTCATCCGACATGAGTTGGTTGAACCTTGGTGACCGGGCTCGCCAGTAAAGCGACCACAGTCTTGATGAACTGATGAAGTCGTTTGAGTCTTACATGCTTATCGCGAACCGCCGAGATACCCCATGGCGTATTGGCGCATCCATACCTTTTTCCTCCCCAGAGGCGGGAATTTGCTTCGGCGAAAACCGCCCACTTGTAAGCGCATATGACGCTTTTCACCTCTCATTACTCCTTACTTCAGTGCATGTACATAATAGCACATGCACTCGATGACACTCACTACCCCCCTTTGGACCCAGCGTCTATTGGAAACACTATTTTCTTTTCTCCTTTTTGATAAAGCATCGCATGAACCGGTGCCGGCATGTCCTCACCGGCCTAATATGTCTCATATTCATTTCTCTTTTCTTTCCCTTAGCCTGTTTTCACCTTACTTGTACATTCTAGACGTAGACCCGGGATTGGTCATTATTTCCCACCTTTTTCACCGATCGTCGCCGTCGTTGTTGTTATGATACCACCATCTCCTGATGTATGTAATTGGCTAGTGTAGCAAAAAAAAGGGGACTTGGACGGATGATCAAAGATGTTGATGGAGATGTTAGATGGAGGATAAAAGTGGTGATGGAATGGGGAAGGGGACGTGACTGCTGGTCGAGGTTGAGCGACGACAGTCAGTTTTTGTTATGTCTGTGTGTGGTTATGAAGCGAAGCCAGAGGAAGCAGTGGCTGCGAAGCCGGAACTTTTCGCAATAAAACGATATGAATAATTACCCAATGCCTGTCTGATGTGAGGTTAACGTGAGATGAGTGCTCGTAGAGTTGACGATGAACAAAGGAAACAGATGATTTTCCCGGAAAGAAAGTGTGAGTTCTCATAATTGTACTTTTATCTGGATGAGACTATCGGAATGGGCTATGATATATTGTCTTGTTCCATCTTGATCATGCAGTGTATACAAAATATCGGGGATTATGTGTGAACTCTTCGACGTATCTGGAATCAGATCTTAACATCTGTTTGTTGATCATGGTTCTTTTCTGCAGCCACAAACGCCTCTATCGTAACTTCGGGGCCCGACTGGTCGGATATGAGCATCTTTACACACCACCACATCATCAGAGTTTCGACACTGCGGGCCGAGCCTTTTTTCTTTATCATCACAGCATGTGATGTGTATTGAAGAGATCTTGTCTTTACTGTTGTCTTCAATGACGGAATTGAGGTTTAGTGGAGAAATCTTGAGCTGTCTGTAAGATCTATGACATCTCATCTCCATGCCTATTCCAGCATCTTTGTTCTCACTATCACTGCTCCACCTAAGTAAGCTTCCTTGGCTTGCAGGACAAACTCTGTCAGCAATGCAGAATTATTCTGGAAGAGAAGAATAGAATTGTTCTTTTCTTCTTGATACTACGCTCCCGCATATCTAGGTGTTGAAGGTTGCAGCTCGGTGATTGTTTTGAGTAATAAGGCGTGTGATAGGAGTACGCATGTGGAAGATAATTCATAAGTTACCACCCATAGACGTTATGACGGGCAGACAGAAGCTATGGCCTTAGCAGCCGCACTAATAAACACGGGACTATTGCCTTGCATAGAATATATCCGCACATGAAATCCAACGATTCTACCCACGTGCCTCCGAACTATGAGCTCCGACGGATACCCAACGGCTTACGGCAACCGTCTCTGTTGCCCATCGCTATTAGCCCCAGTGGGCCCTGGACAATGGCGTTTTCAGGGTCCTCTGGGCAACATGGTCTGGTAAGGCTAGTGAGTGATGATCAAGCGACGGTTGTGTTTTTGAGTTTGAGTGATTTTCTTAGCCGAGCTATGAAACTTTGAGAAGAAATGGAGGCTCAACTTGAATAGGGCTATTGAGAGAGTGACCCAATACAGCAACTGAGTTCTGTAAAGCTATGAGTTTGATACGACAATATACGATGGCTGCAGTAGATGGAGATGCAAGGTACTGTGCTGGTCAAAGTTCTGGACCAACTTATCCGCAAATTTCTCCGTACGGAAGATACTGCCGGTGGTTGAAGGGTGATCCCAGTCAGTATGAAGACGTAGGCTGATTGGAAAGGAACAATCCGGAGACGAGTTGAAACTCAACAAGCTTCTGTCTATTTCGTAGTATGGATACCGGGGAGACTAGGAGAGGTCCACCCAAATACCCAATTCGACGAGGTGCTTGCTGCATTTATCTGCCTACTGCGTTATTGAGCCGGATACACCCCGAAGTGGCTCCTTGAGTTGAAGGAGGATGAAGAAGTCAAGCAAAGACTTTCGGATCAGATGTGGTATCTTTGTTGCTGCTTGTGATTGATCCCGGAGCATTAAAGGTTGGTAGATCTCTTTAAATCTGACCACCACTCACAACAAATTGCCAAGATTCCATCGGTCACCCAACAAGGAGCTCAAACAGTCAGGGAAACACCAATGACGGCGGGTTGAGATGCCTCTTCGAACATGCCCCCCCTGGCCTGCAGCACGGGCAAATTCCAATTCTGGTAGGCGAGTCAGAGCTATCGATCTCTATGTCTGAGTCTGAGTCTCAGAGAAGAGAAGAGGCTCTGGGCTAATCGCCAGTCGAGGCTAGACCATCCATGGGTATTTTAGCCCACCACTGACAGTTGCCTGTACGAGGCCACCACCAGAAAACTTGAAGAAGCTCATCTCGGGACAAGGGACATCCCACGCGGCCTGCAGCCACAATTCGAACAGTTCAGGTCATCTGGATGAACGGGAATGTTTCTGTGAGCAGCAGGTCCTCTCTACTGTAGTAATGAGACGAGACTACAAGTGATGCAACCTCATCTAAAGTAAGTTTATCTAGATAAACACTAAATTCAAGGTAAAAAGAACCAGCTTGTGAAAGGCTTCGCATCAGAGGAAACGAACCGATGGCCATAAACCCCTGCCATGAACTGCAGTGAAATGACACCTCCCACCGTTTTCCAAGACGACGTCCTTCTAAGTCCCACGGTTCGATTGGCAGATTCGCAGCTGACAATGTTCTGCATCCATTGCTCCATTGCTCCATTGCTCCATTGCTCCATCCTCCATAATGAATGTAATGGTAGAGTGAGCACAGCACCCCACTCAACAAGTATTCGTACTTGTCGAATCCCTGTTCCACAATAACTCACTGACTGAATTTCTGTGGTTGGTTGTTTGGCCGAGATGGACCGACAGAATAAAAAACCTAAAAAAGGTTTAGAATTTGGCTCTAGATTTAACTCACTCACCTCCAGGCCCTCCCCCGCCTGCCGGTTGCCCGTCTCCAGTTTACAGCGGGCACAGGGCACAGGACACCTAACGATGGCCTAATTTTCCCCACTAGGAGCGTCAGAACCCCCACTCTCACCTACAATTCTCCCCACTCTGGCGACAAAAGTCTCTCTACATTCAGACTTTCTCAGATTGGAGTCCGAAGACTGAGGCAGTGAGTGAGTGAGAGAGTGGGTTGCTACTGCTAAGGTTAGGCTTGCCACTAATTGACATAGGGAACCGACCAACCACCTTCTGACTCTCCAGTCTTCACTAGAGAGCTGGAGACTCGACTTAGCCAACCTACTCAACTTGAGCCGGTCGGTCGAAGACTTCGACATCGGCTTTGTCCCGTCTCGTCCGCTTTTGCGCTTGCGCTCGTGTCTTTTGCTGCCGGCTTTTTCCTGCTTCTTTTCCTGCTTCTTTTCCTGCTTCTTTTCCTGCATCTACTTGCATTCGTATCTACATCACAATCTGCGCCCATATTGCATCACAAAGCGCTCCAGCTGTCGGCTTTCTCCCTTGGCCCTCCCACCCGGCTGTCCGCTCTAGACCAACTACTGCATCGTCGCAGCGTTCAAAACATCCGCGGTACTCATTCCACCTTATCTTCTATCACAAGCTTCGTCCCTTGGATACTATTGCCAAGATATTTCCGGTCTATGTATCGCCGCCGATCTATCGGTAACGCATCTCTCGTGCCCGACTGGAGCGCATCTTGATCTCACACTTCGACTGTTTTCATTTCGTGAATACTTGTCAGCTTTGACTGTATTTCTCTCTCTTTTGGATACAGTTTCTCCGCTTTGGTGCTGCTTCGAAAACCTGGCTTTTTTTCGTCTTGCGCAGCCTTCACCGGCGCAACCCACCGATTACTCAACCCCCTCTCCGCCTATTTGATACACTCAATTGTAAACACTTTTACTCGACGCCCGCCGTTTATTCGGCCATGATGAGTTCGACAGCCTGGAACGGGCAAGACCAGACAATGGCTTCAGCCGGCGATGAAGACTTTCACCAGTTTCTCGACATGAGCAGTATGGGAACTCTGGGCGATGGCATGCACTTCGATTTCCAATCTTTCCAGGATGGCTCATCGCAGGGACTAATGAATCAATCGCGCGATGTCCCCGACACAATAATGACCGACAGCGACAACCCAGGCTTGTTGGCTACGGCTGGCGCAATGCCAATGTCGACATCTGCTGGTCAACCAACGATCCCAGCCCATATGATGACACCTGCGAGCGATCCCATCTCCAACATTGACGCCCAAATTCAGTATCTTCAGCAGCAGAAGTTTCAACAACAGCAGCGCCAACTGCAGGAGCAGCAAGCTGCCTTCTTCCACAACCACAACCACTCAGTACCTCCGACACCGCAAAGTCTTGAGATGCCCAACAGCGGACACTTCTACTCCCAGGCAGAGCAGATCACTACCACTGGTGCTTACGATAGAGGCTATCATCAGCGCACGAAGGAGCAAGATGTAAGGATGCGCTACTGCCTCTCATATGGCAATCTGCAAGCCCAAGATTTTGATGCTGACTGGCTCTTAGATGGCCTTCACACCTCTAGTCTCACCTGCAGTGACACCTCTAGATCCCAATTTCTCCATGGATAGCGGCTACACCATTCCCAGCGCCTATTTCAGCCCTCTGACTTCACCTGCTCTTCATGCTCAGAATGAGCCTTCAACTATTTACGACCCGCGCCACACGAACACGAATAACTCGCCGATCGACGTGGACGATAGATCCGCTGCCCCTGTCACATCAGTTTTGGATCTGCCCAGGAAGCCTGTGAGGAAGAAGGCCGCTACGAAGTCGAGAGCAAAGGCTGGCATTCGAAGTTCTCCCATTGTAAAGCCCCAACGTCGGAAAGTGGGACCTAGTCCTGCGATTGTCTCACAGGTGCTCAGTGAGGTCGAGGAGAACAACAGCTCTTTTCTTCCCATGTCTGCAACCTCTACTGAGACCTCCGCAGAGGAGAATTCTTCGGTGTCTCCAGAGGCACTCTCAGAAATGCCCCCACCTCCCATCCCCAACAGGAGGTCAACAAGCAAATCGCCATACATTCAAGCACAGTCGAGCAGTCAGCAAACACCCGTTCCGGGTCCTGTGGACTTAAATCTCGCTCCAGCTACACCAGCTTCGCTAATGAAACTGCCGGCATCCAGGGCCAACAAGCAGGCTGCAGGACATCAAGAACCGGTTGTTTCTGATCACATCGAGTCACTCGAGTTGCCCGAATCGGTATCCAGCAAGACTATGACACCCGTCATCTCACGCTCTACGGTTCAGTCGCCCATTGTGGAAGCTGGTGCTGGAAAGGCGTCTGCTTTCCAGCCTTTGCCATCTCCTATATTCCTCCGCCACGCTTCTGCAAGCGCAAGCCCTCAGTTGGCACCCGGATCAACAGGGCCATCCGCACGAAAAACTCCTCAGCTCGCACCTCGGTCAAGTCGGAAGAGGTCTGTGAGTTCTGTTCAGGTCTCGCCTGCCCTATTGCCGAGAATATCCCCTAGCATTAAGCCTCTGCTACCTGGTACGCCTGGTATGACACCAGCGGAGAGTGCTGCTTCTCAACTACTAATGTCTAAATCCAACTACCAAAACATACTGGAGGGTAACAAGGTGCCGGGCGTTTCATACCCAAGCGAACTTTCGACCAACCTCACATCGAAACGAACATCACACAAGATTGCAGAGCAAGGGCGCCGCAACCGAATCAACTCAGCGTTGCAGGTCATGGCCGGTCTGTTGCCTGGAGGCGAAAAAGCAAACCTGACGGACGAAGGCGACAAGAAGGACGGAAAGCAAGCGAATGCGCAAAACAGCAAGGCAAGCGTCGTTGAGAACGCTATTGTACACATGAAGAGCCTGGAGAAAGAGAATGTGGACCTGAAGAAGGAGGTTGAGGAATTAAAAAAGCGGTTGGAAGGATTGCAAGGGTCGGCGGAAGATAAGTAATAACAAAAGCATGAAGTTGTGTTTGGTTCAGGGCAATGTACACAAGCGCTGTGCAGATGGGGACCCCGGAGCATAATGGGATCGGTCTAGTTCGCGAAGGGTTCGGCACTCTGCATTATATCCTCAACGGCGGCAGCGATGTTTTGTTTTGGCGTTTTGTCTGGGGTTGATGAGGCGGAGCATTAGACAAGCGCTTCTGGGCGTAGACTGGCTGGTTGTAGAGTATTGTTGATATATATAAGACAACAAGGGGCACGATTGGATGATTCGATAAACGATGGATTAACGTCTTATATGAATCTGGAGTATTGGTATACCAGGGGTGAATACAAGAGTCAAATCAAATCAAGTCAAGTCACGTCACGTAACGAGCAAGGCATAGTGAGACATGGATGTGAGATAGCAGATTTAAGATTCGAGATCCGAGATCCGAACAAGTGACGCGAGGTGAAGGTAGGTGAAGGTGAGGGTGGAGTAAAGGAAGGGACGAGAGAAGAGAAGGGAATCGTAATATTGTTTATTGTGATGATTGAAGGTATCGTGTTATTGTTGTTGTTGGACAAGGACATCAGCATCTAGATGCTCCATAGCCTCCACAGAAAGCTTCAAACTCTCCATAAAGCCGTTGACAGCTACACGGAGCATTCGATTGGTGGTTGCTCTGTACTGAACCTCGAGGAGCCATGCATCTGCATCTGCATCTTGACCAGTTGGTGAACCTTGGGTTGACTTGGACGTCGGCGCCGGGACAACGGTGAGCTGTCGCCTGACGAGTGGGGAGAGTTCAGGGTCCACCTCAATGGCCTTGAGAGCGGTTGTAGCCAGTCGAGCAGTGGGAAACGGGACGTTCAGGACACTGGACAAGGGGGTCAGGGGTCAGTAAACGGTACCTGGCAAAGTCAAGAAGGGCAAGGGGAGCTATGACAACAACAACAAACAACAGCCAGCCTTGGAGCTTAGCCTTAGCCTTGTAAAGCGTCATAGTCATAGTCAGGGAGGGGACTGGGCCTGGGACTGGGACTGGGAGGGGTGGCTTGCATTGAACAGGGAAATTCGGCATCGGGAGTGGCGGTCATGGTTGTCTTGTTGAAGGTGGTCACTGCTTATAGGAAGCGACCGCTTAAATCTCTCTTTGAGTGATGCGATGCGATACGATCGATCTTTAATCGGCTGTCTTTTTTTTCCTTGCTTATTCTTTTGGTCGTAGTCTCTCTCGATGACGGAACTAACTTGGCTCTGCCGTGTCAAGGAATGCAGATCTAGGCCCAATATCGAAGGGAGAGGAACGTCACCCGTTATATCGAACTTTTGAGTGGTTTTATCTTTTGTTTTGGTTTAATAGACAGCCCGGGCGGTTTCTTTGGTGATTTGAGACTGATAATATTGATGGAAAGTGAGTGTGAGTGAAAAATGACGGCAGGTTTCTGATATCCGCGCGGGGATAAGATTGGTTGGTTGGCAGTGGGGGATCGGGCGGTAAAGATTGACGTTATTGCTGGACCTGGAGGTTTCCCAGGTTCGAATTAGGTTGTATGGCACCGCCACAAAAAAAGCCACAGCCGGTTTCCATCATAACAACAGATCTAAATTTGCATATAACAGAAGAATATAGTCATAGTCTTGTTGTACGGGAGCTAGGCTATCCCGGGGATATCTTATGATGCATCTATGGTATCCAATCTTACCTTATGTATGGGAACGTAGGCTTGCAGATTTGATTATAGCGGGTGCTTGTTGATGTTACACTGCTTCCGTAGAATTGTAGTTGAGACTCATGTTATAGGGTATTTTAACAAACAATAGGTTTGTGACTATGGTGGAGATGGGAACGAGAACCTGCAGTAGAACTGACTCAACAGAGAGGCATGTAGTGACAGCTGTTTCACGGAACCTTTCTAATAGTGGAGAGTCAAGGCTGTCGCGTGAGAAACGATGGAGACTCTCGAAGCGCTGAGTATTCAATAAACATGGATGGACTAGAAACCTATTGACAACTGCCCTGTGCTGCCCCATAAGGTAAACAGCTGGACTGGAGCCGTGCTGTAAATTAGCGCTTGTTAGCTGGGGCTGCCACCCGTAACTGGAGCGGTCTGTTGTGGTCCAGGGCGTTGCGTTGCTCTACGTTGCTATGGCAATGAACCAAAGGAGCAACCTGTTTCGGGCAGGGGCCAGAAAACAACCAGAGATGGCCCATACAAAAGAATCGCTAGCCCAGGTCCCATTGCTTATCATCAACATCGTCAACCAAGACCTTCAATTCTTTTTTTCCCATCTCCCAAGTTGTCTTTGGTGCATTCTCTTGTCCGTGCTGGAGCTGGACTTGGAACACCTTGTTCATCTTTTTCCTCCTCTTTGTGTCTCTAACTTGCCGACGCACCCAGTTTAGCCATCAAACGCCTCTGCTGCAGCTTCCCGTTGAACTGCCCGAACGCAATTGATCCCTCCTGTCGTCACCGCCTGCATCTGGTCGCCTGAGAAATTGAGAATCGATTGATTGAGATTCAAGACATCATCGCTGCTTCAATATCTTGATTGTATATTTGTTTATACTTTTATCATATTCCGATTGCATTCGAAAGCTCTTGCCTCGTATTTCTCTCATTCACAGGCCGGTTCCACCGCTCAGACTCCCTGAAGCGCAACCCAAGTCAACAATAACAACATGGCGCCTTCCAGCAGACACCCACAACTGCAACCGCAGCCGCAACCTCAGAGCATGGCGCAAATTGTCGAGTACATTCCAGGTAGGTTATCAATTCTGCACCATTTCAAAGCATTCAATACATATGTACCATGGCCATCTGGCTTTCCAGTGTTATGGCGCATTGTTATCCCTTGTACTTCTCACCGTGGTTCGAAACTCTACCTTACTTTACCGACGTCAATTTCCATGCCAACAACATGCCTCTTCCAACGTCGGCGCTAAACTATATTCCAGATCGCTTGTACCTCGCTGCCTACAACGTCGCTCCCACTGCCGATACGCCATTTCCCTACCCTGAGGAGCCTGCGCCTGTCTCTCCTAGGAAGAGAACGACAAGACTCGCTGCCGGCGCTACCCCGCTCGCCAAACCATCTCGACCTCAGCCCTGCTACTTTACTGTCGACGATACGCTCCTTTACAACGCTTTCCACCATGACTTTGGTCCTCTTCACATCGGTCACCTGTACCGCTTTGCTATCCAGTTCCATGACATACTGGGCGCCAAGCAGAACAAGGAGCGACCAATTGTCTTCTGGAGCGCTGCTGATCCCAAGAGTGAGCTCATTCATTAACAATCGCGAAATTCATTGATACTAACAGAGATTCAAGGTCGCGCCAATGCCGCATGCATGCTCGCGTGCTACATGGTCCTTATTCAGAACTGGCCTCCCCATCTGGCCCTCGCCCCGATTGCGCAAGTCGATCCTCCTCTGATGCCCTTCCGAGATGCCGGTTACAGCCAGGCCGATTACGGCATCAGTGTTCAGGATGTTGTTTACGGTGTGTGGAAGGCTAAGGAGGAGAAGTGCTGCGACTTGGACAACTTCGACCTGGACGAGTACGAGCGATTCGAACGAGTCGAGCATGGTGATTTCAACTGGATCACCCCCCATTTCCTGGCGTTTGCTTCTCCCCAGCATGCCCCCGTCCAAAAGATCACAGAAGGCTCTGAGCTGTTTCCACTGCTCCCACGAACGATATCCGCTGTGGATGCTCACCCCAAGCTGCCCAAGCCTTTCAAGAACGTCTTGAAGCACTTTTCAGAGAAGAACATTGGTCTAGTGGTCCGTCTCAACTCACAACTCTACTCACCCTCATACTTTGAGGCTCTGGGTATTCAACATCTGGACATGATTTTTGACGACGGCACATGTCCCTCGCTCACAACTGTCCGCAAGTTTATTCGACTTGCTCACGAGACCATCACTGTGCGCAAGAAGGGAATCGCTGTCCACTGCAAGGCTGGTCTGGGCCGAACTGGTTGCTTGATTGGCGCCTATCTCATCTACCGCCATGGTTTCACAGCGAACGAGGTCATCTCTTTCATGCGATTCATGCGACCTGGTATGGTTGTCGGTCCCCAACAGCACTGGCTTCATCTCAACCAGGGCACTTTCCGTGAGTGGTGGGTTGAGGAGCGAATCGAGCGCCGTCTAAGAAGAGAGATGGCTGCTGCCAACCCCATCCCTAGCACACCCATCCGTGCCATGCAAAAGACAACACTACGAAACGGCCAGACCTCAACACCGCCCAACCGAAGCCCTTCAAATCGCACACCGCTGAGCGAAGTTGACCATGACCGCAATAACATTGGGGTTCAAGAAGACTATCTGCCAGCTCCTACGCCAGGACAACCACGAAAGGGCGTTCGAGACCGTCACCATCCTTATCAACGTTCTATCTCTGGAGGAGCCCCCGCTGAGGTTCAATACTCAGTCGAGCAAGAAGCTGAGCTCATTGCTAAGTATAGTCAGGTTGGTGGTGAATCCGACGAAGAGCTGCACCTTCGCATGCGCCGCCGCAAGGCAACTTCACAATCACCAGCACGCAGTGAGAAGGTGCGATCTGTGAGTCAGACCACATCTATCTACACGATAGATAACGATGCGTCACATGATGCTGAAAACATTGGGTCTGTGCGATCATCTAAGCACGTTGACCGGGTTCCCAGCACCCCTGGTGTTCTTACCAAGGTTCGCGGCAGCAAGCGCCAGGGCGAGTCTCCTCTCCGCGCAAAGGAATCCGGTGTTCGCAAGACCAGCGGCAGAGTAGGCAGCGCCAACCATGGCACTTCGGTGACAGCAGCCACAACAGCTCGCAAGGTCTCAGGAGCTTAGAAGGCACCAACTACGCGAGTCCAACCGCTTCAGCGTTCTAACGCGAAGCGCAACAGGCAACTGTACGACTCTAAATCATGATCATGACTCACGTATGTCACGAGATCTCAACGTCTGGCATGCATTGGCGTTTCGGGCTCGAAAGGGGATGATGGGCGTTTGTGTTTGAATGTTGAACCGATTCTTCTCCCGCGATCACTCTTCGTGGCGTGTTTGGCTTTCTGTTATTTGCCATTTCGAACTTGCAAGATATTTCAGTTTCTGCGGCATTCAAGCATCGCTGTGGCATAGTTTGAATGGAGTTTGTAATGATCAAGGAAGAGGGCATTCAGAGAGACGCGAACAAAAACAATATTGTCTCGGAGAGGAGGAGTGAAGGCATAATGGAGTTTAATTTGCGACGGCGTACAGGAAAGGGACTGATTGGAATTTTGCTATTCTGTATTGATTTGGTTTGGCATTGCATTGATCGACTCTTCTTGATTACAATCCATGAGGAGCACTGGAGATGAAAGGGCAGCGGGCTTTAACGACTATTTATATATGTGCATCCGAAATAAACTGCTTATATCGTTCAAACAACTTCTTTGTCAACTCGTGCTGTTCATGTTTCTCATGACCTTGATATCATTCAGCATCATCATACTCGAATACCTTCGAGAGCCGTCACAACGTCTGCTATCACTTTTGCAGCCTCTGCACTCGTCATATCTTCACTCACAGCCAGACATTTGTCCACAACATCACGATATCGACGACCGACTGACTTTACTACCCAAACCAGGAACGAGGGCAGTGCGCATTACCTTGTCGCGCCATCGATCAGCCGAGTAGTGCGGCTTATGATAAGTTTGCAGAATTTTCCACAGTCCAATCTCAAAGAGTACCAGCCCTAGACTATAAATGTCCATGGGTTTGCAGTGTGAATAGCCACGCAGCGATGCTGGATGGCGATGGAGTGTCATGATAGATGGATCACGCGGGACAACAGAAAGTGCGGTGTCGAGATCAGGTCGTGAGGTACCGAAGCCAGTAAGGTAAGGACGCTTTATATCGGGCACCAGGGCAGATGCAGCGGTTGAGGAGTGTGCTGATGTAGAGATGGCAGAAGGGAAGAAGAGGATATTCGAACTGCAGAGACTCTTGTGAAGCCAATCAAGAGAATGTGTTGGTTAGGCTTGCCTATACCTATGTTTGTGTTTGTGTTTGCCTTACTGACTTACAGTCACACAGCTGTATAAGTTACCAAGGGCAAACTGCTGATGCCTTCAGAGGCATCATGTCTGGACTATTACAAATAGTCCTCTTTCTTCTAGCTAGATTAGACTTACATCAATCAAGCCTTCTTTACACAACTTACTGAACGCAGGGACCACAGAGCAACCGCGAGCGTATGCGCCAGGCGAACTCGATCGTCAAGGTCAGGAGTCTTGAGATCTGCACTGGCGATGAGCTCGTGGAGTGTCGAAAAGGTTGACGAGGGCGCTTTGTATACAAGGCCATATCTGCTGCGCGCATGGTCATCGACATAGCCTACGCAGTCGATGCTGTGAAGATCAGGATGACACTCGGAAGCTGAATGCATCATCCGAGCGAGATCATCCAGACGACGAACATGAGCTACGCGCTCGTCCACATCATCACGATCATAGTCCACCCACTCAATAACGACATCGCCTGCTCTTTCATGCCTTCCTTTGCTGCGCCCGCCATTGCCGTCATCGTCACTCAGCTCAAGTGCAGTACGGGGGACTTTGAGGGCGAAGGTTGGCTTGAATGAGGCTTGAGGTTTAGCGTCAAGATTTATCCGGAGTTTCTTGAGTTTGGCTGAGGTGGTGAGCTTGGGGTAGACACCCGTTGACGCTTTTTCCAGTAGGGAGAGCTGAGCTATGCCGCGCTGGGCGGACTCAAGGAGTTGGTGAGTCCAGGCACGTTGGAAGGATGTGAGGTGAGATGATGGGAAGAGACACTCGAAGCCATCATTAAAGTCTTGAGTACAGGGATTAGTCGATATTATAATGACTCAAGAGTGTGATGTACCTCGTAGGTCTTTGAGTAGATTTGTAAACTTATCTTTATCTATATAAGTTAGTCGTGGTACTTTGAAATAGCAAGCATAGTGAGAACTCACCTGCTATAACCCATCTGGCTCTCAAGCCCATACCCTTCCCCCAACTCATCTCACTCATCGCCTTAGAGACTCCATTCAATTTTTCAATTTCCCCATCTCTGGAGCTTTTTCTCGAAGGCGAAGGAGACCTCCTAACCTTTGTCTTCTCAACATCCAAAGTAGCTCTCCCGTTCTCACTAGCATGCTCATCAACCAAACCATACCTATCCTTAAGCTTCTTAAAATTCGTGACAGCACTACACAACTCCTCAAGAATCTGAAAGGCCAGACATCTCTATTGAGGATTCCTTGTACTCTCAAGATGAGCCTCGAGTCTCCCCTCTGCAACACCCCAGTCCCGACCCCAGACGACAAGCCGCATCTCTTCTATACGCACTTTACAGAGAAGTCTTTGGCTGTCCGTGTCAATGTTTGCGGCGGTTGTGAAGAGATTGTACGCTTTAACGCAGCCGTCAAAGAGCTGGCCGAGGACTCCTGCTACTGCGAGGGCAGTTCCTACAGTCTCGGCAGCCATTGTGCGAGTGTGAGTGTCAGTGAGGGGTTGAAGGTGGAGATGGACAGATGAAGCCTGTAAGAGGTGAGGGCAATTGTATTCAACATGAAATTATTGTCAAGACTTGATTGATTATTTCATAGGTAACAATGCCATATGCAAGCTGCAGGACTAGATAGATTCTGGGCCGATGCTTAATAAGGTCAGAAAGGAAGGCTTAAAGAGGATCATCATCGCGCATGAGCCCTTCAGAACATAGGAGATGGATAATTCAATTGCTTTATTATACGTTAGACTAGCAATTATGATACTTTATTTTGATGTCCTAATCCTTGTGCCAGTCTGAACAATGAAGCTTGTTTTAACAGGTCTTAGGCATCGGCAAGGGCTGAAACGTTTTAAGAAGTCTTTACAGACTGGTAAGAGTTAGAGTCGCGTGCATTCGATCAGTGATTCAAAATTTTGGGGGGGAATATATCAGACAGAATCTATGTTTACTTCTCATGTGTCTTTCTTTTCTTGCCTTGACAGTCGCACTCAAGGTAAGCTTTTCTCAACGAATTTATTTTCTCTTTGAAGCGTTATGACTCCAATGCTTAGAGGTACACAGAATCTCTTGTTTTCCTGTCCTAATATGTGTATTTTCTAGCATCTCGGTGGTTTAAACACCAAGGTTGACCTCTCCAAGCAGGTCAAAGTTCATTGGACTCATCGTTGTAGAAGTCGCCTGCAGTAACTGAACTTTAACTATCGCCAACACAGTCACTCATATAAAAGGCTGCACAGTAGCCTTCCCTTCCTTCTTTTCATTCACTCGTCCTTCCTTCCTACATCGACGCCGGTCTGCATCCATATACCTGCCTAGGTAGGTGAGTGACAGAAGAATTATCCTCTAAGGCTTAGGATACTATAATAAAGTGATCAAATTATTTCGTCTCTTGTGCTTCTAGAGACCGATTCTTCTAACACCCTAAGGCTGCCCTGATACAATGGAGTTGGAAGACTTCGATTTCTGGGATAGCGATGGCTATCTAACGGGCAAAGATGTCAGTGATGAACAACGCAATACTCTTTACAACTTGCTCAACAAAGATTATGGAGCAACCGACGTTCTAGAATCATTTCCTTTCTTGATCATTGGATGCTCAGGCGGACCCCCAGACAAGAAGAAGCGACCTTTCTCAGTAGCTGGAGCTATTGCTATTTGGAGAGACGCCGAGCATTTCGACTTCAGACCTATTGTTGGAGATCTCGGCCAAGGCGATCCCATCGAAGTCGACAACAGTATTCTTGACCAAATAAAACCGCTTGAAGTTCCCTCCAACGAAGTCATACTACATCTTGCCAACCATTGGCCTGAGTCTCAAGCTATCTCTATGTTATGGACTACGCTGGTCGTGGAGCTTCCCCTCGTCAATCAGAAGGCACATCGAGATCGACTCCGCAATCTTCCTTCGGGCATCGAGTGTTGTTTTCTCAACCTCACATTTAACAATGGTCCATTACCGAATTCAGAGCGAAACAGAACCCGAGAAATCAAACCAGACCCCACCACGTACGGTCAAGAGATTTGCGATGAGACAGATTACGTCGCGATGGATGGGAAATTTTACCCAGGAACTATGATCGGTTCAGTCGACGAGGAAGGCGAGCTTTGCTCGGTAGTCACAGCCGGCATCCTAATCGAGAAGGGTGACGAACAGCGTCTCACTTGTTCTTTTCATTGTTGGGAAGACCAACATAAGAAGCATCCCAACCAGTTTGGCAATTCTGATGACACAGCCATGGAGACTTTCAAAGTCTTGCAAGGTAATAACCCAGGCTCTACGGTTGGATATGTCAAAGAACGAATGGGCCAAACCGATATCGCGTTGGCCAAGCTACATGATGATGGTGTGGTATTTGAGAACAAGTTCATGGAAATTGAGGCAGCGCCTAAAAAGTTCCTCGCGTCGGCAGATCACAATTTTGGGGATCGTTTCATCTTTGATTCTTTTGCCGTTGGCAAGCAGACTGTGTCATGTCTTGGACGGAGATTTACTCTGGGATGGAAACAAGAGACTACACACCCTGACGTAAAGTACATTGCCCTCGACCAAGGCGCGTTTGTTTCTGACTCGCCTGAAATTACTACGGAGCCCCAGATCCGCGATAGTGTTTGCGGTTCCGTGCTTCTACGATGTCTCAATCAGTCTCTTGGAAACAAACACCACCGCACTCAAAAGATGACGATAGAGGACGGTGAAATCGGCGGCATGCTACACTGGGTTGATATCCAGTCGAATAGAAGCGATAAGATTGAGAACTTCATCATGTATGCTGATTCATTTGATCCTCTAATTGAGGCGGGATGGACTATTGTTCAGGAGACAAACGAGGATAGTCATAGCGATGGAGAGGCTAGTGAACAATCACCACGAAAGAGACAGAGAACCTAAACTTTATGATATTTTAGACTAGCAATTATGATACTTTATTTTGGTGGTCTAATCCTTAGAGGATCATTTGATTTATGCAAGACACGCACGCCGTCTATTTTCTTCTGTACTGAGCACCTTTCACTGTGCTTCATTGCAACATTTGCTGCATCGCATTCACCCTGTAACTCTCTCTTCGCTCCATCAACTGAGCATGTCGCCCGCTGTCAACGATCTGGCCTCCTTCTACAATGAAGATGACATCTGCCTTTTGAACAGTATGCAGTCGGTGAGTGATGGCCAACACAGTCGTGCCTCTCGACGCCCTCTCAAGACCTTCTTGAAGAGCCGCTTCGCTAGCAGCATCGAGAGCGCTGGTACTCTCATCAAGAAGTAACAGGCGTGGACGACGGACAAGAGCGCGGGCGATCGCGAGACGTTGTCTTTGACCACCCGATAGGCGAGAAGCAGATGGGCCGCACTCGGTATCGTAACCATCCGGAAGGGCCGCGATAACATCATGAATGTTTGCTAAACGACAAGCCTCCTCAATCTCGGCATCTGTAGCCTCGTGACCAGGAGGTGCTCCAAGACCAACATTAAAGCGCACACTGCCGTCGAAAAGGGCAGGCTCTTGAGGAACCAGAGCAATCGTGCCACGGAATGACGTAGAGAGCTTGGTGGTATCTTGGTCGTCGATGAGGACTGTTCCGGCCGTGGGTTCGTACAAGCGTTGCACAATGTTCATGATGGTAGATTTGCCAGCACCCGAAGGACCAACAAGACCACAGAATTGGTTGGGTGGGAGTGTGAAAGAGACATTGTCGAGGACAGTGGCGTCGGGTCGGCTTGGGTAGGCAAAGGAGACATTCTTGAAAGTTACCCTCGCGCCGCCGCGGCCATGGTTCTCCGCTGGACTGAGCGACTTTTCTCCTCCTACAGCTTCGGGGTCGTCTCCCGCCTTGGACGGGTCTTGTCCAGGCTTTCCTGTATGAGTGCTACTTCCCATGTTGACTACCGTCATGACACGGGACAGGGCAAGCCGAGCGCGCGAGAACTCTGGAGCAAGAGAGAACATGCCACTCCAAAGTTGGGCGCTTGTCAACATAGCCACCAATATGATAAGAAAGTCTTTTTGAGTATACTCTCCCTTCATGATGAGTTGCGAACCCCACCAATATGCGAGAGCGTTGATGAAGGTGCCAGTCGTATACGAGATGGCTAGCCAGATATTGGTCGTGACTGAGGCGCGCACAACCTCCTTCCTTGGAGGCTTGAGTAGACGAGAGAAACTTTCCATGTACTCGTTTTCGAGGGATAAGACGGCAACGGTGCGAATGGACTGAATAGCCTCTGTTGCGAGTGAAGTAGCAGTTGAGAAGGCGGCTTGATGACGCTCTTCATAACGAGCCAGCATTCGCAATTGCATGAAGCCAGAACCAAGCAGAATAGGAAGTGTGACCAGACACACCAAGGCGATCTTCCACGCAAAGATGTGGGAGATGATGATCGCAATGAGGACGTTTATCAGAATAGCAAACACAGTACCAAATGTCGATCCACTGAATGCACCCACAGACATGCTATCCTTGGTGATGATACCAAGTAGACTGGTGGGAGTTCGACCCTCGGATTGATGCCAGTGGATGTTTTGCTCTAACAAAGATCGGAAAGACAACACGCGCAGGTTATAAAGAAGTCTCTCCGCGACAATACCAAAGCCCAGCCAGGCGAAGAAGTTGGCAATCAGCTCCACAGCGGCAAGCATGAAGAACAGACCAGCAAACATGTTGCCCATGGATCGAATGTGGTCCAGGGTATTGGCACACGGGTTGAGTGCTCCAACAGTGAAACCAAAGATAATACCGGAACCAGAGAAAGTGGCACCAACAAAGACCGCAGCGATCATTGCAAGAGTGAACCAGCCTAGAGATGGTCGAATTAACCAGGCGAGGCCCTTCATGACAGAGCTGAAAGGTTTCACTTCGTCTAGTTCGTGATCCTTCGCTTCTTCGTCCTTCTTGTGCTCTTCTTCTCCATCCTTTTTGGACGACTGAGCATCCAATGATTGCTTGGTCTCGGAGAATTCGGCCTTCTCGTTTAGTTGGGTGTCCGCTCGAAGAGTGGAAGCGCCAATCGAATCACCATCAACAGATGCTGAGCAACTCTTGTTTCTAACAGTTTGGAGCTTGGCCATGTGTGCAAATTCGCCATCTTCCTTGGCCATGAGCTCGTCATAAGTTCCCTGCTCAACTACTCGTCCCGCTTGCATAACAACGATATTGTCGGCGTTTCGGATTGTCGACAGACGATGCGCAATCGATATGATGGTTCGCTTTTCAGCGGCGGCTCGTTCAACGGCGAGCTGGATTCTCTTCTCACTAGCAGAATCGAGGGCCGCAGTTGCTTCATCAAGAACAAGAATTTCAGGGTCACGAATCAACGCTCGTGCAAGGGCGATCCTTTGTCGCTGTCCTCCGCTGACGAGTGATCCCTTGGGCCCAGCGGATGTACCGTAGCCAAGTTCAAGGCGTTCAATGAAAGTGGCCGCATCAGCCTGTTCGGTAGCACGCTTGATCAATTCGGCGATTTCAGCAAACTCGGGTCCCAGAGATGCGGACGAAGTGAGCGCCTCCTTACCCTGCGCAGCCATCTTAGCAAGCTCGGGACCTTTGAGAAGAGGTTTCAAATGTTGATGCGACTCTTTCGGCGAATTGATCAGACCAAGTGCGATGTTCTCGAGAACGGACCGGTCAAGAAGCGACGGTTCCTGCTGGACAAAACTAATGAAACTTCGGAGAGATTTAACATTGAGATCTCGCAAGTCATGGCCTTCGAGCTCAACCTTGCCCGCGATGGGATCATGTAGACGCGCGACCAGTGCTGCTATAGTGGACTTTCCACTGCCAGAAAGTCCAACGATAGCTGTGTAAGTTCCAGCAGGAAACTCGAGGTCCACATTTTGGAGAACAGGTTGTCCAGGGCGAGAGGCATACTCGAACGAGACATTACGGAGAGCAAGTGACTTGGCCCCGGTGGGAGGAAGAACGGTGCCCTCATCGGAGGTGCCGTCGATGTTTGACGGAGCATCGATATCTTCTTTGAGTCGTTGGAATGCGCCCACAGCTGCTCCTAGGAAAGGCAGAGTAGGCGCCATTCCACCAAGCATAACACATGCGTCTACAAGAAGGTAGACAATTGCGTAGATCTCACCAACAGTGGTGTTTCCATCATTGTTCGTCACGGACTCTACAATCTTCTTGCTTCCTTGCCAGAAGGCCAAAGCATTACCTGAATAGGCGATAAAATAGAGAATACCCGTTTGAACGGCAGCGACCGAAGATTTCAGTATCGCGTACTTGCGAGAGCGGGCCATGTGTTCCGCAAACTTCTCTTCGAGACGAGGTGCAGCGCCAAAAGCTTGAACTACATTGACATGCGATAACGCTTCTGAAGCAATAGAAGAAGCTGCTGTAGATGCTTCTAGCTGTTTGACCACAAACTTCCCCAGGTACCTGCCTCCCAAGATTCCAGAAAGGAGGAATGCTGGAAGCATGCATATCAGGATTCCGGCAAGTCTGGGTTGTTTCGTGAATGCAATGATGAAGACTGTAACGAAGAAACTTAGGGTCGTGATGATGTTGCCAACCTTCTCAGATGTACCAGCCTGCACAGCTGTGATATCACCTTGAAGTCGACTCGAGACTTGGCCAGAGGCACCACGAGTATCGAAGAACTCTGGTGGCTGACGCAAGAGAGCCGAGACGTACCGGGTTCGTAGGCGCTGGGCTAGACGCTGGCTGATAATGTTCCAGCAGGTAAGGTGGCCGTAGATGAGAACAAGAGCAATTGCGCCAATCCAAGCTGTCTTTATAACTTTGTCATTGATGGCGTTCTCATAGTCGAGAGGATCCGAGGCTGCTTCGCTAGAACCTGAGTTGCTGCCGTCCGCTGCGCATGTAGCGCCGTTGAAGTTATCGATGAGCTGGCCGAATAGAACGCCCATGAGTGGAAACGGGACACCAGCTCCAACTGCGCAGAGGGTACCCAATGCGATGAGGCAGTAGTCGACCCATGTTGGGCCAGCGGCGAAGAGGAGTTCGAGATAGGCGAAAAATGTCTTGAAGGACTTGAGGAATTGACTCAGCCGCTAGTGTTATCAGTGATTGTGTCAAAGATTTGGGTTTCCCGTTTGACTTACAGAGAAGATACTCTTCTTCGACTCATCAGAGGCCGCCTTTTCAGGCTCAACAGCCATGACTTCAACTATTGTTTGAGTACTGGGCCAGGGGATTCTTCCAATGCACTCGATGTCTGGTTGCTTGTATCACAAGACAAGAAGTGAATGAGACTGACAGTGTCTGGGGAAGACCAACTGCTACTCGGTATGTTCCATGAGAAGCTCCCCAGCTACGGAAAAGAGATTGCAGCGGTAGACTATGTAGCAAGGGCATGAGGTGCAATCTCGTCGGCCAGCGTCATACACAAAATTTCACTTGAAAGGCCGATGTAGGAGCACCCTGAGCCAAGGCGGCCATGTTATGCAAGTACTAATTTGTCGATCAGGGAGGCTCATCTATACATGCGTGCACATGCTCGACTGGCACAGCAGATTTGCAGTCCACGCCCGTGCAGTTCAAGGTACCATCGCATGGTCTCTATGGGTCTTTGAGGTGCCTGAATGATGTCTTTGAGTCAATCGGGAGAGGTGGACAACGGCCCACCAAGACCAGGAGGTCGAGTTGCCGCAGGCAGCCCACCGGAAGGGCCACGTCCATGTTTGAACGGAAGAACCCTTGAATCACTTGCTTCACCGGTGGAGTGGAGGCGATTTTTGTTTCGTAAACTGGAAGAGTCTTTATCCTCTACACGGAACTGCTCCCTGTAAACCTGCATCTGGGCTGGCCACACCAGTACAATACATCTCAAAGGAACAAGGCTCATATTGTTAGCCAAGCAAACCGGTGGATAAAGCGGATTAAGACGGCTTGCCTGACAAACTCAAAATTGAGAGAGGATCTGGTGAGCCGGCGTGTACAGGGATCGGGAACCAAGAAAAAGCCGGGGCAAACGGATGGAGAATTAGGATCAGATAAGATGAGGTGATTGATATGATAAGATGAATGCGACGTGATGTGGCGCCAAGCTCCTAAGCAAGCAGGGAACGTGAAGAAACCGCCGAGCATCGGGCGTGATCGTCAGTTGGTTAACCATATTCGAGAGTCAATGCATCGTCTTGGCGACCAGGGAGCTCCGAGCAGCTTCTTTGCTTCAGGCAAGTCGAATATTTTGAAGTCGTTCGACTTGAATCCTTTGGCCAACTACGAATATGGGTGGAATTCCATTCCTAGGTCAGTCGTCAAGACAGGGGGTTTCTTTAGTGCAGATAATCCCTGATAAAAGCCGCAGGACGGAGACTTGGTGGAGATGCGTCGGGATGAATGCCCTCATAGAGTCTACTTCATCCTATCGGAGCAAAGAAACCGCTTTGTCCAAACGCTAGATGTGCTTAGTCGATGGCCAATGTCCCGAGAGGCGTTTTTATGCTTATTCTGTCGTCAATACAGCGGGTAAAGATAATCAAGGTTTTTTGAGTTGGTCAAGTTAATTTTGATGATGTGTTAACCCATTTCTTTAGGTGAGGCAAGTCAATCAGATGAGTACATTGTCGGGGGGCGAGAGTGGATATATGCATAGATATTGGTATTCACGCCGGATACATGCATATGCGCAAGGTGTCGGCCAAAACGCTCCTTCCCCCTTGGTCGATCTGTGGAATTGTAGGACAAGATCCATACCACCCAAAAGCCCCCAAGAATGATAAACCCTCCCTTAATAGATCGATCAGCGGTTGCAACAACCAGTCTAGGATGGCAGAATTAAAGTCATAATTTAGCACAATTAAAGTGGAAAAGGTTAATGTCATGCTTATTTCTCCATCCACTTATCGGGTTCACTGCTTTCCAAAGCTACAGGTAGAGTAGTAATCTTGGCGCATGAGAGGAGAACAGACACTTTGTCCCTGCTTAGGCTTCATGCCTACGGCAGTTCACGTCCATACAATCGGCAGAAACAACGACGGTTAGAAGATGCCAAGATGCTGATCTTGTTGTGTTTCAGGAAAGCAGCACCTTAGCACGCCCGCAACTGGTTCTCCTTGCTGCATCAAATCAGGATCCCCGTTGACCAGCAGCGTCTTACGGTTGTATTGTGATATGCGACTCGATTTGTTCCACAGACGGGATCAGAGCCCTGCTCTTGGATCTCTTGGTATTACATATATAAGAGCCGATGAAGCACATGAATGTCTTGGAAGAGATCTCGTCCGCAGCTATCTAAATCAATATCGATTATATACAGCTTTCATCACCTAAATCGCCACCAGCCTCGATAAGATACCAATCATGAGCCAAGCAACACTCCGCACTGAGCGTCTCGAGCTCCGGCCTCTCGGGTCCGAACACGGAGACTACATCTACCAACTGGACTCAGACCCCGAAGTGATGAAGTACATTGGCTACGGAAAGCCACTTACCGCGGACGATTCGACTATCGTACACAAACTACTACTCGAGACAGCCTCATTCGGATCTGGCCTTGGATGCTGGGCCGGCTTCGCGGGCGATGAATTTGTGGGCTGGTGGGTGCTGGCACCCAGCCAGAGCAACGATACTCCTCCCCAAGTCAACAAGAAGCGAGTCGAGTTCGGTCTAAGAATCCTTCCCAAGTTTTGGGGCCAGGGTTACGCCAAGGAGGGTTCTCGAGCACTGGTGAAGCACGGTCTGGAGGACCTCAAAGTGGAGGAGGTATACGGCGAGACCATGGCTGTGAACCAGGGATCAAGGGCCGTCATGGCCAAGATTGGCCTCAAGCATGTCCGAACATTTCACAACAAGTACGACAACCCTCCTCCCGGAATTGAGGAGGGTGAAGTGGAATACAAGGTTACGAGGGATGAGTGGGCATTGCAACAGGCATGCGCGGCATAGTCCCGGCCGCAGGGGCACAATAAAGTAAAACATCTAAATATCACCTAAATCGGATCTTTGAGCGTTTCAAGACTACAAATACCCTTTGTTCTGTTTCACTGTGACATGAATTTCAAATGATAAGAGATGTTAGTGTTGGATACAGTTTTGATAAACGGTATTCTGGTGCATGAGAAACTCTGAAAGTGATGGGGTTATTTAATAAAAGACATCGGATCAACCGCCTTGGTCTTGGTCTTATCAATCTATTGATGATCTGGAACTTGGTGGATATTGTGTAGGAGGTGGTGGAGGATCCGAGTATCCATCTCGGCCTGCAGAGAAGGACTCCCGATTATGGAGCATGTGGGTTATATCGCGCATATTCTAATCAGTCATGCATCTCGGTGAACGGCCAGATAACCTGAGAATTAGTCGGCATATTCCGTTTCACAGAATAGGAAATAAATGAGACATATCACTCGATTATCGGCTCGGCTCAAGAGCCTCCTGGCAAACAATTCAACCCCGATGGACCGAGACTTATCTGGAACAAAGTAACTCGGGATTAATCGCTTCATCGAGGAGTCCAGCTAAACCCAGACGAAACTAACATTGCCTAATCTGTTTATACTTCCGTGGGGTCCTAGTCATGTTGTGAGCTCATACCAGGGAGCTAGAGGTATGCACTACATAAACCTCGTCAACAGTGGATTCTTGACTGCAAAGGAAGCATAAATTAAAGCATATCTTTGGTCTAAAGGTAGGGATGAGGGCTGTTCTATGCAACCTTTGCTAGTTATAGTGGGCTCGGAAGATCCCAAGCCTATGCCAAGCCGCCAAAGTGTGACCAGACTTGCCAGGGTCCATAATCAGATGCCAGGCAAATATCAATGAGTTTTTCGTCTCTGTCCATTCGAGTCTAGCATTGAAGTTTCTGGGCCCATTTACGGTGCAATGTTGCATTGCTGTTGGTTCAAACATTCTATAGACTTATTTCCAAGACTGCCACGGCGCTACTATACCTGGTAGTCTAAGACAAGACCCTGGCATATGAAGCTCTAGATGTTAGATCTTATCCATCAATCAGATTAGATAAAATTTTTCTTCTTCTCTTCCGATCTCGGGTTACTTCGCTATTCCTCCACTCACTCGCCACTAGTAATCTGATCCTGGTGCCAAGTATGGGACCGTCCAGTTAAGGCAAAGACCAACTGAAATCATCCGTTCAGCTCCAAATAACACAGGCTATCGATTCTGTAGCTCCTTGGCTTGATGTGAATTCGAATCCTCTCTCGTTCGACTCCAAGGTTGCGAGGCAAGGTACACTGTTAAACAATGGACCGTTTGCAGGGGGTTACCGAGAGGAGAGATATGTCCTTCCGGGTCGGGACCAACACATGGCAAACGAGAGTTCTAGCTCGAATAGTTGGTGACATCCTTTGCTGAGAAACTTATCGTCTGCACCTGTTCTGTCAGGGTTACATTGCACTACATAAAGAATGCTATAGCTCCCTCTCCGCTATCGACTCCCTTTCTTGACACCTCACTTCACTGTCTCGAGTGTGTTGCAGCCTCAATTATACATTACTACACTATCTATTAGTGTCAGCTCAACAACAACAATGTCGCCCTTCAACAAGATCCGCGAGGGTCTTGCCCGAGAGGACAACACTCCCGTTGCCCAGACTCTGGCTCCTCATGAGAAGGAGATCAATGAGTCTCCAGACACCATCACCGAGACTGGCCCTGACCACGACAAGGAGGCCACTGCTGGTGCTCATGCTCCTGATGAGAAGGGAAATGAATCTGATGTTCCTAGCGAGGATGTTCAAAATGGTGTCAAGGAGATCCAAGCCATCACCCTCACTTGGGGTAAGGGATCTCTGGCCGCTCTTCTGTGCCTGTAAGTTTGCCGCCCAGAACAAGACATCACGAATAGCAAAACTAACTCTCATTATAGCATCTGGACTCTGTTCCTCATCAGTGGTTTCCGAAGTTCTTTCTACCTCGTCCTGGTCCCCTATGTAACCAGCGAGTGGCAAGCTCACTCCCTGATGACCACCATCCCCATCGTATCATCTGCCATGACCGCAGCTTGCTACATTCCTATGGCTAAGGCTCTTGACGTCTGGGGCCGTGCTGAAGGATTCCTCCTCATGAGTGGTTTTGCCACTCTTGGTCTCATTCTCATGGCCGTCTCTCAAAACCTCGCTACTTTCTGTGCCGCACAGGTCTTCTACTCTGTCGGTTTCGGAGGCATGATCTACGCCGTTGGTGTCCTCGCTGCCGATGCATCTAACCTGAGGAACCGAGGTTTGGCTTTCGCTTTTACTTCCTCTCCTTACATGATCACCGCGTTTGCTGGTTCCAAGGCCGCCGCCGCCTTTGTTACTGATGTCGAGAACTGGCGATGGGGTTTCGGTTGGATCGCTCTCGTTTTGCCCTGCGTCACTATTCCTCTGTTCCTCGTGCTTAAGATCAACCTGCGCAAGGCTTTCAAGAACGGTACAGTTACCAAGACCACTCGAAGCCGCGGCTTCTTCGGTAGCATCTGGTGGGCCTTTAACGAGTTTGACGGTAAGTCTTTCTCCTGCAGCCCGTTACCATATCTCCGATACTAACATTAAGATAGTTGTTGGAGTTTTGCTCTTTGGTTGTGGTCTCGTCGTCTTCCTTCTTCCCTTCAACCTTGCGGCCCACGCCCCTAACGGTTGGAGTACCGGCTACATCATCGCCATGGTCGTCGTTGGCTTCTGTACTCTCGTCTTCTTCGGTATCTGGGAGTACTGGCTTGCCCCTGTGCCTTTCCTCCAGGGCCGCTTCCTCCTCGACCGATCCGTTGTCGCCGCCTGCATGATCGATCTGACTTATCAGATCTCCTACTACACCTGGAACTACTTCTTTACCTCCTTCTTGCAGGTCGTTGTCAACCTTCAGCCTGCCGAGGCTGGATATGTCAACTCGACTTTCCAGGTTGTTTCCGGCGTGCTTCTTTTCATCGTCGGTTTCCTCATCCGCAAGACCGGCTACTACAAGTGGACCTTCTACTTCGCTGTCCCCATTTACATCTTCGCCCTCGGTCTCATGATCCATTTCCGGGCCCCTAACCAGTATGTCGGATACATCATCATGTGCGAGATTTTCATCTCGGTTGGTGGTGCTGTCTTCATCCTGGTTATGCAGCTCGCCGTCCTCGCCGCCGTTGCCCATCAATACGTCGCTGCCGCGCTCGCTACTCTATACGTCGCCGGAGGTGTCGGCGGTGCTGTTGGAGGAGCTATCTCCGGTGCCATCTGGACAAACACCTTCATCCCTCAACTCATCAAGAGGCTGCCCGAGTCCGAGGTAGCCAACGCCCCCCTCATCGCAGGAAACATTGTGAGCCAGCTTTCGTACCCAGTCAACAGCCCTGCTCGACTTGCTATCCAGGAGTCGTACGGCTATGCTCAAGTTAGAATGCTTGCTGCCGGTGTTGGTATTGCTTCTTTGTTCTTTATCTGGGTCCCCATGCTCAGAAACATCAACGTCAAGAAGCTTAAGCAGACCAAGGGTCTCGTCCTCTAAGCGACTCAACGGCGATTCCAAACATCAGCACATCTGGCTTGATGGTGTAGCTGAATATTGATCGCCACTGCGTCGCCGAGCGACAGAATATAATTTCACCCGGTGTGTCAGGACCTAATTAGATAGAGATGATATTGGCGAAAAAATAATGAATATGAGTTTTAATGTGTTAATAATGTTGTTTCTCTAAAGTGTCTAACTCTGGGTACCAAGTAAGCCTTTTGATATCTGAACCAGTTGCAAAAGTCACTGTGTTGGTGATTCAGATCTTTTCTGAGCTTTTTTACCCATTTGATGATCGGCGCCCATCCCCTCACATCGAACAGATATCGCAAAGAAAGTGCTCACTGGCACCTTTGGTCACGTACTCTCGTCTGGACAAATAAGCGTGGCTTTCGTATGCATTCAACGTTGATCGTTATATAGACATCAACAACTGAACCCCTATCGGGTTGGCAAAACTCCCGCACTGGATGTTTGTTATCCAGCGGTTATCTTTGACACAGGAATATCATTCAAACAGAACAAGTCTAGACAACAGCCACACCTGTCCCTCAAGCTGTCCACCATGTCACCAAATGTAAAAGATCATCCATGTATTCATTGTCATCGATGTGTTGTGTAAACAGATTTTATACCTCCTCATATCATATCGTATCAATCCTGGTGCTGCACCTCAGCCGTCGTATGACTCGTTCGGCTGCCATTTCAGCTCGAGCGTAACTTTTCTTCGAATTGTCATCCTTTCCCAAAATTGTAAATCGAATAGGCCCTGCCAACGCCGGACACCTCGATGCCCATCCTTTGTCGGATGTAGCTTGCTTGTCTGGTTCTGGACTTAGTAGACCTTCTTCTTCTCGTCGATGCTGAACTGGCCGGGGCCGCTGTTGACGAGAAGCAGGAGTCCACCGACGATGGACAGGATCTGGAAGAAGTCGTACTTGGCGAAGTCCTTGTGGGGGTGGTGCTCGTGGAGCTATGTGATTTGTTAGCTTTGTTCAGAGTATACCTGTCTTTTAGATCGCAACTTACAGTCCAGAAGTTGTTGACCAAGAGGTTGAAAATGCTCAGAATGACAACGAGCAGGGTGGCGCTGTACTTGGCCTTGAATCCAACAACAACCATGACGCAAGAAATACCGCCAAGGGAGGAGACAATGACACGCCAGAGCGACCACTCTCCGCTGAAAACGAATCCAATGAAGAGGAAGATCAGGAGGACACGACCAGCAAGCTGGAAGTACATCTTGCGATCCTTCTCGTCAATTTGGGGAAGACCAGCAAAGACCTGTGTCTTGCGAACCCACGAATCAGACAGAACCATGACGAGGCCACCAATGACAGACAGGTTTCGGAGGAAGAAGTTGAGATCGAAGATGAGACCGTAACCAAGAGCTTGAGTAACAACAACGCCCATGAGACCAGCAACGGCGTAGTCGGAGTGCTTTCGGATGATGACAAGGGTGGAGCAAGAGAACATGGCGATGATGTTGACGAGTAGGAACAGGTGAGTGATGCCGGAAGGAACTGTCAAACGTTAGAACAACCAGCCTTTCCCATACCTCGGGGATAGAGGCGCATCTTACTGTGACGGTAGTCCTTCAGGTAGAGCAGCTGGTCGGACCATTGGGTGACGATACGAAGAGCATCTTCGAAGAAGGTAACGACGATCAGAAAACGGCCAATGGCAGGGAGATAGCTGTCAACAAGGACAAAGGTCAGCTCTCAGAGCTCCAAACACGCTAGTACAGGACGTCGCTCGACTCACGGCTTGATAGGCTCGCTGAAGGTGTCGAGCGCATCCTCAATCTTGCTGGTATAGGGTCGAATCTGGTCGAGAAAGCCCTCACCCTGCTGAGGATCGGCAGCCTGGGATGCGCCGTAGGGCGCAGGGCCACCGAGGCCGTAGCCAGAGTTGAATCGCTGGGACATGACTGTAGAGTCGAGGTTCGAGATCGAATGAAGCTTGTTTCACGTGCAGACCTGCTGACTAGATGATGAAGCACAGCAAATGTTGACAAGACGAATTCGCCAAGGAGGTAGGGCCGTCGTGAGAGGAAGGAAGGAAAAGACGTCAATCAAACAGCTGGTAGAAGCTTTCGGAAGTTAAACCGAAAGGGTGTTTGATTGGACTCGACCAAAGAGGAGAACAAATGGGGATTGAGAAGCTTGACAAGCAAAAAGTCAAAAGTCGAGACAAGATAAGAGTTGGGAGTAGAATAAAGAATGAGGAAAAAGAGGGCAAGGAGAGACAGACAAGAACGAGGCGTCGAGGCGAGCTGTCCTTTGTGATTCAATTGGAGACGATGACCTCAGACGAGTCGAGAAAAAGAACTGTACAGATTACCTATGGTTGGACTGGACTGGACTGGACTGGGGCTGTTACCTGTAGAGCAGAGCAGAACAGAGAGAGGGCCCTGATTGTACAACGGTGTCCTTTAGAGATCCCGTGATGGAGCTTGTTGCCGTCCCACTTTTTAGCTCCCTTGCCTTCCGTTCTATTTGTGACTCTAGCGCCCCAACTTCTCAACTGAGACTTTGCTAGGTGCCGATACCTCTAGCTCGTGCTGAAAAGAGGGGAGTTTTCAGGTACAGGGTACACGACCTGTCTGGGTCAGTTATTACCTGCTTAAATCTGCAAGTGTTTTGAGTCCTCACATCCAGCCGAGGCCAGTCAGATCACCATTTACTTTCCTCAGTACGGTAGGTGCGGGCATGTTGCACCTCCAGACTCTAGCCAGGGTCCCAGCCATCCTCCATCACCACTTGGGTTAGGGCCGGGAACTAAGTGATCCAAGAATGGAAACTCTTCTAATAACCACTACCTCGGTGGCGCATCACGTTCTGCTCTATTGTACAGTATCCGTAGACAACTTAGAGCTCTCTTTTTTGTACTATACCAACAATACTTGTACGTGCAAAGCTACAGACAATTCTATCGTAATGCTTATACAGTGACTATTCGTCAATGAAACAACCAGTCAGCTCCCTCGCTTCGTAATGGCTGCTCTCTAAGCCTGTGTCAAAGCCGGATCGACTGGATACTCTGTACCTTTATCCACCACCCTCAACCCGCCTGTGTTATCATACTCAATTCTCCCTTCATTGACAGCATTGCGCATCTCTTCCCTCAGGACGATACGTTTGCCTGTGGTTGGATCCCATTCCCAACCCTCTTTCATCCACATCCACCTGAGATATGCCCGGAGTTCTTTATCATTAGGGTGAACCCTCATCCATTCGGGCTGGAACTCAGGTTTTTTGCCTTTTCCCTTCCAGTCTTCTGCTCGGCCGAGCAACTCGTCCCGACAAAAGATACGCCAACTGTCTATAGCATACTTGCCTTGTGTAAGATGTCCGATCTCCCACGCCTCCAGGTCTCCATCGCCGCCTCTCTTCGAGAATGGTGCATATCCGTTGAGTTCAGCTGAGCGTGGTGTAAGTTCAACATCTCTACAATCATAGTTCTTCACCTTGTACAGCTTCTCAGCAGCTGGCGGGTCATCCAAGAACCCCCGAGCAATATTTTGCACCAATGTTACACGATGGTGAGCGAGTCCAAGATGGCGTATCATCGCAATAATCGCATCGCCATTCTGTGTAGAGGCGACATCTGCAGGAGTTGGAAATCGCTCTTTGAATTTATAGAACGTGGGGATGGCATGTACACCCTTCGTTTTGATGAGGAACGAGACAGCAACGAGCAGCCAGAACGGTTCATGGGCGAGGTCCTCTTGAATGAGACCAAAGCTCGGTGATGTAAGAGGTGCAAAAGGGACCGAAGGTACAGTCCCGCTCGGCGGTCGCTTCTGTGCCACTGAGCCAGAAGCCGAGGCGTCTGTGAAGAATGGGGAGATAGCACTGTTGGGCTTGACACTTCTAGTAGTCTTATCCTTATCTCTCATGGTGACATCTTGCGGGGAACCCTGCTCGACAGCGAGGCTACCGAGACTCGGAGCTTGAAATATGCTATTTGTTTGTGCTAACGCAGAGGTATATGTTTGTGAAGGTTCAAACATCGACGCCATTGGAGCACTCCACTTGCGGCTCTCATTAGGAAGCGTCTCTTGAGGTTGGTCGGACCAATAAGGAGAAGTTTTGGAGAGGTTCCTTTTGTTTGATGAAGCCTCCAGCCCAGGCTGCTGCAAGAGTTGCTGGTTATCAATCCGCCCGGGAATTTGTGGCTGGTGGACTCCAGGGTCGCCTTCAAGCTCTTTTGCTTGGGCGATAAGTCTATCGGTCATCTCCCATGGCGACTCCGTCTCCGTCCCCGAGTCTGAGTGCGACGGAAGGACCCGTCCTTCCAGTGCGTGCCGTACATATGCGAGAAGATCTTGGGCTTCTGTGCTGTATTTGTCGTATCGGCGAGCTCGTTGCATAGAGGTGGCGCATTCAACTAAATAATTCCAATCCTGAGCGCCTGCTAACAGACTCTCCTTGAAAATGTCCTCAAAATCATCGGCTGGTGTCTGGCCGGATTCGATGACGTCGGCGAGGAAATCCTTGTTACTTGAAGCGACATTGAAGACGGAGAGGATGTCGTGGCCGAAGCGCGACATTGTGGGGTCAGGCTTGTCGATCCAGGGCCTCGTGCGCAAATGAGATGGTTCGTATGATTTGTGAGTCCTTGGGGATACAAAATGCCGTTGTCGGAGATCTGTTAACGCCGAATAATGCGATGATTAGTACTCGGTTGAATGAATATGATAGTTCGATATTGTAGTGTTAACGATAAGCCGGCATTTCCGCGATGATGTAAAGCGAAGTTGAGCAGAGAAGATTCAAAAATGAGCCTCTGTGATGAAGTTAACGTCGATTTGAGATGCACGCTTTCCATTCACTTCACGGCAGTTGCGACTGAGTAGGTAGGCAGCTCATGGTAGGTATTCCGGCGATAAAACTGAGAGAGCTGCGAATACCCCACGAATTCACAGGCACGGTACTGCTATCTCATCTAGTTAAATTGTCTTTGACTGGGTGATGATACTTCTCATAATAATTCTTACAATTCATACTTTTCATACTCAAGACTCATCGTGAATCTTTGGTCGCAAAGACCGAATCGAGTCAGTGACTGATGGGAGAAACGGGGCTGCGGTGGAGAACGGCCAATCGGTCTTGCGCGACTAAAATTTGATGGATGGCTGAACCGAGATTCAAAGGGCGAAGCCTCTCGGCAACAACAGAGGCTCAGCAAAGTCAACCAATATTGTCAAGAGGAACACAGAATGAGAATACTCCTAGATCTGCCAATATCCACTTACACCGTTTACTCAGGCAGTGAGAACTAGAGCATGAATTAGGCTCAAGAGCTTTGGTAGGGAAAGCGCATCACTTAACCTGGACCCTTTGTCTGACGATGTTTATTGACTTGATCCCTGAAAACGAACTCTCCACGTGTCCGAGTGACCAGGTTGTGCGCTGCTGCGGTGATACCTGAAGCACCCAAAGACGCTAGAAGCCAGGTTCTGCAGGGCCTTTTCTTCGCCCACTGCCTAGACTGCTGGAGTCTAGCAAGGCCTCGGCTTGAAAGTGCCGTCAGTTTCTCTATCAGCGGGTACGCGACTCCACGGCACCTGGTTCACTTGCATGGAACCTAGTCTTATCTGCCTTGGCTGCTTGACCAAACGCATTGTCTCGGGTGAGCCTCAAGTAGCCCCAAGTTGCTCTGTAGTCTGTACTCTACAGCCTGACGTGCGTACAGACAGATGCGGTGACTGATAAAGGTATCTGGTTGGTCGCGTGACAGAGGTCGAGACAGGATGATTCTTGTAGCAGCTGTGTTAAGGCACCATTAAGAAGAACAAATGCAATAGCCATTAAAAGTATATACGAATGGCAACGGCTTCCGTTACAACCTATACTCATGTTTCTTCAACATTACCTAGACAGTAATACAGTGCCACCTTCGTCAAGTGACGCCGCCCGTTGCTGTCCGCCCTGCCGCCTTAGATCACGCCAGCGCCACTGACCAATCAAAGTGATCGTTCCCCCGAGATGTGGTCCGCTTGCAAGGTCACGTGCATAGATCTTGCCTTCCAGGTCGTTGCCGTCCTCCCGTCTCCGCTCCGCTCAATTCTATCTCTCTCTCCGTCCCGTAATACCGCCTACCGCGCCCTCTCCGTTCCTACAGAACCAATATCAGCACCATCAACCATCATCCAAGAGATGAGTAGTCGCGGCGGTAAATTAGCCCCAGAAGTCAATCGGTAAGTTGATGCCACCTGCTCGTGTATCTGCGCCTCGTATAATCGCTGCGAATCAATCTCAAAAGTCTTGCGCCCCAGTCACAAGTGATCGCATTCTCGACTTGGATTGGCGTTTTTGGCCACACGCATCGAGACATTTTGCTAACCTTTCTATAGAGCTCTGTTCGTAAAGAACCTGAGGTACGCTAGGACGAACGATAAAGATTTGCGCTTGGATCCAGACTAATCGACAACAATAGTTACAACGTCACTCCAGAAGAGTTATTCGACCTCTTCGGAAAATTCGGTCCCATTCGGTACGCACCTACCCCCGGACTTCTCGACGACTTCTACGCGAGGACATTATTCGCAAAACATGTCAAGAACATGCGCTTCACGAATTTTATACTGACGGTCTGTGCAGCCAGGTTCGACAGGGTATCGCCAACAACACCAAGGGAACCGCATTCGTTGTCTATGAAGACGTAACCGACGCGAAGCAAGCCTGCGACAAGCTCAACGGCTTTAACTTCCAAAACCGATACCTCGTTGGTATGTCAACCTTTTGTCTGTTCAGGCGATGCCGCACCGCATCACCTTAGCTGGATCTGGGGTTATACTAACTTGTTTCTCTAGTACTATACCACCAGCCCGACAAGATGGCCAAGTCAAAAGAGGACCTCGAAGCCCGCCGCGAATCTTTAGCTCAGCTCAAGCAGCAGCACGGTATCGATTGACAATCCGACCGGTCTGTGGATAGCCTGCCTAGGAAGTCGAATTCCTCGTCTGCAGGCCGGTCTTCGTCTTCTCCGAAATCTCTGTCACCCGATCCGAAGACGATCCTCCGTCAAGGCAGGACCCCGACCAAGAAAGCAGCCACCAAGAGCCATGCATCCCGAGTTGTCCGATTCGACGACGGACTTCGACCTGCACTCACCTGTGCATGATGTATCTTTATCTATTATCGCTTTTCGGAGAGGGCTCTAAAGTAGCTGCCCAAACACGCATCAGCTCTGAGGTGGTTTACTATTGGTTCGGACTCGCTTGACACGCAAACACCTCCTTTTACGGTCTCGGGAATTAGGTGCACTGGGGAAATTCAATGTTGATTCAGCAAGTGGCGATACGACCAGTCACGAACTGCTTTTTTAAACTCAAGCCTGGGATATAGGCTTTGATGACGTTGCCTGTGGATAGCTTTTATTGCGTTTTGTGTTTCCTTGTTGTTATTTTTTTACTTTCGATCTGGAAGTCTTGGCCACGAGAAGCCAACCCCCCCCTCGTTCGCTCACCTCTGCCATCTGCTTGATGGCTAACAGACCATACAGATGTGTGATGTACTAAGGCCCTGGCTTTCGACTTTCCCTTGGGCTTTGATGTTGCGCATGCTGAGTATTCTGATAATATCACTGGGGACGGGGGACGGATAAGCATTAGCAACCTAGAATGAAGTCATTTTGATTCGGTGATGTGTAAGAACGAGTTGTTTTCTAGAACCTCTGTTCTCTCAATGTCTAGGGTATCTATTAGACTTCTGTGGCCGGTATCAGTTCTTATGTGATGACCTCAATGTCAGTTGGACCAACAACATGACCCGTCATGTTGCACTCACGTCCAGATCGCTCTCGTATGATCACAATATGAAGTGTATCCCGGGCCTCGATGCGTAGCGATTCGATACAGTGCTGCAGTCAAGAAGTGATTTCCTAGCTTCGGGGAACGCCACCAACATACACATGTGTTGGAACCGTCACACCGTTAGACACTACATGGAAGTGCCGTCGATTGACTCATTACATCGATCGATACCGTCTTTAGGACCAACACTTTAGCCGTTGTCGAGATTGAGTTGTTGGCACAACACAGATAGGAAGATATATGACACTAGCGTCACCAATGTGTGAGACAATGTATTCAGACTAACAAAAGCAATTTATAAGCTTTAATTATTCCCCTATGACGCTATATAATATCTGGGGCTACATAACTAATTGTGAATTCAAATGGGCCTTCGCAGTCCAAGAGGCAATAAGTCCATACCTGGTTTCTCATCATACAGAGATGGGCAGGGCTGCTCTTCAGAAAACATCACATCATACCACATCTAGAACAAGCCCAAGAACAAGCAAACAGACCGCATCTTACAGCCTCGGCCATCATCGTCATATCGTGAAGCTGAGCTTTCGAGGTTGGTTTGTCGCTTAGAAAATGCCTTGCCAGATAATAAAACAATAGCAGAAAGATGTGTCTGCAAACCGTTTGTTTTTCGAGGTCGCATCAGCCGCGACCTATAGAGAAGCGACAGGCGATTTGAATTCAGGTAGCATATATAATAGACGGCAGCATCCATGTCATGGGCCGCGCAGTGAGGTCGCGATTTCAGCCGTGGTGAACTGTGAGTGGCTCTTTAGCCGCCAGTAGGGATGGTGGGCTCGTGGCTGAGTGTTGAGAGGCTTTGATTTCGATGAGGTGAACCAACGTGGATTTTTTATATAGGACATTCTATTGGAAGAGGGATTATTCTGATGCTGATTGAAGGTGAAAAAGTGTAACTGGCGAAGCTATTACACGTAGAGTGGATGATGTTTGGTACTTTGGTTGAACCACAAAATATGAGGATATTCATGTGGACTAGGGTATCATTATGGTCGTCTACCAGCAAAACACCCGAGAATGCCCAATAAACGCGGCTTAACCCATCTACCGAAAGGATCGACCCCAAGACCCCATACTGCCTGTCTAGTGGGTATCGAGGCCACGATATGCACCATACCACCTTGAACTTCACAGCCACCACCTGGGGGACCTCATGGCTACAGTACCTTGGTAAGCCACTCATGATTTTTATTACATTTTTGATCTTGCCAAGAAACCATTCCTGTATCTGTATCTTAGCCATGATGCCTTGGGCCCCTCCTACGTGCCCCCGTCCCGGCCATGAGGCTCATCACCAACCATGTAGGGCCGCAGTCAAGGTCTCTCATTCTCATTGACTATCTAAGTGCCCGTGTTAGTTCAAGTTATGATATAAAGCTATACCAAGACCTCCTGATATCCTCTCGAAACAATCATCGCAACATTGGAACTTCTTCTCAAGCCAATGTCTCCTCCTTCATCTCGCTTTAGCAGACTATCTCTTCAGAGTATGTCTCCAGAAACACACTCTCGTGCCAGGGCACACTCCCTCTCCCAAGAGACTCATCAGCCTCATGACGATGTATCATCTTTAGAGTCGGAGACAGACTCGAATAATTCCGAGTTTGAAGAAAACAGCTCCGAGTCCGACGAAGATGAATCGTCCACCATTCGATCTCCCACCAAACTCACATATCTCATCGACCATCTCCCCGAAACCACCCAGTCCATCATCCGCGACACTTTCAGAGAACCGCCAAAGATCGCACTGGAAAAATGTCGTCGCATTGAGAACACTTATGCATTCCAGATGACAGAGCTTGTCACACGCTCAGTCCGGATCCGAGCCCCAGAAGACGGCACTTCCAAACTGAGTTGCTCATGTCGAAATGACGACGGAGAACCTTGCAGGCACCTTCTATGGCTCTTGGATCAGATCGTTAATCAGAGTTTGTATGATGAAGATATAAGCAAACCTCTCAGAATGAGTGCGGCGGGATATGCAGAGGAGATTGGGGATCCATTCCAGAATATCTCCAAGTATCATCTCGACGTGCTTGCAGAAGGGCTACACTCCCATCTCGTCACCCCAGACTCCGAGTACGACAACGAACCAGACGCTTTTCGTGCACAAGAAGCTCGAGAAATGCTATCCTCAGTCTATGATACGGAACCAAAAGAGTTCCGTCCCGACATGTTCGACCATGTATCTTTGGGAAAGAGCATCATAAAGCGTCATGACCTTGAGCAAACCGTCTTCCGCATGCTTCTCGACAATCACCATTTCTTTCACTACTTTCGATCCCTTTCAAACTCACAAGACTTGATCAAAGACACATTTCATAAGCTCACACAGCGCATCGATCGCGTTCTGCGAGATCTCGACTCCAAAGCACCTCCCACAGACGCTGAATCACCTCGCGATGTACCTTGGGCAGCGTCTCACGTCCTCGGCTGTATTCGTCGCATGCGTCACGAGATATACACTCGAGATCGACCTCTTACTGCACGCGAGGCCTTGTCTGCAGCTCGCAGCCTTATTCATATACTAGATTCGGTGATATCGCATAACAGAGACCAAGGCCCAACAAGTGTGCCCCGTATCGAGCGCAACCTGTACCTGCGCCTCATTGGCGATCGCGACCAAGACTTTGTTCTTAACGTACTGAATTTAATCCCAGAGGCCGCAAGCCAGTTTCTCCATAACCTTGAAGCACTTCTTGACAAGATTGAAACGTATGGTGCACCTGCGGGCTATGTGCAGCGGTTCAGGGCAATGCTCAAGAGACTAAGAGCGTCGAGCACAGGTTCTGGCTTGAAGAGATCTGTTCCGGCGCAGATGGGTGGCAGGAAGACAAGAAGGACCAGATGAGAATAGTGAAAAGACTGAATATTGATATCCTAAATAATGTTTTGGGTAATAATACTACACTGCCCGTTTGTTGCTATGAATGAAAGAGAAACTAGCTAGTCCGTACTTGCCGACCACATAAGTTTTGGTACCAATTTATGATTCTGCCAGTCTTGTCGTCTGTGAAAATTCGTCGACCCGCTGTTAGTGAAGCAAGAGTTCCCTGATTCCCCATTAACTTTGTTAAAACTTGAATCCAGCTTCGTCACGAAAAGCCTCCAGTTCCGCGAGCACATCCTTCAGACTTGGCCGGTCGTAGAAATTCTCCTTCCAATCACCTCTCTTCATACCTTCAATTCTCTGCCTCAACCACTCCTCCGATGCATCGATCTCTGCAGACCACCACTCCTTCGCAGTTCGTTGTATAGCTTCTGGTGTAGAAAGACCCGTTTTCTCCAGCTCGCGGAGCACGAGTTGGTTCCTTTCCCTGACAATCCATCTACTGAGACCAGACCGTCTTCCACGTGTACACCGGTCGATCAGCCGCTGCATGGCCCCAGGGGTCTTTGTGTACCCTGGGAACTCAACCAGCGGCTCCCATCTGTACGAAAGCCAGACTGCGGCTCTTTGGGGAGCGCTATTCCCTTCAAAGATACACCACAATACTCGGCCAAGCATGTACACCTCGCATGCCTCCTGCTCCTTCGCCGTAAGACACGCCCATGGAACGTTGTAGCCTTTGGAAGGCCATTTGTATTCTTCCCTGTCACCCATCGCCTCCCAATCTGGAAGCATTTGCGACAAGAGGTTCGAGTACTTTTCGCTGACTTCTGCTGGAATTTCTTCATCGATAGCAAGAAGCCTCACATATTCAAGTGCATTGACTTCAGGAGCCGCAAACTCACACCAGACTCCACGCTGCTCGAAGTCGACCATCACTGCATCTCGAGAAGCTGAAAGGACGATGTTGTCTAGTCTGAGATCAGGGTAGAACATGTCGGTCGTCGCACGAAGATGCACCAATGCCGATGCCAGCTGGGTGGCCCATTTTGTCTCATCAGCCAATGTTACCATGTTGTGAAGCTTGAGAAAGGGGATAAGATCGCGCAGACTACCATGAATATGATATTCAAGCGTGAATCCGACAACGGCTACTTTGCCTCCAAAGCCGCATTGTTTCGTAACTAGGTGCACTGGCCGAGAAACAACGTTGGGGTGTGGGGGTATGGTGAGAAGCTGCCTTAGCTCGTGATAAAGGTACTTGGTGTAACTGGTAAGAGCCTTGAAGATCCACGTCTTGCCATCGATCTCGACAAGGCAGACACTGTCGTGCAGCTGTGAGACGTACACCACGTCATCGAGGTCGACCACTCGGGGTAGTTCGACATTAGTCCCCCAGGCAGCCTGAAGCGAGGATACGGACCAGAGCTGCCGCTCAAGATAATGAGTTGGGGCGACAATGATTTCTGCATCAGCGACATTCTTGGGCATATTTTTGAGCACAATCCTAGAGCCATAAGGAATCATTCTGAAGATAGCGACAGGATCTTGCTGGCTCGAAGTCCAATATTGCAAGATACGTAGTACATGCTGAGTGATGCCGAGGTGAGCAATACGTCTCGCACTTGTTGTGTGAAATGCCACATCAACGTCAAGAGCTTGTCGAAGTTCAAGTGAGAGTTTCGAAGGCTCTGGGATAAAGACATCCACCCGTAACGGAGGCATGGAATCGACAAATAAGGGCACAGCATAGAATTGACTCCCGAAAGCAGTGCAGCCATCGATACGCCAAAGAGGTCGCTCCAGCTGGCTAAGGCTGTCAATACGATTCTTGGGATTCAGGACCGAGTTCTGCCAGTCAACAGACTGGCCGTCCTGCATTACCGATTCCGCATCTCGGTTCGATAGGATATCCGAGAAAGCTGCAGTAGGGTGGATAACATCATGAATGGATTCCTGGCTCAACTCCATGATATGATCCGATGTCGCGCTTGATACAGAAAGCTAGCAAGATACAGCTCGAAATCAGCAGTGCGTAATGTTGTACGGCGAAGAAGCAGTAAGCAGCTGCACAATGTCTTGGATGCTGCCCGACCCGAACAGGCGGCTGTAGATGAGGGGTTTCAATTCCGGATGTAAGGGGACTGGATGGTAAAGAGTTGTCGGGCAGGTTTGTTGAGCTATGAGTAGAGACCAGCTGAGTCCGACTCAAAACAAGGCGCGACTTGACTCGTAGGGAATTTCTACTAAGCAGAGAAGCGAGCGTGTCACAGATGAACAATGAAGTTGAGAGAGAAATGGTCGTTGTTGTGTGACAATCAGACAGACATGGATGGCACCGCCAGATTGGGTCATTTTAGGGTGTTGGCTTTGACGCTCAATCGCGGTGCTTCTGGGTCGCTGGTTGATCACATGATCGAGAGATTAGGAGCTTTAGTCGCTGCTCTTGTGAAACCGAGGATGACGGTGAAGGTGACGGCGTCGGTGACGGATCACAAAGTCGTTCCTGCTGGTGAGAAACAACAAGCAACACCGAAGGTTCGTTCGCGATGGCGATTACCTACTGCTTTGAAACTTCAATGGAAAGATCCATTTTTCTCAACTTAGTTTCGCGCTTGACGTAGGTTCCCTAAGGCTCCACCTTCCCCAAGGTAGGCTGCCTTGTACTTGAGCATCCATCCGTCTCTAGATATCAGCCAAGCGCCCATATAGTCAAGCTGATATAGAAGCCGACAGAGGCAGGTATCCGTTACCACCTGGAGCGTGGGGCGGCATGATCAGCTTACCGCTCCGCCGATTGTTCCAGTTGTCTTGCCCCAACTGAAATTACCACGGCCATTGCCTGTACCTCACTATCCAAACCTCGTCATTGATTCTCTGCAGTGCTTCCTACTGCGTGCTTTCAGGAGAGAAGCTGTAGAGATATATTATCTTCGGGTCATACGTAGTGAATGTGCTCGGCGGCTTGTGTCGTTTGCGTCTCGTTCGAATGGTATACTATCAGGACTATCAGGACTATTAGTACACAGTCAGTGAAACCCACTAAAGTTTTCCCAACGGCACTTTGAAGTGAGATCCAGTCACATATTTCGCTGGTGCTTCTCTCAAACTTGAAAGAAAACAGTTCCAGGTTAGGCGAACTGGATCTGCTATATAGGTTACCAAGATGAAATTGGAAGACAATGGGCGGGGTCAAGCTGTGAAGAGCCCCACGCCCAAGGGCTCAAGGATCGCGAAGAATGGGTTCGCAAAGAGCTTTCAACGGCATCGGTATTGAGTGGCATGAGAAGAGCTTTGCAGAAGAATCCCATACAGTATAATCGACTGGAAGGATGGTACATGCCCACCTATGGAAGGATATTAATTATAGAACTGGCCACTTGGAACTTTCGTCCGGTCAAAGGACGTAGAGTTCGAAGCGCGGCGGGTTTGCATGGTGTACTGGACATACATTGGTCGCAATTTGACCATTCGTCACAACCAGGGTCAAGTTGAGACATATTTCCTGACCATTCAGTTAAGACTTGCACTGGGCGTTTGCGCCGGTCCGGGAACCGTGACTTGCGTCAAGGTCATAAGTTCCACAACGAATAACGTATGCCTCGCTTCCACAGACGAATGCCGGCGTCTTTCCTCGATTGTCAGCGTGGGGGAATACCGAGGTTTTGGTAACAAGGGCTCCTGGCAGACCGGTGAGCAGTCACATCTCCAATTCCCGAAATACCGACCATTTGGGACCCAGACAATAGAAACGTCATCTGCACTAATAAAGGTGCATTGGAGTAAAATGCTTCCGATATTTGATTTCTGACAACGAGCATTGCTAACTGACACCGAAGCAGGAGAGGCGCACCGGAGAGCGATTATCCCTGTGTCGTCCAATGCTGCCCTGGCCACATACTGCGTTCTTTTTCGATCGGCCGAGGGGATTTGGACAGTGCGCAAAGCAGACATTTGCATATTCCAGGATCGAGTCCGCGGGAATCCCGACTGGCTGCACTTATTTCGTCCGTTGCTGTCGTGTTACTGTACCATAAGAGAGAAATTATACACGATGCCTATGGCTGTTGGGCAATGTGGAGCTGGATGTCTCAGCTAGACAAGTGGTCGGCAGCAGCTTGCATGGCTGAAGAGGAAACAAGGTTGGACGAATAGCTTGTTTTCAATAGCATTCAAAGCAAGAGACTTAACCTCGGACGTGTAACCATGCCTTGCCTGCATATATGTGTATGCTACATGGCCGATGGAGCGTTGAGGTTCCAGTCATCATCGGGAGGAGGTCCGTTGGCATCTATTCACAGACATAGGTTCGATTTAGGACACGGGAAGACCCGTTGGTGGATAAAGTCTAGACTAGTGGAAGGAAGGGTGCTCCTTCCATGTGGCATCCATGCTCTTTTCTAGATCCGCTAAGGGAGAAAGAGTTCGTTCAATGCTGGCGCTTAGCTAGTGCAGGGCGATGTAGAGGAACTGGAGAGGTTGGTTACGTTCTGGGGTTCGATCAAGGCTCGAGATGGCTTCGGTCTGCAGTAGCAACGGGTACTAAGTTTGGATACGAAAGTCATGTTTGGTCCTTCCCGACTTAACCTCGATCCCTAGTGGATGTCAAGTCAACAGCGACGCACCTTCCTTCCGTAGACCGTTGAGGTTTCGTACTAACGCAAAGCAAAATCACTAAACATCCGTTGCGGGAAGGCGCAACCGCCACTCGAATCTAACTTCCAATCACGGGATATCACCATGGCACCTCTTGCAATTTCCCATGAACGCCCAGTGATTGTTTCTGTAACTTGCATTGTTTGCCATCCATCTTCCAGACCGACGTCACAGGCTGATATCGCCAGGAACGCCCATCTGCGTTCCTTGAGAAGCCCTGCCTGCACTTTCACGAGAGAAGAGAAAACATTAAGCCACTCATTTCCACTCATGCAGTTTGATGTAAGAACATCCAGCATCTGAACATTTGTCTCAACAATCTCCTGCAGAACCTTTGGCCAGCCCGGCCGGGTGGCAGGGCAGGATAGGGCGGCTTCTCGCCCACAGCTCGCTCACATCGTGCCGTTAGTGTGGTTAGCGTGTGTCCAGCTCCAGCATCATATGCGCACCTAGCTCTCCCGTAAGAAATTCGCAATGATAACACGCACACAGACAAACGGGTGTCGATCGGTCCGATGTCCAATTCCAATATCCGGCTGCGAACAATGGTGATTCTTGGTCTCACCGGTCGCTGCCCCTGCTTCTTTCTCGTACCAACCAGAACTTTTGCGTGACGACGGCACACAAAAGTCTTATCACATGGTCAAAAGGCCGACGGCGCCCAAATAACAGTATCGACTCGAATTGTCTGGCCGTGTTATCTGTCACCACTCGTCAGCCTTAGTCAACTTGGTAGGTGAAGAAGGAAGCGAGAATACTTGGGACGACGGGCATCGGAGGTTTGCAGGTTTACGATGCATTCTCTGCATCTTGCGGTTGGGCATCAGCAAAGAATACTAGAGGTCCGGCTGATATGTGCCTTCTGAGGTGTCATTACATTGCTTTATACACTGGGACGCATCGTCTCTGCAGTTTCCCTCGCAGAACTTTCGACGTCGGGTTCGGGATGGTTAATGGATGAAACACAACCTTTCCTCGGAGCTGCTTGACTCTTCAGGACAAGTACTTTTAAGAACCTGTGCCAGATTGGCGGAGTTGACGATGTACCTCTTACCTGGGCAGCTGGGGTGCGATGCCCAGGCGGGTCGGCGTTGCGAAACCCTGTGAGAGAAAAAGCAATTTGAGGATAGCATCCAATCCTAGCTGAGCGGTTGTGCAGCCATGACCTACATTGGTCAGCCCCATGTCAATCACATGGGCATTTTAATGCACGTATTAACCGTTGTCATGACTAGGCAGGCTCTTTGGCTATGGAACAATAGACCGATCCGAAGATTCGACTGATTAGGCGGATTAAACCCACTACGACCATGCGCAAGTCAGACCACCCATTTTTGGTTTTGAGCGAAGTTTTCAACCCGTCGTCAATGCCTTTGTTTTGTTCATTCGCATGCCAGAGCTGTTATACTATTTTACACCAGATCGGGAACTCCAGGCACACTGAACCGGCAGGGCGGGTAATATCCCAAAATCCTCTGCCCTCGCGCACTGCAATCAGGAGGCCCCTGCCACTCCCATGGTACCCCTCAGACCGGTCAAAAAACTACTCAGCACGAGGCCATGTAGACGCCGTCCTCACCGAGTCCACTTTCCTCTCTCACAGACTCGTTCATCATCGCCATTCCCAGCAGACCGTCGAGCCGTTTCTTGAATCGCTCAACGCCCAGTCACTACAACCACCACACCGCCAGCCGCAGACTTGCTCAGCCCGCAGCCCGCATCGGCCGTCATCCATACGATCGCGGCCGCAGGCATATCGTCCAGAGTTTGCTCAACGCACCGTCCGGTGCAAGCACCAGCACCATCAGTTGCCCGCTCCACGTTCTGTTACCAGTACCACAGCAGCCTAGCCCGCCCTATTGCTAAAAGAGTAAACAGGGTGAACAAGGCTCCACGTCTTGTCCTGGTGGTACCTACTGTGTTCACATTTGAAGCTTTCCGGTCTACGGCTGCGAGCAGCACACCAAAATCTTATCAAACTTGTATCCGTGGGCGAGGAGCCTCAAACGTTTGATTGGGCTCATTCTACAGCCCTCACTTATCCTTTCTCCACCTATCTTCCCCGGATTCTTCGCCTCCCTCATTGCATTATTCACTTCTCCCGACCGTCTGGGCCTTCCTCTCGGTCGTTGTCGTCTGGGCTCCGGTCGTCGCTGGCGCTCCACTCGGCGCACTACGGGGGTTTGAACGTCAAGTGTTCCGGTGATGGCTTTCGTGGCACCTTAGCCTACCACCACACTCCCCCCTCTTTCCACCCCGGCGTCGCTCGATTTTGACCACTGTTCTGGAGTCCAAACTGGGCAAGCCAGTTTCTCCTTTGTCATTGCCTGTATTTCGTCGCTTTTGATCCCCGCGCGGTGGTACCTTGACTTTTGTTCTGTTCTTACTACTGCTGCTACTAGGCAGTCTTTGTTTCACACCCTGTCCTGTCTCACTGCAGCCATTATGGTAAGAGTTTCTCTCCCCGGTTGGCGGCAAGCTGCATGGAGTTATATCATCGATTCCCCGTCTCATCGGTTTCTCTGGATGGCCCCTGCGGCTGTTGCCAATCACCCCCGTTCCCTCTTCTCGCCGCCCCATCGTGGCTCTCGTGCCATGACTCCCGGTCAAGCATCTTCTCCTTGATCTTGCCCCCAGCCCCAATCTATCACAACTAAATGTGCGGTGAATTGATTTTTTCTATAGAATCCGCATTATCCTTCCAAAGTTAAGAGGCCTCTCCTCGAACTAGGGGTTGACGATCCTGTTCCTTCCTCAATATCTTTCACCCCTCCCGTGGATCCCACTTATAACATCTTACCATATGAGATTCACCAAAGTCTTGATCAGATTGCAAGTTTCTATGGAGTAGCTTCCGGTTATCAAATACATCAACTACTTGATCAAGCACATTGTAGGAAGAGAAGAAGAGTCGACCCGCCGATCCCAATGACGCCTGAGCATGGATCAACTTCGTCCCAAGGACATCTGATGAAGCTTCCTGTATCAGATCCTTATGATCCGCGCCATGAACAGTATGGGAACTCGACAGGTTGGGGCGGTTGTGCTCAACCTTCCATGCCGTCTTCAACTTCACCACTGGCCAGACGTATGGCGGATCTCACCTTATTCCTCTGCCCTTGTTGCGGCTGGGATTCAAGACAGTCGGATGGTAAGTGAAGACTCTTAGACTGACCTTTCATCAATACATCACGGTATCCTCTCGATCGTTACTCACAACATTTTGACAGGCTATCAACAACTGCCGACTGCTGCGCCTGTGGTTTCTGGTCCAGACGCTCCATATGTAGCAGAAAAGCAGCCATCCATGACAATGCCATCCTCTGAGGCGTATGACAACACAACTCTGACTACAGGGCAACAACCAAGCTATCACTATCAACAGCCCGAACTGAATGTCGCACCTCTTGTTAGCTTCCCTCTTATTCCTGACCAAACGACATTGGCAGAGCCTTTGATGAGCGATGGCATCCCGATTCAGCAGCCCCATCTCCCAGGGGGGGATTTCTATCCCACTCAAGTTTTCAAAGACGAAGCACCATTGGAAGAACCGGGAATGATGACAAACCAACACCTTATGTCCAAGAATCTTTCCCAAGTTGAATATGACTCAGGTCCAAATCTTATTGACACATCTGCTCTTACTCACCACGGCCTGACCCCTGCCGATGGCGTTTCACAGTATGGGATGCTTATCAGCGGGCAGAACGGCGAAGAGGCTGGACAGAATGGGTGGTCTCTCATTGATCAACATCCCAATTTTGAGATTTTACTCCCTAACCAGCGAGGTGGAAAGCGAGGCCCATTCAAGGATCCTAATCTTCGTGAACAAACTGCTCAAACCCGAAAAATCGGTTCGTGCATCAGATGTAGAATGCAAAGAATACGCGTAAGTAATAAAGTGCCAGCCGCGCCGTGTTTGTAAAAGCCTACGCTTTTACTATCGTGAGCAAGACATGTTATGGATGGACCACTGACCATATGACACAGTGTGAAAACAACCCAGAAGAAGAGGGAGGACCATGCTTGACGTGCAAGAAAGTCTCCAACTCGAGGGCAGGCCGCTTTCCGTGTCTCAGATACAAGATCACAGATATCCGACTCTTCAAGCCTGGTCAGGTTCCCGGTTATGAATGGACGCGAAGATGGACCAACAATATTTCAGACCCGATACAGAGTTGGGCGACTGAAGAGCCGAGAATCATTTATCTCTCCGGGGGTCTTTCGAACAAATTCGTCAAGGTCAAGGTCCAACGTTTCATTCCCCAAGCTGGCGACAAGCTGGAACGCACATGGGATTATAAGGGGGTCAAGAAGTCGGTGTCAATCCCTCCCTATGCTATGATAAACCTCGAGGAAGTGAAGAGTGAATATCTGAGCCATATCGAAAACACCATGCAGGACGCTTTCACCAAATTGCTTGGCCCTCCTGAAGGTCTCCTGTTCCGAACTTACTTGCGTGCCTGGAAGATTTTCAAAGATCCAACCACCTTGCCCGAGTGCGCAGACCTAATCCATCAGACTCTGCTGTTATGGATGTCGATCCGTTTGACAACACGATCGAGCTTCATTGTAGGAGAGGAGACCTTGGGTATGAAGAGGAACATTCTGGATGAGACTAATCCGAATCATGGCAACATTCCTCTCCCACCAGTTCTCGGGGCCCAAATGGATCTCATCCTGATCCATCATATTCAGACCAAACTGCGAAGAGAGCTGCTAGACAAATTGCAGAAGATGATGTCCAAGAACAAGCAAAGCACATGGCTGGTTACATACCTCGTGATCTTCATTCTTTTGCATAACACGGCTCTCATCACGGCGCACGACGCTGGATACGCGAAGAAGCACGGCATGAAGGTAAGAAGCTCGGGAATCATTCGATAGGTGTGCATGAAAAGGGCAACAGTTGCTAATCATGAGGTGCACTCGCAGCGACGATTTGCGCGTGAAGAGAAAGTCAAAGAATATCATCTAGGTAGGACGCCACTCTTTTCTGTGATTGGAGCACTTGCTGACTTGAGATGTGAAAAGGGGCGAACATTCTGCTTGCGCATTTCCATTACTGCAACAAGGGCATTTACCCCTTCTCTGAAGATTGCAAAGACCAAGATCTGCGAACTCTGGCAGGCTTGGACGAAGAGAAGATCAAGTTCGTGCACAACACAAGCAACTTGGCTAGACGATATGGTGAGTTCATCAACACCTTGTTCTGATTGTCTCCTGGTCTTTGGGTATGAGGCTAACCAAATAACTTCGCGGTTCAGCGTTGCAATGGGAGAAGCTCCGGAACTCATCCGCGTACGAGCATGATTATTTCTTTGTCAGTCAGTTGTTTGAGACCAATTGGCAGCCTCGAGCAACGATATGACCTGGCAATATGATCGACAGAACAACCCCATGTTGTTCTCGTGGAGCTCTTAACTAGAAAATGCTAAGATTTTGTGCCCGGCAGGCAAATGCTGTACTTACAGCGGGAGTATGGGAAATGAGACTGTATACATGTTGAAAGGCGGGACATGGTGGGGGAGAGGATGGACCACGGCCGGTAATGACCATGATGATAACGATAATGGGACTTCTGTTAATGTTTCCTTGGGTATGTTCTGGGTACGAAAAGGCGGTCAACGGTAGGTGAGGGTATAGAAAAAGAATTGAACTGGTTTGGTGATTTTGAGGACATGGTTGATGGCTGGGTGGACTGGAATGTTTGCGGGGGATCAAGATAGCAAAAAGATGATCGTTTAGCTCTCATTAGCTGGCCCGGCACATGGACCTGGCAACGGTAGCGATATCGGGGGTTCGGAGTAACGAACGGAAGGGACGGAAAGAATGATAAGCATTGCAACGCAACGCAACACGACACGCACTACAGCGCAGCGCACGATACAACAATATTGGTCGAGAAATGAGATGACGGTATGAGGGAGACAAAGAAAGTGAGGGAGGGGCTCGGGAGGTGAGAGCCCAGAATGTGCTCGGCCCCCTACAGGAAGAGGCGAGAGTTACTGACCGAGCGTCGAGCGATGACGGGTTGCTGCGTTTTGACGGATGGCTTGTGCAATGTTGCGCGTGAACACGAGGCGGATTGAAGGTTTATATGTACCAAGATGACGGGGGATTGGACGCGGCGGGAGAGGTGCCGGACGGGCCGGGCCTGGCTGGCGGCACCTGGAAGACTCCCGGACCAAGTTCAAAGCCACGGATATTGTGATATTGTGATATGCTTTGTTGTGATCTTTCAAGGTTCTCTCTGTTGGTGTAGCGCAGTACGGTACAGTGTGCTGTTCATCTTGTGCATCAGTCTGTCGGTCGGTCGGTTGAGAGGAGGGAGTGGAGTGGAGTGGCAGAGAAAATGAGAATGAAAGAAAAAAGGAGAGTTCAAAGATTGAATGAGATAGGATAGGCATATTTGCATTGCATATCCCTTGCCTCTCTCTACCTTTGCCTTGCCTTGAGTTTGAGTCGAATGCCCATGCGCCTGTTAGTGGTAGTGTTAGTGTTAACTGTTTGTTACTACGGGGAACCAGTCGCTGGGACCCGAGACACCAAGGCTAATGGAAGCTAAACGGGTGGCAACGGATAATTCCCGCTGGCCAATGACGTTGAGAGAAGACACTAGGTAAGTTCGACTATGTCTGTAGGATTAACGTTTGATTGACTGCCGAGTTGACAGGATACCTGGATATTGCGAAGTGCATCACCTGACAGGTCGCCATTGAGTGGCAGGCTGACGAAGGTCAGGTCAGGTAGCCATGGGATAGATAGTTCCGGATCCCTAGTACCAAGTTAGGCTGCTCCAGCTCGCCAGGTCCAGTAGCCTGGTTAGCTAACAAGGTACGCCAATGCGGACCTCAGATGACTTCAGGAACCACTTTCTGGAAGGGCCTAAAATTAACAAAACCATTAACGTTGCTACTGGATAGTCTAGTTTTGTAGGCTTGCAAGGGAGTAACACGAAGGGGATCATCAACCACTCGTGCTACACACGCTACGTCCAGACGGCACTGTACTGTACTGGAGGAGTTCGTTGAGTCTCTTAGCTTGGTGTTTTTGCTTTTGCTTTTTTACCCAACTCCAGCTTGTAAACCCTGCTAGTTTACAACCGAACCGCAAGCTCATCCTATTTGCCATTTCCTTTCTTTTCTTTTCCCTTTCTTTCCTTCTTTCTCAGACGCGTCCCCGTCCCATCCCATCTGTTGGGGGGCCCTGACCTGTTTTCTCGAGGAATGAGAAAACCCGCCCTCTCGTCTCATCTAATTTCATCTCGTCTCGACTTGTCTCCTGTTTCTTGGTTCTCTCTCCGCCAATTCCCCTTGCCCTTCCCTTGCACTGTATAGTGTGGTCAGTACTGTACACACATACATACATACGGATACTCGGTGTGCAAATGTACGTACGTACATGCATCAAGGTTAGGCTATGTAGAGTTAATGTTGCTATCCAGGTCTTTGAGCAACCAGTTACAAGCGAAGAAGCCACAAAGGCGTAACAATATCAACGGCAGGGCCTTTTCCTCAGACTTGCTTCGTTTGCTCCTTCCATTTCCCGTCCACTTGAGGTAACTTAACTTGTATAATACCTTAGGTAGTTTAGTCGTACCGATGGTACCTGAACTAGGTATTGACTATACTATATCATTATTCTTTATCCTTACCCTACCGTATCATATCCATGGATCGTATCGTACCCAGGTCCAGTACCTCTCTGGAAATACCGAGCACCCAGTTCAGCTAAGCCATGGTAGTCAGGCGTTTACCCGCGATTCTGGGTTCTGTTGCATCTATACCCCATGTCTCCCGCAGCGTATCTGCGACCTGCCACGAGCGTGCACGGGTAGGCATGTAGCCGATCTACCTGCTACCTGCTACCGCTACCCAGGCAGGTACCCAGTCCAATACCATCGCAACCACCCCTGTTCAAGTTTATCTGAGGTAGTTGACATTACCTGGAAAGCACGAAACCGCCATCGAGAAACAAAGGAAGAAAAAAAAAGTCTTCTCTTGTACCCGCAGCTGCTCTCTTCTCCTCGTCATCGAAATTCAAAACGAAAAAAAAGGGACCCTGGTAGGAAGCAAGGCCGTTGCAGGTAGCCGAGAGATCACATCCCTCCCAGTTGAGCCGCTTCTTTCGAGGAGATATGTACATCTCCAGACCAAGCCAGGGCCATCATCTCCATACACTTTAGAAAAGCTATAATAAACTAGCCTCCACATCTAGTCCAAACGTTCTTTAATTCTTCCACAGCAGTCTCCATCTTGAGCTCAGATCAGCCTTGTTCATCATCAGCCTAGTCTCGGTTGTAATCTACCGACTTTCGTTCTTGCCATCCTTCCCAAACTACTTATACAGCAGTATCTGTCGTTACTACTTGCCTTTCGTTGATTGTTATCACTGCTTTAGCCAACTGTTTACGTTTACATACTTCCTTCCTACTTACCAAACAATTCACAAATTCCCATCACTTACCTTGCTCGGCTGTAAGTTGCGCTTTCCCTTTAAGTCGAGGAGTCGGCAGTTTCGAAACCAAGCGCCTCCAACGTCACTACCTTTCTTGGAAAGCACTTGCCACGATAGTGTCAAACGTTCCTTTTTGTTTTACGATCATCTCCTTCCCATCATATCTGAGATCAACCAAGACATATAAACAGACACTTCGCACCATCCGAGTTCTGTTCTTCCATCTTCTCTCATTCATCACTCTTACACCAAACCACACCTACATCTCCCATCACCCACCACCACTTATACCAAATCTCTCTATATTCAATCATTGTCTTACACTATCACCAGAAAACTATCGGCCCGTTACGTTTCAACCGGTAGGTCCACCCCAACAACGCTAATTCCCTTACTCGTGGAAGAGGCTGGCTAACACGAAACAGACGCCCTCCACGGAATCACTAGCGAGCCTCTCTCTCAGGAACCGCCATCATGACATCTTTCATGCCTAGGCCTATGGTTGGTCCCAGCCAGACCATCGAACTAGCTCGTGCGGCCGCTGGCTGCGTCAGTCGCGTGGCAGATGCACCGGCTGGCATCCCCGAAGGATGGCCCCAAGCTCTCCCTGACTTGATGGCTTGGTCCGGTTCTCAGTTCACGGATGAGTCGGAGTACATCCACACTTTGAGTGAATCGGATGTAAAGGAAGTTGAAAGCGCCCTACTGTCTTTCAAAGGTACGTTTCTTAACCCTCCCCAGTCGTGGCGTCCGGGATGTGGCTTACACCAAACAGCATTGGGACTCGATGGGGATTGTGTATCCCGAGACAACTTCCCCCTTCCTACTTTAGGGTCCCGCCTGGATCGCATTCGCCGAGACGTTCATCAAGGCAAGGGTTTCGGTGTCATCCGCGGCTTAGATCCTCGAAAGTACTCTGTTGAAGACCTGACAGTACTGTATCTTGGTATCCAGTCATACATCGCCGACCGTCACGGCCGTCAGGACCGAAAAGGCAACATGCTGGGTAAGTATTCACTGTTCCGAGATGGACTCCTGCTTGTTTGTGACACATATTGACGTCTTTCCAGTTCACATCGTTGCCGACAACTCTTCCCGGCTCAAGGCTGGTCATCATCGTCATTCCACTTCCCCCATTGTAAGTACATGTTCCTCTATCGTCTTGGTCACAAGTCCAGACGCTAACTTGCATTCCAGAATTTCCACAATGAGGAAGCCGGTGATGTCGTGAGCTGGCTCACTCGCAACACGGCTGTCTCGGGAGGCAAATGCATCATCGCATCGGCCTACACTGTTTACAATGTTCTTGCTGCCAGTCGCCCTGACATGATCCGCACATTGTCTCGCTCTGACTGGCCATTCGCCCTGTAAGTAGCCGCATATGATCACCTGTGTTTTCTTCTTTCCCTTGTATCATTGATAGACCAAGAGTACATCAACTGACCTGTGATGCTGGGATAGGCCACGCTTCCAATGCCGCCCTGTCCTCTTCCACCATGACGGAAGAGTGATTATGAACTTCGGGAGGGTAGCCCTGACAGGGAATGCGGTCCACCCACGACCTAGCAATCTCCCCACCGTTACCCCACGCCAGATGGAAGCTCTGGACTCCATCGAGAACATTGCCAAAGCGACTCAACTGGAGATCAGTACCCGGGCAGGTGACATTCACTTCATCAACAACCTCACAATTTTGCATCGCCGCGAAGGTTTTGTCAATGGTGAGGGTGCTCAAGAGCGCCGTCACTTGGTACGCATGAGACTTCGAGACAACGAACTGGGCTGGAATCTTCCCGCGGATCTTAGACGGGAGTGGGAAGATGCCTTCAACGAGGAGGCGCCCAAGATCTGGCACGTTGAACCCATGCCAGATGGCTTCTTTCCCCTCAGGTCTCAGGCCAACTAAGCTTGCGCCTGCAGCCAACACGATAGTGGGGTCGAGCATGCATACGCATACATGAACACAGCTCGGCAAACATAACGAGATCATCAAACGCTTGTCGACATTGGATTAAAGGGCGCATAAGAAAGGCAAGGGGGCGTCTGAGGATAATGGAAGGAAAGGGGCGCAAAAGTTATGCTTACATGGTCATGGTTTAATGACTATTACATTCGGGTATTGAGTATGTTTTATTTCGGTGTCACGGTCGAGGAAAAGCAACAGGCATTGTTTTTTGTCTTGGGCGAACCTGGCTATTGGTATCTGTTTTTTTTTTTTTTTTTTTTTTTTTT